AACAAGATTGTTCAAATTATAGCCCTGGGGTCAAAATTGGCCCCGCCCCGGGGGTCATTGATTTTCACTATGTACATATAGTAAAAACTTAAAATACCTTCTTGTAAAAAACCCAAAAGGCCTAGAGCTTAGATATTTTGCATAAGGCATCATCTGGTAGACCCTTACCAAGATTTGTTCAAATTAAGCCCTTGGGTCAAAATCGGCCCCGCCCCGGGTCATTGATTTTCACTATATGTACATATAGTAAAAACTTAAAACACCTTCTTGTAAAAAGACCCAAAAGGCTTAGAGCTTAGATATTTTGCATGAAATATTGTGTTGTAAAACTCTTTAGCAAGATTGTTCAAATTATAGCCCTGGGGTCAAAATTGCCCCCGCCCTGGGGGTCATTTGATTTCAATATATACATATAGTAAAAAAATCAAAAAAATCTTATTGTCTGAAGGTACAAGGCTTAGAGCTTTAATATTTGTTAAATAATATTTCATCTAAAAGGTACTCTACCAAAGTTGTTCAAATTTTGCCTCTTGTGTCAAAATTAGCCCCGCCCCTGGGAGCCATAGGTTTATCCTATATGTATATAGTTAAAACTTAAAAAAATCATCTTCTTTATATTTACAAAGGATAAAGTTAATATATTACACATGAAACATTGTGTAGTGAACCTCTAGCAAGATTGTTCAAATTATAGCCCTGGGGTCAAAATTGGTTCCGCCCCCGGGGGTCATTGATTTTCATTATGTACATATAGTGGAAAAAAAAAATTTTGTTTGAAGGTTCAAGGCATAGAGCTTTGATGTTTGATATATAATATCATTTATAGGTCCTCTACCAAAGTTGTTCAAATGTCAAAAATTGGCCCTGCCCGGGGGCAGTGATTCTCATTATGTACACGTAGTAAAAACAGAAAATAAAACAAATGTTTTCTGAATGGGAGAAAGCTATAGCTTAGATATTGGTGGACCTGTATCAAGATTGTTATTAAACCCTTGGGTCAAAATTATGCCTTGCCCAAGGGGACAGTGACCTACTTTCTTGTCCTTTGATGTACAACAATGACATTTTGACCATGTGCACAGTTTTAGTTGTAAAATTGAACTTTGACCTAGATTTTGATGATGTGACCTACTTTCTTGTCCTTTGATGTACAGCTATGAAATTTGAACCATGCGGTGGCATAGCATTTTTCTCAAATGCAATCTTGTTTTAATATGTCAAAATAAAAGATTGTTTCCACTGAAAGATTTTTAAGAAGAAAGTTATATTATTACATGTATTACTAAAAAGACCAGAATAAAGTGGAAATGGTATTGTCAATTAAATGAGCCTTGCTTAATCATTCTTACACAAATTAATCAATTAAAATATCTAGGTATACAGGTACCTACTTTCACACATTCATTCCTTTATTTTTATGGCCTTTTTATCAATAATAATATAATTTTCTTCTTTATGTTCTATCATGGGAAACAATTAGTCATTTTGACAGATTTAAAACCTACTTTTTCTTCCGGTCAATGATTTTACTGCAGTTTTACTCCATTTTTACTCATGGGGAACCTGATTCTGGTCACTGATTTGTATTCATACACCACTTTTGATCTATTATCTACATTGAACTTTGTGAAATGAGCTGTCAAAAATTTAATATCTCCCTCATTGAAAAACTTTATCTTTATCCAAAGTGAAACGTTTCCATTATTTCGGTATTTTGGGTTATTTGATGGTGGCGAATACCCGAGCCTGTGTCAAGTGTGAAATTTGAGTAAGGCCATAAATTTTTATATTGTTTGTTTTTCGGTAAAAATGAGGTCATTTGCCTTATTCTTTATACGTTATATATCTAAATCATACGATGTCTGTAGAGTGTATTGGGTTAACGTACATGTATGATTTAAGGTAAATAATTGACATAGAAAAGTCACTTCATATAAAAAAGATAGAACCCAAGCTGTTTTTTTTATACAAAAGAGAAAAAAAGAAAGAAAACTTTTTTTCTTTTAAAGGACAACATCAGCTTGTGATTTTTATATAAAAAAAAGAAAGAAAAAGTTCATATTTTTTAAGGAGAACATGAGCTTCAAGTTTTAAAGTCTGTATGATTAAAGTTTGTTGGTTTCTTATAGTGAGTGTTTTTGTTTTAAAGGATAAATTATTGTGCTCTAAATTTACCTGACAGCTTGAGAAATGTTATAAGAAAAAGTCTGGAAAATGGTTCAAAGTTGAAATCAGATTAAAGATTTTTTTTTTTTTTTTTTTGCTTGCATGGGTGATAAAATCATTTTTTCCCCAGTATCATGATTCATCTTTAGTCTTTGATTTATTATCTGTTATCCTTTTATATGGAAATTGGGAAAAAATTTCAAACCGTTACATATGTCAGGGGTTGAATTTAATGTTCAGTAAAAAATGAAAAACTCGTGTATTTTTTATTAAACTTTGAAATTTGTGAGTGCAGAATATAGAAGAAAATAAAGAATAAATTGATTATCAATTGCTTTCTCTGCTAGTTAAACCAGAAAGTTACCAAGATTTATATGACCTAACCACATTAGAAACTCAAAGGAAAAACAAACAAACATAAACCAGTAAAAGAATAATAGGATAAACAATCTTGAAATATTGCTCAAAGACCCATCCTTGGACTAGATGTAACTCCGACCTTTCTTCTTAAACCCCATCAACATTTAACCAGACATAAAAGAATGCTGACAGGAAGATTGGTATAATATATGTATCATGTGTTTCAATCATGTCTAATTAAGACTAATCAGTGGGCACCTGTTTTTATTTCCATACAGCAAACTTTGTTCAACAAGGTTCAAATGGAATCATTTTTCACCTAGTTTGTCTACACTGCAACTTTATAACTTGTTCATTTTTCTGTGTGAAGATTATTACACAGAGTAAATTACATATATAGATGTTTGATAATAAAGATGGTGTGTGTGATATGATCAGTAAGGTATGGCAGTAAAATTTTCACCACCCTTGTGAATAGGGACTAGGTCAGCCAAAATATGGAAGTGGCTTTAGTTATGAAATTCTGTAAGAAGGGGTAGAAAGTCATGTATAAAAGGGGGGGGGGGGGCGCAAGTCATGGCAACAGCCAAAGTCTGCCATATTGTAAATTTTGGCACCATTATTGGGAAAAAATCTACGGATTAACAGTATGACTTGGTCCATGTACTTTATTGAAAAAAAGTAAGATAGTTTGGTTTGATACTTAAATAAAGCCACACTATTCTGTTAATTTAGAATACTTAATAATTACTAGGTTCTTATGTCAGTTCAGTGATGTTTTTTATTTACATCAAAATATAATAAATTATATGTTGTTGGCAATATTTAACATTCCTCCTGCTGATTTTATCACCCTCACAATATATTGAACAAATTCTCTCTTGAAAAAACAAATGTTTATTTGCCTTGAACTACTGACTGTCACTACTATTTTAAAATAACATTTTGACATGATAAAAGTAACACCCCACCAAATCATATTTTTCTTACACTCAACAAAGCCATTGACTGGTGGTTTTTTTAGCTCGACTATACGAAGTATATGGAGAGCTGTCCTACTCGCCTTGGCGTCGGCGTCCGCGTCCAGATTTCAGATTAAAGTTTTGGTGCAGTAAAATATTTTTCACTATAACTTTGTCATTTCTTAAGGTATCAACTTTAAACTTCAAATATATGTTCCTTATCATCAACCACATCTTATGTGACAAGGTTCATAACTCTAGCACCAATATTTTCAGATTTATCTCCCCTTGAACTTAGAATTTTCCTTAAAAAATACTATTTTTTACTGTAACTTCTTTATTTCTTAAGGGATCACCCTCATACTTCAAATAAATGTACCTTATCATCATCCCCATCTTATGTGACAAGGTTCATAACTCTAGCACCAATATTTTTAAGATTTATCTCCCCTTGAACTTAGAATTTTCCTTAAAAAAAATATTTTTTACTGTTACTTCTTTATTTCTTAGGGGATCACCCTCATACTTCAAATATATGTACCTTATCATCATCCCCATCTTATGTGACAAGTTTCGTAACTCTAACACAAATAATTTCAGATTTATCTCCCCTTGAACTTAGAATTTTCCTTAAAAAAATATTATTTTTTACTGTAACTTATTTATTTCTAAAGGTATCAACTTCATACTTCAAATATATGTACCTTATTATCATCCATATCTTATGTGACAAGGTTCATAACTCTAGCACCAATATTGCAAGAATTATCTCCCCATAAACTTAGATTTTTTTACTAGAAAAATGTTATTTTTTACTATAACTTTTTTAGTTTTAAAGGTATCTACTTCAAACTTCAAATACTTATTCCTTATCATCAATTACATTTTATGTGACAATGTTCTTAACTCTTGAAGCAATTTTCACAGATTTATCTCTCTTTGAACTTAGGATTTTCTTTAAGAAATATTATAACTTCTTTACTTTTTAAGGTATCTACTTCAAACTTCAAATATATATTTCTTATCATGACACACATGTTGTGTGACAAGGTTCATAACTCTAGCGTGACTATTTCTAGAATTATTTCCCTTGATCTTGGAATTTATGTTAACAAATGTTATTTTTTTTACTATAACTTAATACATATTAACACATAATTGATTTTTCTTTCATAGTTTTGTCCTCCTTACTGCGTCCAGTATTTTATTAGTCGAGCTTGGCTGTCTCCTGTGACAGCTCTTGTTTACTTACTTGGGAAGAGACCTTACCCTCTTGATTTTGGTAAGTTCAGAGTTTTTGGGAAAACTGAATGATTCTAAAGAAATTTTTTATTCTGTTACCTTTTGTAGGCCTCTGCTACCTTTGTAGACCTCTGTTACATTTTGTAGGGCTCTGTTACCTTTTTAGGCCTCTTTTTGTAGTGCTCTGTTACCTTTTGAAGGCCACTGTTATAAAAGGTTAAAAATCATTGATTGACTGATACAAATATTAAATGTGTAATTTCTTGTGTTTTACAGGACTGGGTGACAGCTACAGATATAAGAATTGTGCTAACACGTATGAACACATTTGGTGACGAGATCTTTGGAGATCCCCGTGTATTGAGATCATATTTCTACGCTGTCGATGACTTGGCAGTAGGAGCAAAGTAAGATTTTAATATAATGTCTTAAAGCTACAAGTCATGCCTGCAGATGAATTAACGTATTTTAAAAATATAAAACATCTTAATGATGGTTCAGTGTAGAACTAAAACTGGTTGATAATAAATCACCTTAAACAGCACTGGTGTTGATGTAATGATGTGTTTCTTCTTTTACCTCTGATTAAGGAAATAACATGTAAAGAGTTTATGAAATCATCAAATGTAAATAAATGTGACCATTCTTTGCATGCTTAACCTTTAGAAAAGATAATGGTAAAATGGATTTTTTCATAATCAAGTTTCTTCTAGGTTACTTAAAGATTTATGATTTTTGTGTCGCCTTGAAAAGGTGACATATAGGGGTTACTTTTGTCGGCGGCGTCGGCGGCGTCTGTGTTGGCGGCGGCGTCGTCGTTGTCGGCGTCCCCTAAAGCTTGTCCGGAGCATAACTCAGTCACTATAAGTCTGATTGACTTCAAACTTGGTATGCATGCTCCTTTCAATAACCCGAAGTGCAGTGCACAAGAACCAGTACTCTGCAGTTCTTATGTTTTGAGTTATTGCCCTTTTTTAATTTTCATACTTTAATTTTGTCCGGGCCATTTCTCCTAATGTATAAAAGCCATGGACTTGAAACTTCATAGGATGATAGGTCTCATTAAGAAGAAGTGCAGTGCACAAGAACAGGTACTCTGCATTTCTTATTTTTTGAGTTATTGCCCTTTGTTTATTTTCATACTTTAATTTTGTCCGGGCCATTTCTACTTAAGTATAAAAGCTATGGACTTGAAACTTCATAGGATGATAGATCTCATGAAGAAAAAGTGCAGTGCATAAGAACTGATACTCTGCATTTCTTATTTTTTGAGTTATTGCCCTTTGTTGATTTTCTTACTTTATTTTTGTCCTGGCCATTTCTCCTCAAGTATGAAAGCTATGGACTTGAAACATCATAGAATGATAGATCTTATTGATAAGAAGTGCAGTGCACAGAAACTGCTGCTCTGCACTTATTATTTTTTTAGTTATTGCCCTTTGTTATTTTTCATATTTCATTTTTGTCCTGGCCATTTCTCCTAAACTACATTGTTCACAAGGCGACACATCCGACTCGCGGAGTTCTAGTTTTACCATATAATTATTTGACACTTTAAAATGTCATTTTTTAGGGTAGACTTACTCAAATCATTTCAGTATAATTTTTCTATATTGAACATTTTTCTAAATTACCAATAAAAAAGAAAAAAAAAGAAAAGAAGTATAAATGTGGAGAGATATGCTGCTTAAATGAAATAGTATTGCAATTGTTTGATGCAGTCTCCCCTGGAAAACATTTTGTCAGAAGCCTTGTAAGTTGTTATGTGGCTATATAAGAAATGTCCATTATCTACCTTTATAAAGCTGATTAACACATGTATATAACTTCAGACATAACTTTTTAATATCTAGTTGTTTATTCCTCTAGTCAAAAACATTTAAATATGATCTTCATTGTTTTTATCTTCTTTTTTGTGTGTTTTTGCATGGAGAATCATTTGAAATTTAGTTAAGAAATATAAAATATGCAGTAACATTGTAGTGTTTTAAATCTGTTGAATGTAGAACATATCTGCATAAATTATCCGTTAAAAATGATTGAAAATGTAAATAAGTTACATGATACTTTGAAAGATACATAATTAATTAAAGTAAACTTTGTAAAAATGTAATGAATTTATTTTGCTATGGTGTAAAGATTTAAATACAAGAATAATTGTCTATAACCAGGCTAGAGGCCTATCTTTCCCTGAAACACTGGTTAAAGTTTTATTTGCTACTCTTGTATGTATAATTATATCTCATCAATCACTGAAGGTATTGGCTTGTTACTGCACACATTTATTTTAGACCATAGTAGGTCATTTTCCAAAGCCTCTAGCATAGATTTTTACAGAATTATGGTCCTTGTGAACTTAAAGAACTTCAATATTCATGTTTTAGAATTTTAATTGAAGGTCTCTTTCCAAGGCCCTTTGTGAAATTCCTTCATTACTTTCCGTGACTCTAGAAATATCATGTATTTGGTATGAAAATTTCCTAATTCCATCATTACCTAGGCTTTTGCTTTACCATCAAGCTTGAGAATAGACAACTTAACTCTTGTTATTTGCCTATCCTCTTTCTCAAAAGTTATAAATATGTGTATATATACAATTGAATAAATAAGATAATATATATATGCTTAATTATATAGTTTGAATCAGAACAACTTCAAGCAGGTATAGGAGGGTAAAGTTTCCAGTATTTGTTGAATCATTATAATGATATGAGCCGTGTCATGACAAAACCAACATAATGGGTTTGTGACGAGCATGGATCCAGACCGGCCTGCGCATCCGCGCAGTCTGATCAGGATCCATGCTGTTGGCTATCAGTTTCTCTACTTGTTTTAGGGTTTGTAAGCGAACAGCATGGATCCTGATCTGGTCTGGATCCATGCTGGTCACAAACGCATTATGTTGTATTTGTCGTGACACTTCTCATATGATTTTATTTTTTCAGATGTAAATGTAATGGTCACGCAAGCAGTTGTGAGATAGCACCTAACCGAGAGCTGATTTGTGAGTGTGAGCACAACACCACCGGTCCTGATTGTAACATTTGTAAACCATTCTTCAATGATCGCCCCTGGGCCCGAGCCACAGAGGAAGAACCTGGGGAATGTAGACGTTAGTATTTGAAATTTAAATAAAATTATTTTTAAAAAATTATAAAGAAAAATGAAATTTAAATATGGCTTAAAAAGTTGAATGTTTAATGTAATTTTTCTCCAAACATAATTGAAAAGATAATATTTTGTTGATAAATGTTTTAAAAGAAATTTTCTTGTCAGAATATTGTGAGCTGTTACTGTTTTATCTCCTATGCTATTATACTATATTTGTGGCTTTAGGCCAAGATTACATACATGTATATTACATAGCTTGTTTTTTGACATTCTGATGTAACTTGATTTATTGTTGATATATTATATAAATGTGACAATATTGCTGGTATTTGCTTTCCTTGTATCATACATTACATGCAATATTTCCCAAGGTATGCAAACTGCTTTAAATTTAGGTCAGTGTAATTAATAAAGCTAGCATTAATTGTGTCAATTTGCATGCACATGTATTACCTTGGCATTAAATTTGCATATTGTAATAAATTAGCTACTAAGTTAATTGAATTGATTTATCCAACATTTGAAATAGTCCAATTCCCATGTTAAAGGATATTATGATAAAAACTTTGTAAAGTATTTTGATTTACACCTATTTTCACATATTTCATGGTCAAGTTTTTGTATTTTAATATGTTTAAGTTTTCAAAGGTAAAGTATTTTGATTATATTCTCTATTTTCACATATATTCAGCGTGTGACTGTAATGGTATGAGTGAGGAATGTTACTTTGACGAGGATCTGTACCGTGAGACAGGACACGGAGGTCACTGTACTAACTGTCGTGATAATCGTGGAGGTATACATTGTGAGGAGTGTCTACCGAACCACTACATAGAGCAAAGGACCAATAGGTGTACCGCCTGTAACTGTGACCCTACTGGTATGTTACTGGTATATTTGCTGAACATTTTGATTTGTCATCTTCTGATGATCTCCTCCTTTGAAATAAAACTTTTCTTATAATTTTTGGTCAGTAGTGGAGTTTATGTTCAACAGCATTATATTCAGAAAATAGATTATTAAATTCTTGGTATATTTTAATATGGCAGTAACGTTTGCTGCCACGTTTTAAAAGTTATGAGCTGGTCATTTTTAATAACAGAAAACTAAAACAAATGGAAATAGTGAAAAACTTCCATTTACTGAGTGCATAGAGAACTCTGTTTATTGTATAAGGTATTTGCTATGTATTATTACTATGTATAAGCCATGTTTAGCTTATAATGCAGGTTTGTTTAGAATTCCCTGCACATTTGTGTAAACATTGCGGATTGCTCTATAATTACTAACTGACAGGTGCTTTATATACATAAACATTATATTGTAATATTTATTTTCACTGTATGTAAATATACCTTCAAACTTATAGCTAAATGCAGCTTTGTTTTCCTATGTTTTGGAAAAGAGCACCCTTAAGTATGTAAAGTGGTCTTTTTTGTTGTGATTTGTGTTTTACAGATTATAACACAAAAATTTCTTTTTCACTGACCATCTGTCAAAAAAAAAGACCACAATTTATGTTTTATGTTATAGACATTCCATGAAGGTTTGATTGAATTAATGTATCTATAAATTTGCATCCAAAAATGATAATAAAAAAATTGCTCCCTTTTAGGAACTGAATTTAGCAAATATGCATATATTGTATATTACTGTTTTATGTTTAAATATTAACAGGGTCAGAAGATTTACAGTGTAATGACCAGGGTCAGTGTCAATGTAAGCCTGGAGTTACTGGTCAAAGATGTGACCGGTGTGAGGATAATTATTATGATTTTGGTATCTATGGTTGCAGGTAAACATATTCAATTCATTTATTTAACGATTACAGACAAGGAAATAGTTAGAGAACGATTATTTCAACAGAAAAAGAAGTTACCTAGTTTATTGAAAATATTATAAGATATTAATAATTTGATATTTTTATTTACATTTACAATCAAGTACATCAAATAGTATGTATTATTATGTATCTAAATACAGTCATTTTTTGTGTGTAAAAGGTACAATTAGATCAAGCCAGACATTTCAGTATTTCTTACTACATATGATATTGCCCTGGTCGTGAATGAAAAATGTTGCATTTCCACGGAATACCAAGGTTTATAGCAACACTGCTTAACATACTTTACTTCAGTAATGTAACTAATCAGATTAACACACTTGTGCTAACTGTTGTATTTCCTTTTTGAATCCTTTACAAAATACTGTGTAGTTCATATAGAATTAGTCGGTGCAAAGTTTAAGTTATCAAAAGGTTAATGTCTCTTTAGAAACAGTTGTAACAGTTTAAAAATGTTAACAAAACTGTAATAAGGGAAAAAGTTGTATTTGTATGTTTACATTTTACTTCTGACCTCTAAATTGGCTTAATTGGTATTATTAAGATCTGAAATTCGGTACTTTCTTATATATATGCATTTAATTTTTGTTTCTCGTATAAGTAGTCTTTTCTTTTTCATCCTTTACCTGGCTTCATGTGTAATGCTGACTTGCCCAGTTATGTATTTGGAAAAGTCTGTAGTGATTCAAATTTGAGCATATTACTGTTTAGAGACCTATCAGACTATATGAACGTGCAGAGTCCTGTCCTCTGTCCTGCATTGTTGACATAGACATGTTATTTTTGATTCAAGTTTTCAGATTATTTATTATATTTAATTAACATTTTAATTTGTCTGACAGACCATGTGGCTGTGTGATGGAAGGTAGTCTTGACAACCAACCAAGATGTGACTCTGACACTGGTGCTTGTCTCTGTAAACAGTTTGTAGAGGGACAGAACTGTGATAGGTAAGTGGTATATACCTCTTGTTAAATGATTATAGCTGGAGGATTGTGGTTGTATTACTATGGCTACAGGATTGTGGCTAGAGGCTTATAGCTGGAGGATTGGGGCAATGTTTTGAAAGTATAATTATCATGGTTCTTTGCATGAATTTAAAGTTACATTGTTGTAAGTGATAAAGCACTGCTGAATAATTTTTATGCATATTACAATATAATGATTTGCAGTAGCAGGCATTAATTGCGACAGTAGGAAGAGATTTTACCGTCCACTGGTAGTTTTTGCACCGTTTATGTAATAATCTTACAAAAATTGATGTTTTTTTAAAGTTCTAAGTCTTTAATTAATATTAAATAAGTATCAATATGGATAACACTTAAAAAAAAGGAAACAGAAATTGCTGAATTTTATCATTTTTCAATTCATAAATGTGTTTAAGAAGATTCTATTTTTTTACCAATCATGAAATGTCTATGGATATCATCTACTCATTGATTTATGTGAATTGATTGAAAAGTTTTGATATGATTGCTAAAGAGGGGAAAAAATTAAACAATTAAGCCATCAGATATTTTTATATTTATTTATGATATAAATAGCTGTCTCCTTGATTGATACTTTTATGTAGATGATATAAATAACTATCTCCTTTACCAGTTCTAGACATTCTCTAAATGGTAACTTATACTTGAAGTACATAAAAGTATTTCATTTCAAGTGACCACTTCAGATAAGTATCTATATAGGACAGGATTGAATAGCATCTATTCAATATCCACTTGACAAGGAATATGTTGTTAATGTATTTGTTCACCAATGGGTTCATTGAAAACACTCAAGAAATGATTGGGTGCTTGTATCTATTGCTAGCCTCTATTGAAATAAAATTGACATTTTTTTACCTTTAGTTACATTCTTTAGGGTGAAAAAAATTTAAAAAAATATTTACCAAATCTCATGTTAACAAATTTAATCAGATAAAACTGATGGTTATCAAGTATAACAGAATTTTTATAGAAAATGCTGGAAAACACATTTTTTTTTCTTTTGGTATTGAATAGTATCTGGCCATTTTACTTTGTATCTATGAACAAACCATTGTCAAGCTTCTGTAGTGATACGGTATTTCTTTGGTTTGATCATGGTAACTTGCAAGTATTGCAAAGTCTATGCAGTGTCTTTATTTCTCAAAATGTTATGTCATCTTGTCTATGTATGATGTTTTGTTTACTTATAATTCCTGAATTGCTTTTGATTTTCTACAGTCAAAGATTTTCAATTCAATAATAGAAAAAAAGCCTTTTAGACACTATATGTTAAATTGTTAATTGCTTTTTTAGATTTACGTATATATTTAATAACTCAGACACTTTTATCAAGGTAAAATACATGTTTTTTTTCTGCAGATCACTTAAATTTTTGTATATTTATTTATGTGATTTACTCTTTATTTGAATGTTAAAATGTTCCAGAATTAGCCGTTTGACTTTCAAAAGATCACTTAAGATACCCTCTCCACTAGGGCCACTCAATTTGTCAACCTGCCTCCTAATTTAATCTGTTTTAAAATTAATGTAAAACATTGCTATTATCTATATATTAAGCATGGTGTGTATATTTCAGATGTAAGCCTGGATATTTTGGTTTAGAGAAGGAGAACCCCTATGGTTGTATCTCATGTTTCTGCTATGGTCATTCTTCTATCTGTACTAATGCTACAGGATACTTCCCTAGACCCATACATACAGATTTTGAAACTGGTAACGTTATGAGTAATTCATGTAAAACATAACTGTATATTTAAAGACCCATTATGCCTCACAAATGCTGTCATTTTTTTATTTCTCAAAATCTTGTTATTTTTGGTATCTTGTTAAGTTTTCTTATGTTGTTAAATATCTAACATGCTCTTCATCCATAATAAGAACATTTTTCAGCGCATGTTTGACATTTCTGAGGCATAGTGTGCCTTTAATAAGCTTGTTTTGATAATAGATTAGAATATTCGGCTGATTAAATTTCTAAATTTATTAGTGTAAATCACAAAGTTTTCTGCAGACTTGTTGAAATCAGAGTGCTTTTCTTGCCTCTTAGAGCTTTGTTGATCTTGAAGATTTAACGTTTTGAAAAATATTAGCATTATCTTGTAGCTACACATTCTGTAATTTGAAAATCTACATTAGAAACATGCAGTATTATAATGGAATGTATGTGGGATAATTGAGCTTAGAGATTTAATTTAACCACTTAGTAGTCATTTTGTTTTTGTTTAACAGGAAAGCAAGGATGGACTGGAATAGACAGAGGTAACAATGAGATACAGACACAGTATAACGGCATACTACAAAACCTGGGTGTTTCAGCACCTGACGGGATTGACATGGTCTATTTTAATGCTCCAGGTATATATTTATTTTCATTTTATATCATAATCTACACAATTTAGCGTGATAGACTTGTCTTGGTATATAAATTTCAGATCTCCTCATTGTAACCTTAAGGGTTTTGGTTTTGTTTTTGCTTTCATATAAAAAAAAAATAGCCATTGAGTCTCTTTTAAAATTGCAGGGACATCAAGGCTTTTTTGGCTCTATGCTGGTAACATTATGTAACACTTGAGCTACTGGAATTTAAAGTATTTGATTTTGCCATAAATAAATTGCCAGGTACAAGAGCATGAAAGAAATATATAGTAGCTTAAGGGTTTCAAAAACTCTTGTGCTTGAATGATTAATTAATATTTACAAATTTTGTTGATATTGGTAAGATTTCCAGTGCAAGGAAAACATGTTTAAACAAAACAATCAGGTTGAATCTAATACTTTTAAAATTTATAATTGATATTTCAGCACGTTATTTGGGTGATCAGAGGTTCAGTTACAACCAGTTTCTGTCCTACAAGCTTAGAATAGGAGAGGAAGTCAGTGCCACACCTTCCATTGTTGACATCATTATCGAGGGAGCGGGGCAGAGAATCTCTGCACCATTCTATTCCCAAGGCAACCCCACACCAGGACTGGAGTCTGCTGAGTACAGGTTCCGTTTAAATGAGCACCCTGATTACCGCTGGTACCCACAACTTAAGTCCGAGCCTTTCCTGACAATCCTGGCTAATATCACAGCCATCAAGATTAGAGCTACCTACAGTAAAGGAGGTATGTCATCTTTTGTTTGGTAACATCGTATATCAAGATTATAGACATATTACCTGTGAAACATTTGTTAAAGTATTCCTTTTGTACCAATTTTATTTGCTATTCTCATCTTAGAATTTCAGCGATGCTTAGCAAATGTTTGAATAATCATCATTAAGTAAGTTGTAGGTTCTTATTGAGGTTCAGGGGGTTGCCAGTTGTCTGTATAACAAAGTGCTGTTTTCTTTAAGTATTTAAATTTCGTGTTCCATTTAGTTACAAAAAAATATATGTTTTGCATGTCTGTATTGTAATTTATATTTTGTTTTTATTATGTTTATTTATTTCATGGCAAGTAATTATATGTTTCTCAAATATTCTCATGTACAGGGGTAGGATTTGTGGATGATATACATCTAGACACTGCCAGGCGAGGGTTTAATGGTGAAGAGGAGGCGTCCTGGGTGGAGTCCTGTACCTGCCCAGAGGGTTATGTTGGCCAGTTCTGTGAATCTTGTGCCCCAGGCTTCAAGCGTGATCCTCCAAATGGTGGACCATTCTCATCCTGTGTACCATGTGAATGTAACGGACATTCTGATCAGTGTGATGCGAATCAGGTAAGATTATTTTGTTTGACTAGGGGTAAAAATAACTCATTGTTACCAGCTTTTTTGAATGGGGGTACACAGGGAAATAGTCTTGATAATTATTACTAGCATAGATATAGGGCATGGTTCAATAAAATATTTGGTTTGGGTTATTCTGCCTTCTGAAAATATTAGATAGTATTGTCTGTATTAGATTGATTTGAATCATACTATATGGATTATTTAGTTAGAGTGTAAATTTTGTATACTACACTGAAACAATATGGCTAAAGATAAAGTTTGTATTTTCCGTATATAAAGTACAGTTGGTGTTATTAAAAAAAAAGATATGCAAAAGTTAATTTTAAGAAACATTTCTCAGAAATAATTGTTGGAAAATTGCATGTTCTGTATGCAACACTTTAGACAGACTGAGTAAAAACTTTGAAACTTTTTCAATGTTGGTTCATTATTTACAGAGTAATTCCTCTGGAAAAAAAAACAAATGAGCAAATGATCTGAAATTTTGCACACAAGTTATTTGTCTAGATCTGCATCAAATCGAACATTAATCTCGAAAAGTTTTTTCCAGTTCTGTCATGTCAAAAAACCTCAGTGAAGTATTGGGAATTAAAAGTGTAGACTATATATTCTATAAGACATAATGAACAGCTGGGCATATTTATACATTGTTAAATTTGATATGTTATAGGCATTTTTTCTTCTCATTTCCCCTTAAAAAAACATGATGATAAATTTATAAAGAACATGTATTACTTGCATAGTAATTGTTTAAAATTTTCAAACTTACACAGGCCGATGTATTTGTAATGACAACACTGTTGGAGATTTCTGTGAGAGATGTGCTGTAGGTTTCTATGGAGATGCCAGGGAAGGGACGACAGATGATTGCCAGCCATGCCCGTGTCCTGGTCAGGGGCCATGTGTACAGTTACAGGGTGGTGAGATAGTCTGTACGGCTTGTGAAGAAGGATATGGAGGTAAGGACAGTATTTACATGCTGTATTTTGTACTGACTGGATTTGTGTGTTATATGTTAGACCTCCATGGAATAGAGGTTTAAGTTATTACCTTTGAATCAGTGTAAAATGCTTTGAATCTACAAGAAAGCTTATAATAGATTGATGGTTCTACTTTAGTTTTCCTTTCTTTGCTTTTATCTTTGATATAATCTCAAGACTTATATCATGTTTTTTGCTATTGTCAGTGAAGTGCTGGTTAGTTCCCATTTGACTCAATGTTTATATCATTGAAAACAGATCTCTGCTGCCTTCCCCAAAAAGAAAAACAAGGCTTAAAATAAATGTACATACAAAGTTATATTCTGATTATACATCTAATTTATTTACTTATTTTATTTTATAGGAAATCTTTGTGATATATGTTTGGATGGTTTCTATGGAGACCCTAAAGGTTGGTACGGTGCAGAGAGACCTTGTGAAAGATGTCAGTGTAATGGCAACATTGATCCCAATGCTGTTGGAAATTGTAACAGGTATGAACCAGTAATCTTCTCAAATACTTGAAAGTTAAAACTTAGAGCTGTGCAGAATTTGAGATAATGCATCTACATGTACCCCCCCCTCCCAAATAAAAAAATATGGATATTTTTTTGTTAAGTCATTTGTAATAGAACTTTTAGAAAGTAATATGATACCAATGGTTCATGTTATAAACGTGATAATCTGTATTATGAAAACTGCTTCATGTAAACATGTAAACAAGACATATTTATATATACAGATAGGGGAAATTGCTCTGTTCTTATATGAACCCGGTTTTCCAAATTTTATTAAAACTTACAATGGGGAATGTTGGCAGGTGGTTCGGATCTTTATTGTGAGGAAGCTATCAAGCTAGCTTACGAAAACGTTAGTGGTTCTACTCAGTTGCCCATTTGCACCTGAAATAATGCATAGAAGGGCACTTAAAGTCTTTCTCCACTAGTAAAGCTGGAAAGTGGCCACATTACCTATACTGTGTTGGTGCAACATTAAACCCAAAATTATTATTTTTTATGGTCTGGTTGAAAATATGGCGAACAAGTCTGGTATTGCATGTGAAAGAATGATGTTGAATATTTCAGAACAACTGGAGAATGTAGAAAGTGTATATACAGTACAGCAGGATTTTACTGTGATAAATGTTTACCTAATTACTATGGTGATGCCCTAGCTGATGAGAAGGGAGATTGTCAAGGTGAGAACTAATATTACTAAGCTGATTTTATTAATTGATTTACTCTCACATTAGTTACTTGTTATTAGAAGGTAATTTAACTACTCAGTTATATTTAAACTTGTATAATTTAATGTAAATTTATATCCGACTATCAATTAATCAGTACCTGAATTTATCATGATGTCTAGGTTTTGGTGACTTAAAGGTCCATTGGGCTGGATGCTTTTAATACTTTTAAATTTTTGTATATTTGTAACATATTAATAAAATATTTACTTACTTATTGTTGAGTATTTGGCTTTCATTTCATTTGGAACTTCAGATGAAGCTCAATTTATTATTCACTAATGGTATGATATTGTTTATTTGTTTCCAGCATGTAGCTGTTACCCTTCTGGCACCCTCACTGCTGGTGTCATCTCCTGTAACCCAGCAACAGGTGACTGTCCATGTCAGCCGAATGTTAGAGGGAGACAGTGTAATGAATGTGAGGAAGGTTATTGGAACCTCGACAGTGGACAAGGTATGTTGATATAGAAAACCTATCTCCAGAGTATTTACTATTAGGGGGAGAGATGGCCAAGTTGTTAAGGTGTCTGCCTCTCAACTTGGGGATAGTGGGTTTTAGTCCTACTCAGAATGCGATCAAGATTCCTTATATGACACCAGTACTGGTCAGTTCCTGGAAGTGAACTCCAAAGTGACTAATATAAGTTGCAAGAACTAGTTTCATAATCAAGCTAAAATAAATATGTTTTAACTAAGAGTATTTTACTGTTTAAAGTGGGGGTAGAGGGCGGAGTATAACAATCTGTGACAAAGTGTTTGATTCAATTACTATCATATTTATTCTAATTATTAGTTGCGAAAAGCACTATTTTCTTATAGTAGCATAAGAATTTACGTCGTTGGAATCCTATCCCAGCAATTCTTCTTCTAGGAGTAACTTTTCATAAACTGTATAATAGATTTGGTATTGGACAATTCTAATGTAAAACAAATGGGAGAAAAAACAATTGACAGCTTTAGATCACATGGCACTCAAATATTTTATATCATATAGATCTCACTACATGTAGTAAGTAATGTTTTATAACAATATTGATATAGTGTCTTTATTATGTTGTTATATTATCATATTGATTCAGGTTGTGAGGCATGTAACTGTGATCCTGAAGGTTCTCTCAACAACACCTGTAATCTCCTCACTGGACAGTGTGAGTGTAAACCAGGAGTGACTGGCAGAATGTGTGACCAGTGTCAGAGATTTTACTACGGATTCTCAATAGTAGGATGTACAGGTTAGCATGACAACATACTTTATACAATCCTACCCACCCCTAACCCCTTATCTAACCAAAACTCCTCTTATTCCCATCCACAACTTTTTACCTAATCCACATTTTCAACTCCTTACCAAAGCCCCAGCTCAACCCCTTACCTTACTCCCACTTCCAACTCCTTGCCTAACACCAGCCCCGAAGCCTTTTATTTTTTGCTTTATTTTGAAAGTTCAAGTAGAACTTTATGTATTGCAATAAGAAATGTACTCTTATAAGTGTAGTATCATTATTGTGTGTATTAAACATTGGCAAGTAGATATCAAGTGCTGTAGGATAATGATAATAAAATTATAATGTAAGTGTTGTAAAACAAAATCAAAATTTCATTTAGAGTAAATAAATATTATAAATGACTGAAACAGAGGATGTTGGTTTTTTTCATGTGCTTGAAATAATAATGTATATGCCATATGACCATATCAGTTATATACTGTTTTTAATTTTTTTTTATAGAAACAGCAACTTGATACACATACTTGTAATTCATTACCTGTTACTATTTATGACCTCTTGCTATGACTTTATGTCTTTTCACCATAATTCATTACCTGTTACTATTTATGACCTCTTACTATGAATTTATGTATTTTCACCATGCAGCGTGTAATTGTGACCCGGAGGGATCATTGGACATGCAGTGTGACCAGTATGGTAACTGTCCTTGTGTTGCTGGTGTCGAGGGTAAACGATGTGATAGATGTATGGAAAACAAATATAACATCACCGCCGGATGTATTGGTATGTATCATATACATTTGAGCCGCATCACGCCAAAACCAACGTTATGCATTTGTGACCAGCATGGATCCAGACCAGCCTGCGCATCCAGTTGGTTTTGTCGTGATGCGGGTCATTTAATGTCAGCTGTTAATGTATGTGAGTGGTTGTCTTATGGTTATAATTTCTGTTTCTCATCCAAATTGTAACGTTCACTTGTGGCTAAGGGGTCCCCTTAATAGTTGAAGCATCAGAATTGCATCCACCATTTATCCAAGAGTGAGGGTAATGGCACCTGGGGTTTATGCATCTTTTTAGCTCTATCAGGTGGGGTGGTTTTGACCCCTTGTGTTGTTTTGAAAATTGTAACACCTGAGGTTAGCCAAAATCATCTTTCCTGTTTCATCACCATATGACCTAAACTGTTGGTGCATGGTAAAATCAAACAAAATAAAACAGAGTTTAACGGTTTGAGTGTTATTTTGGTCCCAACAATGTTTTCTATATATCAGAAGTACTTGTTTGTCCCAGGAAGGGATGTTTAGAGAGTGATGCAAATAAGCTTCTACTCTCATAATATTTGTGGAAAATTAAATATGTTTCAACAAAATTCATGTAATAGACTTAATATTTGAATTTAGAAATATCTGTGGGTAAAAAATGCCTGTTAGTGAGTTTAATGGAGTCAGTTTTTGACATGATTTCATGGTCCAATATGTCACAGGGTGAGAAAATGTGTAAACTGACTGGGATTCAAACCCGGGATCCTTGCAAATGCTGTTACATGGCTCTACCAACTGAACTATCCAGCCGCTTACATATATTCTCCATTTTATAGAGAACAGTTCTAAACCATTTTAAATATAATGATTTAAATTTTTGCATTTATCAGTGTTTCCATTTGGATTTTTGCAATTTTTCGTATGATTTAACAAATACATTATTCTTGTTTCCGCAGATTGCCCACCATGCTACAGCTTGGTTCAGGAGAGAGTCAACATTCACCGTGGAAAGTTACGAGAATTGAACAATTTAATTTTGAACATTGGCAATGATCCTACAGCATTTAATGACACACAATTCCTAACTCAGCTTACGCAAGTCAATGACTCTGTCAATGTTCTCTTGGATGAGGCCAGAGGGGCTACAAGTAAGTGTATTCTACCTAGAAGTTGAATAAAGCATTGGTTTTAGCCACTAGCTAAACGTGTCTGATATAGAATTCGATTTGGGATTTTAAATTTCTTTGATGTGATAAAGGCATATAACCTTCTGAAGAAAGTTTGTGACTTTCACCAGGTGCTATAGTACCGATGAAAGATTGAAAGTTTAAATACCAGCAGAGACATTGATTTTGTTTTTAGTTTAATAATGAAACAGAAGAATATGAATACACAATAACTGAGATTCTAAAAGTCTTGTGGTTGAATAAGGATATTAAATACATAAGAAGGTATTCCCTTCCACAAAGACTGCCTTTTAAGGTATACAGAATACTTTCATAAGAGTTTTTATCACATACCCTTGTGAGTTTTGCTAGTCTATAAAAATGTAACTGCACGGTCTTGCATTTATTATGACATGACGTCATTTGCATTATACAAACATGTAAAGGCGTGCTGTTAGCGATATACAATAGGTGCATCAATGATAGATGATTCTTTTCTCAATGATAGATGATTCTTTTTCACTTTAAACAGTCTTTATTTTGTAATGTGTTAAATAGAATATTATATTATATTTGTGTAGGTTCATTACAGAATTTACTGAACTTGTTGAGTAGAAAAATATTTTGATAGCAAGAGGCTTGCGTAATATAATTTTACTCAACTTGTTAAATATACTTAGAATTGTACCTACACTCCTTCGATATCCTCTGTTACTACCTAAAATTGGTCTTATCTATGTGAGATGTGTTAAATTCTAAACCTGAGTTATATTACAGGTGATAATGGCACTATGGGTCAGCAATTACAGACATTGAAAGACAATATCTTAGAAATGTTGAACCGATGTGGTCAGATTACCAAAAATATCCTGACCGCCGGAGAAACTGCCCAGAGCAGCAATGACGATATAATGAAGGCTGAGGAAGCTATATCAAGGTCAGTACTGGTGCATTCACACCAGGGATATATGTCTGTCAGACGTGGGATTTCTGATATTGTGACCACTTCTTAATAGAGGCCACACTTTTCATTTTCCTAAGTAAATAATTGTGCAAGTTGATATTATTTGAGAGGTTTTATATCAATTATTTGAGAGGTTTTGTGTCACCTAAACTTGATATTCTCATAGCTTGTGTTTTATAAATAAGTTTGGCTATATATGGCTTTATATGATAAAGTGTCCTTTGTTCCAGCATAATAAAATCTTCAATTTTGATATGAATATTCTACCAGGTCAATTGAGTTGATTGTCTTCTTTGGATATAGAAAAATGAGCAATGTTTAGCTGAATTCAAATTATACATTCAAGAGAAATGGTGGATTTATTGATTTTTCTATTATCAAAACCTTTTAAAGTTTAAAATTAAATATATAAATAATGAAATTAACAAATTTTTTTACAGTTTACCGGTATATAGTATGTAAATATTAAAATTTATATTTAAAAAAAAAAGTCTACTAGTATATATTTGATGTATCTGCTATAACTAAAAGGAATTTAAACTAATGTAATGAATAATGCCGGAAAATCAGATATAGTCTTAGTTTCAGTAAAATTTTCATTTGTTAAAGCTGATTGAGATGTACAAATATTGATACATAATTACATGTTGTTTATAATGTAATTTGATTATAATGTAAACTTAAAGGGCAGAGACGGCATTGAAGGCAGCAGAGAATTATATCGATACAGAGGGTCAGGCAGCCTTACAGCGTGCTAAAGATGCTCTCAAAAACTTTGGTCAGCAGTCCGCTCAGATGACAGAAATTGCTACAGAATCTAAAGAGCTGTCTATGAGGTATAATTTGTTAAGTTTTACTTGAATTATTAAGCAGTTGATTCATATCTTGTTTTTAAAAATTGTGTTGCTAAATATCTTGTGACTTAAGATCTGATTTGATACTTGAGTGGTTTTGGCTGCTCTGGTTAAGATGGGAGTAATACAGGTTGCTCAGACTTGATTTGTTCAGGTTGCACTGTGAATAACTGTCCGGTATTTACTGTGGTTACAAATACTGTCAAGAAATTTGGATTCTTTTGTTGGAAAGCTAGCCAACTATCACATAGAAAGTCTATGTTCATCGTCTGGTGCCAGTTTGTGTCTGAAATATGTCTTAACATGTCAAGAAGGCTTAAAAAGTGCTCTATCATATTTGTCTTTAAATGAATAAATGCCGAAAAATCTAACACTGTTCTTTGATGTTATTTACTTAGGTATTAAATGAATATATGCTGCAAAATTTAATACCATTTATGTGATTTAAATAGATAATTAAGCAAAATTTTGGGACCATTAGACTTAAATGAAGAAATCTGATGTTTTCAGTCAACGGAGCTCTTTCAGAATCATAATGTTGTCAATTCATATTCTTATAAAATGTCGTAGTTTTCCAAAAAGCTGGTCATCTTGAATCCTTTAGGAAAAGTCATAGTAATATTCTTGTTTATTTGGTAAACAGGCAATTGGAGGAAGCTAAGAGAATTGAGATGATGTCTAAGAAAGCCATGGAAACTTCCAATGAGGCTCTCCGACTTGCCATGGAGACCTTACAGATGCCAGCAAATATTCAGCAAGATATCCGTGACATCAGACTCCGGTATGTTAGTAAATTAATATAATGCACTGATACAAAAGTTATGTTTTCAATCATTTTTTACTGCACCATATATAGTTGAAGCTCTGACCTCCTAAACTTGCATATACTTGCAGATTTTACCTCACAAAATATTTTCTATAGAGCGTAAAGTTGCAGATTTTACCTCACAACATTTTTTTTTATAGAGCATATAGTTGCGGATTTTACCTCACAAAATTTTCCACGGAGCCTATAGTTGCAAGTTTTACCTCACAGAAATTTTCTATTGAGCATAAAGTTGCACATTTTACCTCCCAAACTTTTCCACGGAGCATATAGTTGAAGGTTCGAAGTCATATAATCTTTTCCTTGGATCTATAGTTGCAGGTTTTCATCACAAAATCTCTTCCATGAAGCATATAGTAGTAAGTTACATGACAAAACAACTATTTTTGTGCCCCCACGTTAGTGGCGGGCATTTAGATTTACCCTTGTCCGTCCGTCCGTCCTTCCGTCCGTCCGTCCGTTCACATTTGTGTCGCACGTAACTCACAAAGTATTTGATCTAGAGTCATGAAACTTTACAGGAATGTTGATCAGCATGTGTAGTTGTGCACCTGGGTATTTTGGTCTGGATATTTTTAGTATTTTCAGAGTTATTGCCCTTGATTTAGTAAAATTGTGCAATTTTCAACTTGTGTCGCAAGTAACTCAAAAAGTATTTGACCTACAGTTATGAAACTTTACAGGAATGTTGATCAGCATGTGTAGTTGTGCACCTGGGTATTTTCGTCTGGATATTTTTAGTATTTTCAGAGTTATTGCCCTTGACTGAGTAAAATTTTGCAATTTTCAACTTGTGTCGCATGTAACTCAAAAAGTACTTGACCTAGAGTCATGAAACTTTACAGGAATGTTGATCAGCATGTGTAGTTGTGCACCTGGGTATTTTCGTGTGCATATTTTTAGTATTTTTAGAGTTATTGCCCTTGACTTAGTAAAATTTTGCAATTTTCAACTTGTGTCGCACATAACTCAAAAAGTATTTGACCTAGAGTCATGAAACTTTACAGAAATGTTGATCAGCATGTGTAGTTGTGCACCTGACCTGGGTATTTTTGTCTGGATATTTTTAGTATTTTCAGAGTTATTGCCCTTGACTGAGTAAAATTTGGCAATTTTCAACATGTGTTGCACATAACTCAAAAAGTATTTGACCTAGAGTCATGTAACTTTACAGGAATATCAGGGTTTTTTTCCAGTATTTTGGGAACATGACCCATACCCTTGAGATTGGGAATTTTAGCGGCATTTTGCCCAAAATTGGGAAAAAAAACCACAACATTTTCAAGTTTTCTGAGGCAATATATTCCTTTTCTAATATTATAGGATTTAGTTCACAAAAGTAGGTCTCTGATTTTCAAATTTTTGAACTGTGTTATTGTATGGTGTTTTGACTTTACACCTCCTGGATGTTTCACCCCTGGATGTTTCACCCTCAAAACCCTGGTGTTTTCATCACCACTTTTTAAATTTGATAAATATATGAAATAAATACCATTATGGGTTAATATTATATATAATATAACACATACTTGCAAACAATTACATTCATGAAGAAGATTTTTTTGACATAAATATAGTGAAATTTCCCTGGGAAAATAATTATAAATATGAGTTCTGAAAGAATTATCAGCTATAAGTCTACATGTATATATTATTTCATTTTTTTTTTGTTATCCAAAAATTAAATACCATAAAAATATTGATTAAATAAAATATGTTTTTATATAACAGATAAGAACAATTAGAAGTGTGAAACAATTTTGAATAAAGCATTATAAACACAGGTTTATTAATTACTAAATTAGCACCTTTAGAAGTGTGTAACTAATAGTTCTTTTTAGTTTTTATAAAATAGGAAATAAAATTATATGATGAAAATAACAGTGTTTATTTTAATGTTATGTTATTGTATTGTGCATACATTGTAGATATAGTAATTGACTCTGAATAAAATTTAGTAAATCTTATCATTTTGTTTTTATCTGTTTTTCATACATTGATACATATTTGGTAAATTTTATTTGAACAAGAATGTCATTTTTAAATAAAATTTCTTAATTATAAATTTCAAAAAACAAATATTCTCTCAATGTCTATCATGCAAATTTATATGATAATGAGTTATCTGTCATCTGTAGCTGAAAAAAACTCGCACAATTTGCAACAATACCAAACTTTTGCACCACTAAAAAACAACAATGCATACTTCAACTCGTATTTGTTGGAATTTAATAACATTTGATCATTGACAGGGACAACTGTATCTGATTTAAACTCGTCGCTAGAACTTTTAAAACCCCGAGAAGGAACATCATTGTGGTAACTCACGGTCACCGTTGAAGGATTTCCCATTAGTACTTGCAGTTTCATTCGCCGTTACCGTTTCAGAAGTACAACTCTTTTCCGAGAGAGTCGCTTGCGTAAACATTAAATCATTTTTTTTTTGTTTTTATCAGTGCTTTTTTAACGTGTGAAACATTTTGATTTACTTTCACTTTCGAAGGTCGTAGGTATCGTAAGACGCTCGATAAACTTATACTAAGAAATCAAGCGTCTACTTAACACGTGGGTTGTTTAGACGCCGGCTATTTGCTTAATTTTACGTTCCCCCAAAGATCGATTTTTAAAATTTTTTTTTTTAAGTTTTCGTTTTGGAATTTTTGTATCAAAATTGGGAAAAAAACATACTATTTTCAATTGGGAATATGACCGAATAACGGCTATAAAATCGGCCAAAAAAAACCCCTGGGAATATTGATCAGCATGTGCAGTTGTGCACCAGATATTTTCGTCTGGATTTATTTAGTATTTTTAGAGTTATTGCCCTTCACTTAGAAAATTTTTGCAATTTTCAACTTGTGTCGCAAGTTTCTCAAAAAGGATTTGACATAGTCAATAAACCTTATGGGCAGGTTGCTCAGCATATTTTAGATTTGCACCTAGGGTTTCGCTTGTGGATTTATCCAGTATTTGTAGAGTTATTTCCCTTGACTTAGTAAAAAGATTGATAGAACAGTGTCGCGGTGGGGGCACCCGTGTCCTAAGGACACATTTCTAGTTTTAAATGAAATATTAAATGGAGGTATGTTTATCATCATCCTCAATTAGTGAATAATTGGGATACTGTCATATGATCAGAGAAGTGTCATGGTATAACAAGATTTTCCCCCCTCTGTCATTGTAGAGCTGATGAAGCTGAGAGGAAGTATGATCGAACCAAGTTCTTTGCTGAGAAAGCATTGAACATGTCTATGGAGGCATACAAGGAAGCTTTAGATCTGTACTCACAGGCCACCTCTCTACAGCTGCCAGCTGTCAATGTCAATGAACTCCTGGATGAGTCTAACAGGATCAAAGAGGAGGTAAGTAATTTTCATTAACAGGTTTTTAAGGAAAATTGTTATGTTTGGTTTAAACATATTTATTTAAGCTTGATTGCGAAACAAGTTCTTGCAACTTATATTGCGAACTTATATTTATCACTTTCAAGTCCACTTCCTGGAAACAACCAGTATTTTTAAGAAGAAACATGGTCGTGACTCAAGTAGGGCTTGAACCCATGATCTCTTGGTTGAGAGTCAGACACCTTAACCACTAGGCCATCGCTCCCATTAATTGGTGTGTGAAGGCCATTGTCATGGAATTTTTTGTCATGTTAAAAAAATTGTTACATAAAAATTAGTTTTATGCTTCCAAATTTATATAATGTAACATAGTTTCAAAATTTTGATATAGTGTACCTCTGCTTAATTTGTATATGTTACACAAAATTCGGAAAAAAAAATTAACTCCGAGATAAGCTTCTCTTTGCTTATTATGTGTAATATTTCACATACTAAAAAGTGGTTTATAAAGGTTAGCTTTGTCTAGTAGAAGATGAGTAATGTTAAAAACAAGAGACCTAATAATTGTCAATTACAAACATTTTTAGTCAAATTGCATTATGGTTTGCTTTATCAAAGACAATAGATATCTAAAAACTCTGGTATGTATAGAACTATTGTCTATAAATAATTTTACAGGCAGCAGAAATTAAGCGTGATGCTATGGAATTAATTGCCAAGAATGAAGATTTATTGAAAGAGGTGGTTGACCAGAGACAGACAGCACAGGACTTACTTGATAGTGGAATTAAACATCAACAGGTACACTTTCTGTTCCTTTAGATGTTTGTAAACTTTAGTTGCACTATAAACAACTTAAAAATTTTGTGAAGTTTACTTCTCTAACATACTTATGCATAACATGCAAACATGTCATTGAACATCAACAGGTGGTTTGAAAAGTATTTTGTACAACTTTTTGGTATAACTTAATGATGGTGACTTGTATAACATATAAGTTAATGTTAATTCTGATCTCTAGAAAATAATAAGGAGAATATCTCATTTACTTTTTAGTTTAGTGGCTTGAGTTTTGCAGGGAATTTTACCTTCTTACCATGTCTTATGAAACACCTTTGAAGATGTCATGAGTGAAAGTGAGTTTGAGTTAATACAACACTGGCACCAGAAGCCTAATGGTTCAGGTTACAAACTTTGAAACACTTAATGTTTAGGTTTAAATCCTTGCTAGAGGCTTTAAGTTCATCCAATATAGAAGATATCCAGTTTGCTGATGTAAGGAAAATGTTTCTACTAAGGTACACGCTCATGCATGGAGGGGGCACATATGATCTTCCTTCAGCAGTTTAAACTAGAAAAATCAAAAGTTGTCATGTCATCTTTACTGTGTCAGTTTGATTAAAAATCCCCCTCAAGTACCTTCCCAACACCTCCCATTCCAAGTCCCCCGCCCCCCTAAAAAATAAAAAGTTTAAGAAATAAATATAACAGGTATTTATATAATTTTTTTTCTCCTTCACAGAGGCAGATGGATTATTAGCAGATGTAGACAGTGCCAGAGCTAAGGCAAGAAATGCTGTTGAAATGGGGGAGAGAACTTTGAAAGAAGCTAATGAAACTCTGCAAACTCTTCTAGGTAAAACATTTTTTGTTCATTTTATTAGTCTTTTGATCATCGTATAATGACGTGTGAAAAATATAACCCTGTAGTATCTTTAATTCTATAATTAAAAAGTTGATAGCAGTTGACCGTAAATCAGATGACAATTATAGTAGACGACGATTATTTAGCAGTATAAGGGTTGAAATGGTTTGAAATAGCTATATTCTTAAATTAGCATCATTAACAATTAGTACGTCCTTTAATAACACAGATTACATAATAAGCCTACAGCAATTTAATACAATTTGAAAACCCCCTTACCATTATAATACGTTAGTCGTTATTACTGTAGACGAAACAGGTCATAATGCAGGACACATATCGTAGCAGGTGAGTGAAATATTCTGCGGTTTTTATTTCTGCGGTCATGAAACTGACCGCAGAAAACGCAGAAATAAAGTCACCGCAGAAAAAACCACTTATACGGTATAACAGGTATTTATATAATTTTTTTTCCCTTCACAGAGAGCAGATGGATTATTAGCAGATGTAGACAGTGCCAGAGCTAAGGCAAGAAATGCTGTTGAAATGGGGGAGAGAACTTTGAAAGAAGCTAATGAAACTCTGCAAACTCTTCTAGGTAAAACATTTTTTGTTCATTTTATTAGTCTGCTTCAAATTTTGACAATTTTTTGCTTTACTTTCTGTGTGAGCTGCAACTAACCTATAGAAACTTTAACCTTTCTGGCAGTAGTCATTAGTTTAGTGATCTGGAGCCAACATGGCTCTGTTTGAAACCTTTATTCTGCTTATATTGGGTTTCCATGGCTGAGTGGTTAAAGCACTTGACTTAAGACCAAATGCTTCTCATGCATTTATCTTTGGATTCTTTCATGTGAGAAAGCTATTTTAGGGAACAACAGCGGTTCTACTCATGTATCTGAAATAATGCACATAGAGGCACGAGAGGTCTTCCTCCATCAGTAAAGCTGGAAAGTCGCCTTATGACCTTATATTGTGTTGGTGCAAGGTAAAACCCATTAAAAAAAAATAGAAAATAAAACATTCTGCGTAATAATTGTCATCATTTTTAGAAGGAATATTATGGGTTTAAGTCATGTAAGTCATTAATTTTATACTTGTTAGTTTGTAGGTTTAGACAGACTGTAGAAACTCTTGTCAAAGAAATAGTTTCCAATGTATGTTATAAGATAAGAAGTTAATAGAACTTATTAAAGTTAAATATACTTGTACATAATGTATATACAAAACTTTCACTTCCAGGATTTAACCAGGTGGTTCAGGACAGTCGAGGTAAAGCTGAGGAGGCCCTGAAGGAGGTTCCAGAGATTGAGGCCCTCATACAGGAGGCGGAGGATCGCACACAAGACGCTCGTGATGCCCTCAGTGGCGCTGAGAGCGATGCAAATGAGGCATTGAGTATTGCAGAGGAGGCTGAACGTGTGGCTCAGGGAGCCTCCGATGTAAGTGAATGATATTTGTGATTGTGTTTGTGAGTTGTAAAAAACTTAAGGATATACTATGCTTATCTTTGGGTAAAAAAATACTTTTTTTTGCAAGATTTAATTGAATTCTAGGAAATTATTTCTGAATTTGTCTTTTTTGATAACTATATTACGAAGGCTGAATTCCCTATTACTTGTCTAGTTCATTTGGTCCTTCAGTAAAAAAAAAACTTGGGTCTGAATTTCTTATTCTTTCTTAAGAGTGTCATGTAACCAAAGCAACAAAAACAGGATTTAAAAAAAAATAGGTCTTAGTGTCCTGTCCAGTATTACAAGTTTACACATAATGAAGTCAACAAAAACTTAAATGAATGGAAAATTGTGGGTGAAATAAAAATTATATATATATATAATTTCTAACTACTTGTGCTAAGAAGGACATACTGCAGTTGTTTTACCTGTATTAAACTGTTATTTTTGACATATTTTCAGGAGGCAAGCAGGATTCGTCAAGATGCACGCAGAACAAAAACAAAAGCAGAGGATCTTAAAGATCAAGCTGATCTCCTAGCTGATGATGTAAATGAATCAGAGGAACAAGTTAACAATCTCAAAATAGAGGCTGACAATGATAAAACATTGGCAGAAAATGTAAATATAACCTGTTACTGTATAATGGATATGTTGTTTCAATATCTTGTGGGTATAGGTGGAGGGGATGAGGATTGGGCCGCATTTTAACGGGTATTGTACATTGCTTGACTAAATACCTTGCAAACTGCTTCATTCATCTGGGGATATTTACAACACAAGCCAGTTTGCCATTATGCATGAAGCATAACTCTTTGGTATTCTTGTCATTTTGATTTACTTGAATTGGCATTTAAATATAGACATAGATTTGCCTTTAAAAATTGAATTATTCTGCTTGAAATATTTAATTAGGTTGCCTTTAAATATTGACTTATATTGCCTTTAAATATTGACTTATATTGCCTTTAAAAATGTACTTAGAGAGCCTTTAAATATTGACTTATATTGGTTTTAAATATTGACTTAAATTGCCAACTTGGACTTCTATTGCCTGTAAGTTTGTGACTTATGTTGGTTTTAAATATTGACTTAAATTGCCAACTTGGACTTCTATTGCCTGTAAGTTTGTGACTTATGTTGGTTTTAAATATTGACTTAAATTGCCAACTTGGACTTCTATTGCCTGTAGGTTTTGACTTATATTGCCTTTAAATATTGTTACAGGCTTTGCAGCAAGCTGGACAAGCTAAACAGACAGCTAAGGACGCTGCTGACAAAGTTGCTGATGCTCTTGCCAAGGTTGAAAACATCAGTAGCATTCTAGGTATGTGAGTTATAATGTTTCAGAAAAAAAATACCATTTTGTATAAATGTATCTTATCCAAATATGTGTATTTAAACCTTTACTGAACTTTGCGGGTGCCAACTCATGCCTGAAATAATGCACAAAATGTCAATCTGAAGTCTTCCTCTGCCAGTAAAGATTGAAAGTCGCGATTTGACCTATACTGTGTTGGTGTGACATAAAACACAACAAAAAGAGAAATCTTTTAATTTTACTACATTGTATGTGTTTCGATCTAATTATTGGTCAGATGAAAAATGTAATCTTATTTCTATAGTGAAAGCAATTTAATTTTATTGATTATTGTCATAGAATTTACATACTTACTGTTTACCAGAAACAGTGTTAATCTGTTAAAACTTACTTTAATTATTTATCTTACTTGATTGAAAAAAAATGAAACCTATATTCCTAACAGCTACATTGAGAGATTTGGACACAGCCGAGTTGGATAGACTAGAAGTAGAACTAGCTGCAGCAGAACAAACTCTAAAGGACGCAAATCTTGACAAGCAATTTGTCAGTCTTACCAACGCAAATGATCAGGTTAGTAATTCTACACACTTTTAAAAAAGAAAACATGGATATTTGTTTTAAGCATAGGTCTATTAGTCTACAAATCGGAACATGTCAGATTATTAGCTAGAGAACACTCTAAGCCAACAGTGGCCAACAGTCCTCAGATTGGCAGGTAGGTTGGTCATGACTTGTAAATTATCCCTTTTCATTTCAATGCAGGTCACAGTGAAATAGGATACAAACTGTTATTATTTTGTTTGTTGGTCATATCTGATAAAATCTTAATCCTAATCTTAAAACTGATTTGCTCTTTGCTATGTTTGGATATTTTTATATTGATACTTACCCAGCTGCATTAGTGTAATGGATTTTCCCAGATTTGAATCAGTCACAGTCCATTTTAAAGTTTAACAGATTTCTGTATCAAAATACAAAACTTGAGCTTCCGCTTCATATAGAGCTGGTCAGACTGCGGGAATGTGCAGGCGTGTTTGGCTCAATATTGGTAGTAAAGGCTAACCACTCACTGATTCCAGCAGGTCTAGGGTTACTTATGTTTGTGTGACATATTTTCAGAAAAGCAAAGCCCTTTTGAATTGGTTACTTTGATCAGAGAAAGAAATCAAGCTGTTCAAAGGATTCCAAATTTAACTTTGTGTAAAAATTTTAATATAACTAGTCTACCTGTTTCTTGACCTTCTTTATTAAAAAAGAAACATATAAAATCATATTCTGACATTTTTTTATTTTAGGTAAAGATGTATGTACAAGATTACAGACAAGATTTATCTGATCTTGAAGCTGATGTGTTGAATATCAAGGATATTATGGAATCTCTGCCAGATGGCTGCTTCAAAAACATTGATATTGAAACTCCTACAGCACAGTAGATAATGACATTGTTCATTGTAATATAAACACTGATTTAATGTTAATCATCATGTACAGATTGTCATAGACTTGAAACCAAAGTGTCGCTATTTTTTACTCATTATTCATTGGTGTTGACAAGAATCTGCGTGTGTTTTTTATTGTCAATCTTATTGACATGAGCACTGTGTAATCAAAGAAATTGTGATTTTGTGAAGTTAAAGAGAAAGCCAATGTATGTCTTAATGAGAAAACTTCTGAGAAGTAGTTTGTTTTTGTCGTTTTTTTTTTCTTTCTTTTACATAAAATGCTAGGATTTGTTGTGGCATTACTGAAAATCGTGTACATAGATTTTTTCAGTTGTCTTATAGTTTGCCATCTTATATTGAATGATGCCCATTTTATGTCCTTCTGTATAGATATTTAAACTTATTGATAGAAACATATGTCATACATTGCCTAGATATGTTTAATCAATGTTGCATGCGTATTTATGGAGTGTATCATATACTATTGCAATCTTTTTTTTTTTGTTACACAGAAACAGATTTACACCAAAATGCAAGTGAAATGGTAAAATCCAAGCCCAAAAATGTTAACATCAAATATTTTACAAATCATTTCAGAAATTCATTAAAATTTACTATTTTGAAATACATGTACCATACATTGAGAAAGAGAACATTTTGGGGAGAAATGAAATCTACTTTTCTGATATACTGTACTAAAGAAGACAATAAAAAAGGTTTTATGTTTACTTGCATATAAGGCATGGTTTTGTCTACTTTGTGTTTTAAGGCATATGCTGCATGCTGCGCCTTATAAGCAGGTGAATATGAAAACAATAAACAGACACCTTGTCTTATAACTTGTCAGTCTAATAGATGAGTAATTAGTGATTCAAAACTTTCTTATAGGTGAGAAATAAGTAATACATACAGAACTGTCTTGTTACTAAGTAATTACTGATATATATAACTGATCAACATTTACATGTATATTTATATGGCCAGTATATATGTGTGTATGTATAGTATATGTTCAATTCATCGTAAATTGACTGGTGGGTAAACTTCTATATCTAGTGATATTACGCTTGACCCTACCCCATTGACCATTGATCAAAATGTGGCAAACAGGAGAAAATGAACTGTGTAACTTGCATGTCTTTTTTGTATGATACTGTATAATTCAATTTTTACATCTTAGGTTTATACAATTTTTGAAATAAAGTTTTGTATTTACTTTCAAATTGAAATGATCTGTGTTATATATTTGTTTTATTTTGGAACAAACTAAACCAGGACTAATATCTAATGATTATGTACTGAATTTTTTAACATTAAAGTAGCTGAATTTGTATGGATAATTTTCCTTTTTTCGTGATTTTTTTTTATAAGTAAAGTAAATTTTGCAGCTTGACAAAAATATTTTTAGCATAAAATTTCGAAAAGGAAGTACAACATGCGTTTTACTTTCAGACACAAAAGGTTGTTCAATTTACATGTTGTTTTTTATCTCTTGAATTTGTATGAACATTTACATTTTTAAACAAAAATAATCTTTGTACGATATATATATATAAACAATTTACAGTTTTAATTTTATATTTGACATTTTACAAGTGAGATATTAATAAGTACATAAAAAACAAAGTTTACAATGAATCTATGCAATATTTCTGTGATCATTTTTTGTTTCATGTAATAATAGATCTAGTAAGTTAATTCAAATCCTACAGACTAATGAATCTCTTTAAGTAAGACGAGTCTTAGTAACAACTAGCTTATGGAAGGTCTGTGGTTCTATCAAGTGCCTGTTTGTACCTGAAATAATGTCACCTTATGACCTTTACATTACTGATGTGACTTACAACCTAACAAATACAAGCAAGAACTGTTTGAAAAGTGTATATTCCAAAAAGAAATTTTAACGTAATTTCATTTTCAAATCAATTATTTGACATCATAAACATTTTAAATCTTTTTACTTTTTGTGTATATTTATCAATGAAAGTTTCATGTAATGAAATAGAACTAATTATTTGTAAACATTCATTATGACAGCACAGGAATGTTTAATAAATGTATTAAAAAAATATGTTTAGGAGGGGATTTGTTCCCCATGTTATAAACGTCATGTAGAAATTTCTTTTGGGGAAGAATATGGAGAACGTTTTGAAACTAGACTCTTATCTGTATAGAAACCCTAACATTTTATCATTAATATGTAACTGTGCCAAACTTCATGTTCTGTGTTGTGCCTTTAGTGAGTTGCATTTCTTAACATATTGTATTTATGTACAGGTATGGTGTATATTTTCATTACATGGAGCCAAGGTATCTGACTCTTTAGGGAGGGATTGTGGGTTCGGGTTTTTGTTAGGGTAATGGCGTTGTATCTTAATATGCCACCAGTACTTGTTTATTAGGAGAAGTGGACTAGAAAGCGGTCAATATCAAGCTTAAAACTATTATTGCATTTTAGCTGAAACAATAGATATTTAATTCATTTTAAACAAAATATTCTATGCTTAAATATCTTGGGTTTTACTCAGGTGCCTGTTTGTGTATGAAATAATGCACAGAAGGGCGCCTGAGGTCTTCCTCCATCAGTTAAGCTTGAAAGTCACCATGTCACTTCTACTGTGTTGTTGCTATGTAAAACCAAACAAAAAAAATTAGATGTCTTGTCAGTTTTGACTATCAGAGTGTAGTTTATATAATATATAATGTGGTAACTACTGATTTTCAAAACACACCAAATTAGTTTTGTGTTGAAAATTGTAAACAACGTTCATAGAAATAATGAAATTTACACCAAACTGTCCTAGAATAGAATATCTTGAGTTATTTATATATATATATAATTATATGCTTACGATTTTTTTTTTGATTTTTTTTTATTTTTTTTTTATATATATAGATAATTGTGTATTTTGTATGATAAACTGTAATTATTCTATTGCTTTATAAACATAAGCTTTAAGAGAAAAGATGTATTAAATGTATAGGATTTTAGAACCATGAAATCAACTGATGTTGTTTATAGATGTGTTAGATGCGAGATCAGCTTATCATTTTATAAGACTGAGACTGTAGAGTACAATCTTTTATATACCATCACTTGTCATTTGTATGGTTATTATTTTTACATTGTTTTTCTCATCTTCATCAAATGTAATGTTTTTTTCCCAGTGCCTTATTTTAAACCTATATCTGACAAAGTTTTTTTAAAACGAGTGTGTGCTTCTAAACTTTTTGAACCAGTCCATTGTTACAGTGTGTGTACTGGGGAGGGGCTGGGGGTGTGGTGTGGCGGAGGGATGGTATCAAAAGTCAGTAGCAAAGTCTGGTAAGACGGCACATACAATGTACTACATGTAGCTCTATATGTGATGGTATGGTAACATCACTGTAGTATCTTAAATAAAATCTAAAACTTCTTACTTGAAAATCCAGTTAATGATTTTAATTGTCATATTGAACTCTCATTACTGATTTTGTAGTATGGTTTTTTTATAACAAAGGGAGATAATAGATATTTTAATGATGATGTATATAGAGTTTTCTTGTTTATTTTTATTCACCTTTTAAGTTACAATCACAAATTTAAGTTTTTTTGTCAGTCTGAAATATTGATAACAACATATTTTGAAGTCATGTTATTTTATAATTATTTTTACTATTTTATATGAGTTTTAAGACATCCAAATTTTGATTTAGGGTAAGATTTTATCATAAAGTAACATATACAGTTTAAAGAGGTGCCATCTATATCTCCAGATCTCTATGCAAGCAACAAACATAATGTGTTTCATATGAACACGTCATTTTAACTAGTGTAACTAATGATATCACTAAGCTTTTTTCTAAATAATACAACATTATCCAAATTTGATTAAAAATATATGTGTACATATATATGACATCATATGATAACTATATGTATGATGTTATCCCACAGATTTTGTCAAATATTTAGTATCACAGCAAATGTGATGAAACTGGGGAAAGACTTTTTTTTGGAAGTTTAGAAATGTTATCATCATTGCAAGAGATATATAAATAAAATATTTCAGTGACAATTTTAGTAGAATATAGGCACTTATAGGAGTGTAGTACATGTGTACTCTTGAAAATTTTGATGATGTTGTTTGAAACTTGAAACCATCATTGTGAACCTTATACTGCTGTATTACCTGGGAATTAGTTACCTCTGTTTTATATAAAGAAATGGTAAGAAATGATACAAGGGGAGTCACAATGATCTTCCTAGTTAGTTTGGTCTGGAATTTGTGTATTGATTTTTTTTCCTCCATATTTTCTCCAAACAAGCTTTATGTTCTGAAATAATTGCTGTTTTAGCAATGGTTGTATATATACCTTTTTTTTCTGTTTGCATTTGCTTTACTGTAGTTTTCCCCCTTATTTTATAAATAGAAACAAATTACAGGAATTGAAAGCAATGAAATCCATTTTTATGTCATAATGAAAACAGAACTGTATGCATAATGATAACAAGTTAACAACATAAAAATTCTCTTTCATAAAATATATATATTAAATATATTAGTCACTATCTTCATTCTTAGAAAATGAAGAGTTGGTTTGGAGATTTTTTTCTCAAGTTTTAAGATTATGCAAGTCATAAAAAAACGCTTTTGTGTTGATTTATTATATTGATAATTAATATGGGTAAATTGAAATATTCTTTATTTATTTTACTGATATTTCATTGGTAGTTCCTAAAGAAAACCCACTCAAGTTGCGAATTATTTGTTATAGATCTATTCATTTAGTTTGTTCTGTAAAATCATCTGACACAAAACTTATTATTATTCTTCAGTATACGTAAAAAAGTAAAAACGCAACATTGTTTTTAAATTTAAAAAAGAGAGAAGAAGCGGTGCTATACCATTAACAGTTTGTTTGCTTATTTTTTTAAACTTTATTTATATTTTATTTTATATAAGTGTATACCATACTCTTAAACTGAATCAGTTTGTAATAAATTGTACTTAGTATTCTAGTAAATAAAAATCTGTGTATTAGTGTATACATTATTATAGTAAAATTAGTAATTTGGTGATACTGCAGAGTTACCAAACACAAAATGTGTTCTTTCTACCAAATTTCTATTCATTTAGGTGATCATGTTATCTTACCTACTCTTGGACAGAGCTCAAATGGGTTAACATGTTTTGTTTGTTTTTCAAAAAAATCTGGTATTTTAGTTACTTACCTGTTTGATTCAGTCTCAAATTTAATCTACCTCTAAACTGTGAAATTTCCATGCAGAGCTTCTTTGATTAGACACTACTAAAAGAAACTATTTATAAAAAAAAACAAGTATCAAAAAAATAACCTAGAATCAAGAAACAGGTAATTTGGATTATTCATGACAATTATGCTTGCTTTGATTTTTATATCCCTGTCTGAAATTTTGTATTAAAATAAACCATTGTTAAAATATCTCTTGTTATTTATATTTTATCCTTGGAGGGTCCAAATTGTTGCTACCTGAAATACAAATTGTTGCTGCTGCCACGAGTCCAAATATTTGCAACCTGGAGTTCAAACTTTTGATATCTGGAGACCTGGTTACGAGGTTATAAAGAAATTCTCTAAGTCTCTCTGATTGGTCAGAAACTGTCATAGAATAAACACTGACCAATGAAAATTGTGAGAATTCAGACAGAACAAAAAAAGTTTTATAACTTGGAGGTGAAATCTTACTGCCTGGAGTTCAAATAATTTCTGCCAAGATTCTATGTAATACCTTCTGCACACTGTCCACTTGGTGCTGTATACAACAAATAATTATTATTGTAACATCTGCAATGATAATCTTGCTCAGTTCAAAAAATACTAGGATAGATTATTTTTATGGTCTATAGACTTAAGCTAGTGTGACAATATTGTTGTGATTTCAGATCCCAGCTGTCTAGGTGTTTCTCAAGCGGTGTGAGGTGGCCCTGATTCCAGTTTTTCCAGTCCTACAAGTGACTGATGTACAAATAAATGAACCTTGTCCCAGCATTCGTGGGTTTCTCTCAAGCGGTATGAAGGGGCCCTGATTCCAGTCTTACACTTGACTGATGTACAAGTAAATGAACTTTGTCCCAGCATTCAGGGTTTCTGTTAAGCGATGTGAGGAGGACCCTGATTCCAGTTATTCCAGTCTTACACTTGACTGATGTACTAATAAATGAACCTTGGTCATTTGGTGGCTCTGCACTTGGTAGATGTAAAAGATGTCTGGCTTATATAATGTTGATTATAAAGCATAATTGTGTTAAAAGTCACATTTTGCCCATCCAAATGTAAATGGTTGGTGAACAGGTAAAAAATAAAATAACATGCCATTTGTCATTGTCAGTTATTACTATAGTCAATCTTTTGAAATATATTACTAATTTATTTCAACTTGACAGCAAAAATTGAGTACAATGTCACTGATAGAAAATAATTTTGCAGTGGCAAGGAAGCTATGTGCATTCTGTTGATTAATTCTCTGTTATGTGTTCCATTTAAAAACTTGTTTCTTTTTTTGTGTCGCCAGTTGAAAAGGTGACATAAAGGGGTTACTTTTGTCGGCGGTGTCGTTGTCGGCGTCCCCTTAAGCTTGTCCGGAGCATAACTCAGTCACTATAAGTCTGATTGACTTCAAACTTGGTATGCATGCTTCTTTCAATAACTTGAAGTGCAGTGCACAAGGACCGTTACTCTGCAGTTCTTAATTTTTGAGTTATTGCTCTTTGTTAATTTTCATACTTTAATTTTGTCCGGGCCATTTCTCTTGAACTATAAAAGCTATGGATTTGAAACTTTATAGGATGATAGATCTCATTAAAAAGAAGTGCAGTGCACAGGAACCGGTACTCTGCACTTCCTAATTTTTGAGTTATTGCCCTTTGTTAATTTTCATACTTTATTTTTGTCATGGCCATTTCTCCTAAAGTATAAAAGATATGGACTTGAAACTTCATAGAATGACAGATCTTTTTGATAAGAAGTGCAGTGCACAGAAACTGCTGCTCTGCACTTACTATTTTTTGAGTTATTGCCCTTTGTTAGTTTTCATATTTCATTTTTGTCCTTGCCATTTCTCCTAAACTATATTGTTCACAAGGCGACACATCCGACTCGCGGAGTTCTAGTTTTTTGTTGATATGCATATTCTTGCCTCTGCTTAGTAAGTATATTACCAAAAGTAATCCTTTGACCTGGTACAAGGTCTTAAATCAAATCTATACCAATGCTCAATTTAAAGGTGACCTTTACCATGTCTGCCAAAGTTTGAAACAATTAATAAATCTAAAAATGTTAATGTAAATTATATGTTTCTATGGATATTGACTGTAATCTTTCTATATGAGCCATGAAGAATTCCACAGTTCCATAGGACAGTACTAGATGATGTAAGTCTTTTGAGCTCACCTATCACAAAGTGACATGGTGAGCTTTTGTGATCACTTTTTGTCAGGCATCTGTCCGGCGTACGTCCGTAAACTTTTACTTTAAACGACATCTCCTCATAAACGGCTAAGCCAATTTCATCCAAACTTGAAAAATTGTTCAAATAATTTAATTCCAAGCAGACCTCTGGTTGCCATGGCTAGAGTTTAAATATTTGGCATGAAACATCTTCTAGTCAGTGTCTACCAAGTTTGTTCAAATAAACACCCTGGGGTCATAATTGGCCCCGCCGGGGGGGGGGGGGTATTGATTTTCCTTTTATGTATATAGTAAAAACTTAAAAAATCTTGAATTAAAAAGCCCAAATAGCTAGAGCTTAGATATTAAGCATGAGATATCTTCTAGTGGGTGTCTACCAAGTTTGTTCAAATAAAAGCCCTGGGGTCAAAGTTGGCCCTGCCCCAAGGGGTCATTGTTTTTCCCTTTATGTATATAGTCAAAACTTAAACAATCTTCTTTTAAAAAATCCTAAGAGCTAGAGCTAAGATATCTGGCATGAAACATCTTCTAATGGGTGTCTACCATTTTTGTTCAAATAAGGGCCCTGAGGTTAAAATTGGCCCCGGCCCGGGATCATTGATTTTCCTGATGTGTATAGTAAAAGCTTGAAAAATCTTCTTTTAAAAAAACCAATTAGCGCTAGAGTTCAGATATTCAGCATGAACTTTCTTCTTGTGAGTGACTACCAAGTTTATTCAAATAAAAGCCCTGGGGACAAATTGGCCCTGCCTAGAGGGGGGTCATTGTTTTTACATATATGTGTATAGTAAAAACTTAAGTCAGAGCTTAACACATCTTCAAATGGTGTCTACCAAGTTTGTTCAAATAAAAGCCCCTGGGTTAAAATTGGCCCCGTCCTGTGGGCCTATATACAGGTGAGCGATTTCAGGGAATGTCTCAACCTGCTTATATACTTATATTCTAAAATTAACAATTATGTTGTGAATTTGGAACATATTCTATAATGAAGTTCTAGCTAAAAAAATTTAGAAAGATATAGTGGTTTTGAACCATGAACAAGGAAAATAATTATCTTCACGATGTGTTGTTATTACGATACACCATCCGGGCCGGAGAGCTACAACAACAACAACGCCGATAAAAAAGGAAATCTAACAAAGAAAATTTGGTATTGCTGGACTTTATGATCATCAGATACAAAAACATTAGGATGTGTTCCTATATGCAGACATTTTTATTGCAGTTTATGTTTTGATTATGAAATTATAATCGTATATCTACTTGTTCTTTATCGATTGTTTTGTTTATCACCTTCATCATGTTCATCTTGCCGATTTTGCCAAAAAAAAAATACGTGAATTGAAGAATTAGCTGTTAGAGTTGATAGCAGAGGATCGCTGGATCGCTTAAATTAAGTCATTGTTTTTTCCACATTGTGACTGCAGTACTTGTACGAAAGTTCATGCCAAGCTAATGTTGTGCAACACCAAAAATTTAAAATTATTACATGTATCAAAGATGAGCTGCCCGTTGAAATATAGTCGCTGTAAAAAGTGCCTCCGGATATAAAGTGTCTTAAGGATACATATTTTATTTTGCCAAAAGTAAGAATTTGTCTGAAAGGGCAAGTATCAGATTATTTATCCAGGGGTTTAGTCCAACTTACTGTACTATGCAAAGAGATATTGAGCTATTTTGTGTATGGGTAATATCTCTCCTGGAAGCGACATTCAGACCCAGATCAAACATATTTCAGAATTTAGCTTTGTCAATTTATTTTGACTATCCAGGAATTGTTTGTTTGATCCTCTGGCAAGTCCAAGTTTTTCTGTGACAAATGATCTCAGACTTTGACTGTTGGTCACTTGTGGTAATTTCTGGTTAGTTATCAGGAAAGCCAGTTAGCCTGATCATTTGCTGATATAACCAAAAATATTTTGTTAAAATTGGCATTAGAAAAAAAATGTCTCGGGATTGAAGTATTAAAATTAAATTAGATCTATTTTATTTTTTAATTAGGGGGAAATACATACATGTACTTATAAATTAGGGTATAGAATTGGGCCATTAAATTTTGTCCCCAATTATCATCATCATACACATCATCATACACAGAAATGAGAATTCTGATATACAAGTACAAACAAGTTTTAGATAAGACCCATCGTTTCATGAAGACCAGTTGTTTCATGTGTCCATCTTAAGTTATTAAAACTAAAAATGCTGATTATTATTGATTTGATTCACATTTGTACCAAGTAGGAAAAGTAATGCAGTAAAGTAATTATCATTTATAGTTTTATCTAATTGTAGCCAAGAGATTTTTTCTGACTATTTACAGGTAGATTGTTGACTGTTTGATATTGTATACATACATCTTTGTTTGAAAATAAAAATTTGTATATAAAATTAAACTGTCTTACTTATTTCTTTATTGTTTATTGATTTATTAATATGTTTGTTTTCTTATTTTTAGGGCACTGTGAAATTGAAAACTAAAGGACGAGGGGCAGAAGAGAGGTATATGTCTAGTGGAAATACTCGCTCCAACTCAGATCTGAAAATAGTGAAAAATGACTCAAAAATTTATAATAGTTATTTGAGAATATTTATCAGAGATGAGAAGGTCCAGTATTCCTCATTAGACACTGTGGGTTATACATTCTAAGCAGAAGTTTGTGAAGTGTTGATTTTCCTGCTTCATTGATAAATGTTTAATACAGTTTACAGATGTTTAGTTTGGCTTTATTCTGTAGACTTGTACGACAGCAGGAACCAACAAATCAGGACCTGTTGCTTAGAATGAATTCAGTTTTGTGTATGAATTTTAGTATAATAACTATAGAAACATTATATTTGGGGGGAAAATCATGCTTTAAATCACGATGTTAAAAGTGTTGTTGAATGATTAATTGACACTTTACCAAATAAAATTACAAAAGATATCTTTTCCCAAAACTTGAATTAATTAAAGTTTAACTTGGATTATATCTGGGTATTTTTTTTGACAGCCTTAATTTTATTTTGGAAACGTATAAAAATGTTATTTGAATCTATAGTTGTTTATTTTGATGTTTAAGTGTAAGTAATAGAGTGTCAACTGATGATTTACTTTGATGGACATGAAAAAAGTAATATAACGGTTTATACATGAAATTTAAATGCTTGTAAATCTGTTAGAAAGTATAAATACACCATGTCAATTAAATATGACTAAGATATTTAGTTAAAGGCACAAACTTGAATACAGCAAGTCTGCCCAGTTGAAAACCTTAGTATTAAATAAAAAATGTCATTTCTCTTTTCAATGTGCATGATTTCACAATAAGGTTTGTTTTTTTCATACAGAAAAACTGAAATTTTGATAATATTATACCTCTCTCTTGAGCAAGAAAAAGATCATTGTTGGTGTACCAAGATCTATTTATTTTCTGGCTTTATTCTGCTCAGAATTTAGATTTATACACTTTCATAGGATTTCATTATACTAAATTTCATAAAATATACATGTGGCACTGTAGGCAATTAATTAAATGAATGATACTGAAATGAAAAGAAAAAAAAATATTATCTATTTTCACCAATTCTCTAACTATAAGATTTTGAGGGGGAAAAATCAGATCCTTTGAAATTTAACAATTTTTATGCTGGAAAGTTTACTCGTGAACTTGTTGATCATCACCAAACTTGCTATAGATAGGAACTTAAGATAGTTTCTTTTTTTATAAGTATTTGTCAAAAATATGTATTTAAAATTTGAAATAAGAATACAACAACAATGAATTATTATCGTAAAAGCAGCAGATTATTGTCCACTCTCTAATGGATAGATCCCTATATGATCTTAACATGTCTAATTCAAATTATCAGATTAGTGCGTTACAATAAGAATTCCACCTTAACGAGCACATGCTGGTGTTTGTGGTTAAATTGATTATTATTCAAATGAGCCGCGTCGTGACAAAACCAACTTTATGGGTTTGTGACCAGCATGGATCCAGACCAGCCTGCCCATCCGTGCAGTCTGATCAGGATCCATGAGGATCGCTTACAAACCCTATTACAAGTAGAGAAACTGATAGTGAACAGCATGGATCCTGATCAGACTGCGTGGATGCGCAGGCTGGTCTGGATTCATGCTGGTCGCAAACCCATTATGTTGGTTTTGTCGTGACGCGGCTCAAATAAAAGTCAGAGTAGGGATCCATTCATCTTTTATATATGATAACGTTTATCTTATGAGAAAAATATTCTTTGTGTTTGTTTAGTTAATTCAAAGGTTTCTTTTATGGTCCTGGAGGAAGGTAGTCTAGTACTGGTGTAACTCTCCAGGAACGATGGTTAGGAAACTAACCGCCTATATGACTGAAATACTGTTGGGAAAAGGCGTAAAATGAAACAAACAAACAAAGGTTTCTTTACAATAATCAATATGAACTATTTTTGAGGTGTGATACTGTATTGGGCCAGACTTCCTGCCAGATACACATTTAAATCTAAAGGTCATTATTTCATTGACGTGTATACATTTTCTACTATCATCTTTCAAATTTACTTAGAATGTAAAACTTTTAATAACATTAATTTTACATCAAGAAAGCCTTTGTATAAAGGAAGATAGATTGAGATAGGTTTGAACTGGAAAAAAAAGACTGAATAAAAAAGCCAAAGCCATTTATTTATAAGTATAATTATGAAAATTCATCAAAAAATGTACTGGGATTTTCTGAAGAGAATTGTAGAAAAAGGTGAGTAATTATTAATTTTATTTTAAAACTAACATAGTCATTATAATAGTATATAGCTGTTTTATTAGTCCTCTACCGGTTTACCAGAGGGGACTTTAGGTTTACCCTCCGTCCGTCTGTCTGTCCGTCCGTCAGTAATTATGTGGCTAGAGGGACAATAGGTAACAGTTCTTTCTCTTTGATGTCATTCATTCTGTAATGCTTTTATGTGGCTATTTTCTTTTGTGTGGCTAAAAAGAACAATAGAGAAGACAATAGAGTAGCCACATAATTACTCTCCTGTTTGAACGTCCGTCCACAAAACTGGATCCCGCGATAACGCAAAAGTACTGAAAATATTTTAATGAAACTTGATATATGGATAGATGGCAGTATGGAGATTATGATGATGCACGTCTTTTTCTTTTCTTCCTATGTTGAAAATTCTGGTTGCTATGGCAACAAATAGACTGAAAATATGGCAAATTTTACACATAACCTGGATCCCTCGATAACGCAAAAAGTACTGAAAATATTTTTATGAAACTTAATATATGGATAGATGGCAGTATGGAGATTATGCACGTCTTTTTCTTTTTTTCCTATACTGTAAATTGTGGTTGCTATGGCAACAAATAGACTGAAAATATGGCAAATTTTACACATAACCTGGATCCAGTGATAACGCAAAAAGTATTGAAAATATTTTTATGAAACTTGACATATGGGTAGATGTCAGTATGGAAATTATGAACATCCTTTTCTTATCTTCCTATGTTGGAAATCCTGGTTGCTATGGCAACAAATAGACTGAATTTCAAGATTTCTGATTCTAGTTTTTAAGTTTTTTCACTATAAGTTCTTTATTTCTTAAGGTATTTTCTTCAAACTTTAAATATAAGTTGTTAGTCATCAACCACATCATATGTGACAAGGTTTTCAACTCTGGGACAAAATTTATCAGAATTACCTCCCTTGAACTTAAAATTTTCATGAAAAAATATTGTTTTTTTTTTTAATAACTTCTTTTTTTCTGAATGTATCTACTTCAATCTTCATATAAATGTTTCTTATTATCACTCAACTTTTGTGAGAAAGTTCAATACTCTAGCAAGACTATTTCCAGAATTATGCCCCTTTTGAACTTGAACTTTGAAAAATTGGTAATTTTTACTCCAACTTCTTCAATCATGATAGGATTTTCTTCAAACTTCCACATCATAATAATAATTATGACAAGGTTTATAAATCCAGAATAATCTCCTCCTTAAGCTTTTAATTTTTCCTATTCGTTCTTTTAATTTTCATTTACTTCAAATTCAAAATAAACATTCACTATTCATACCTTTATGACTAATTGTTCTTTGTTACACTCACATCATGTATGACATCTTGCATCTTTATTTCAACAGTTATCTCCTTTTTAAAAATTTTGCTTTTAAAAATGTTATATTTTGATAACAGGGATGTTAAAAAAATAACTTTAGAGTGTCCTTCAGTCCGTCTGTCTGTCTGTACATAAAAACTGTTTCCTGTGATCACTTTTAAAGAACTTTTTCAACAAATTTACTTAAAATAGAAACATAAGTGAATGGCCAATGAATGTTGCTGGGGTTCTAACCGGTAGGGGACTTATGGATTGCTTGCAATACTATGATAATTGCTTGTTTATCAAGTTATTTATCAACAGTGTGATTGTCAAAGTCAGATTTTCATATCTTTATCTTACCATACATATATGTTCCTAAATATAACTACTTGACTTGTTCAGCTTTGAATGTGAGACCTGTTGCCAGTGGAGACAGTTCTATACTGGTGATATATTCTTGTATTGTTGTTGGCACTTACATGGTAAACATTGTTTGACATTTTGATATAAAAAAACATTCTAACTTGTCCATTAAGCCATAATTATACTGGTATCTGTATTTGTTTAGGTTCAAAATGATTCTGTAAAATTTATGAAGCTTTTATATGTTGTCTGAGATGAGATGCAACAACAGAATTTATCTAATTACAGCACTGCTAGCTACAGAGTAAAAGCTAAGTTTGTGACTTGCTTTTAGTATAATTATTACTGCAATATGTTTGCACTGAATATTGACGTAGAAAGATTTTGGCACTATAATTTCAACAGTTTTGCTATTCACAGTTAAACTATGGCATATCCACCACCACCCCCACCCCCTGGGCCGATGAAGCGACCCTATCAGGGAGATTGGGCACCACCAAGACCAGCTAAGGAGCCAAGGCCTCCTGGTACAGACGATTTCTCGCGTGGTCCAGGGTCTCAGTGGGGTTCAGGCTATTCAGAATATGGGTACTATGGCTGGGGAAATCCCGACTACACTGAAAACTTTAGCTCAGATGGTTACCGTGGTAACATGCAAAGTAACAACATTAATGTGGATTTTACAGATGACTACTCTGCATTTTATGGAAAAGGTGACTAAAATTATGGAATTATCTATTCTACCTGGCTTGAAGATGAAAAAGACGTCAATATTATGCAAAATAAGTTTTGAATCCTCAAGATTTACTTGACAAACATTAGGGGGTTATTACAGCTTTTGTCGAGCATTAACATGCTTATAATGTCCTTTGCTCTGAAGGCTAGGGCCTAGGTGTGGGTATGGGATGTAATAAGTCTGAGGACTTCTGTAGATGTTAATGTATGAAAAAAGGTGCATGATTAATGTTATTTTCGTGTATAAAAATGTACATCAAAAGTACATATTCTGTAATTTGTATAGAAAATACATTGATTGTGCCATGCTTTTCATGTGTTATTACAATGTCATTTGTCAGTTATGCTTTCAGGTGTCATTGCATTCAGCCCGAGTCTAAATATACAAAGACTTTCTCAAAAACTGTACTATCAGGTTTTCATATTCTTATGGTTTAAAGAAGAATTATCTCTGTTATTTACTAGAATGTTTTCTCACAAAATATTGAACAGCTATTTTTTTGAAGTTTTGGTGATAAATTTGTGCATGCATAAGCAGCTGAATCCAAAATTTACCAACACCCCAGTTTTTCGGTTTCAGTTTATGTCTTTTCTGTTTATGATACAAATTCTTTAAATACTTCATTATCCTTTTATCATTATAAGATTCTAACAGTAACCGTGGGAACGGTAATCAGAGAGGAAACAACAGGGGCAACTTTGCTGGAGGACAGTTCCAAAAGACACAGGGTGGTGTTCAAAATAGAGGTCAAGGTCATCTGAATAGAGGTCAATTCAATCAAAACAGAGGTCAAGGGAATCAGAATAGAGGTCAAGGGAATCAAAATAGAGGTCAAGGGAATCAAAACAGAGGTCAAGGGAATCAAAATAGAGGTCAAGGGAATCAGAATCGTGGAGGTCGAGGAGGAAATCGTGGAGGGCAGAGGGGACAGTTTAGAGGGCGAGGTAGAGGCATGCAAAGAGGTTTTTATGTATCAGTTAATGCAGCATAATTTTGTATAAACTTTCATCCATATATAATTTTAATGCATGACTATTTGAAGAAACTGGAGCTCTCCTGTATCAGGGTAACACTGGTTTAAGGTTTACATCCAATTTCTTTTATCATATCTCATCAACCATTAAAAATATTTGGTTGTAAATTTACATGTTTATCTAAGATGATGAAAATGCCTTTTGGTATATATCAACAGCCCATAACTAGATAGCTTCAGTGATCACTTAGTGAATAACTGCAAATTGTTGTATGCATGTAACAAATGAAAATAGATAAATAACATCTGTCCTTTGGTATAATATATGACTTACTAATATATAAATTGACTCTAACCAATGCATTGTTGACTGTCTGTATTGAATGTGTATGATATTTTACAGGTATGCCGCCAAATATGTTCAGTAATCCACGAGGTAGAGGCAAGGGAGGTAATAAGGCAGCAGTTTTAGCAGTTGTCCCCCCTGTACATTCTCTAGCTTCAGCTAAGCCAGACATTCTTGACATTCAAAATATGTCACTTGCAGAAAAGGTAAATTTGCTTACAAAAAACAAACATTTATTTAGAATTTCTGTGAATCTGTCAATTAAGGTTATGGAGGCATATTGTATTACCCTTTTCTGTTTTAAGAAAGTGTGTGTCCGAAAAAAGTATAATCTTTGTGTCTTGATTATAACTTTATGATGCATAATGGGATTTCAAAATCAGTTGGTTCATACGCCGACCTTAGGTATAAAACATGTTTTGTTCAAGACCCAGGTCTCTAGCTCACAGGTTATAGTCACGGCAAAGGATGGAACTTTGTGTAATTAATTATCAAGTGCTAATAGAGGATGTGTCTGGTCCATAACTTGCATGATGGGATTTCTAAAATGAACTAGTACACATGATCTCCACATGTAATATACTGTATATGATGTTTTGCCTGTAAAGGTTGTGCTTGACTGCCAAATAAATTACTGATTGTATTGTCATTGCTTGATAGATTGTAGAAATATTTAGTGTGTGTCTTCAATCATTCAGATGATGTGTGGCATGTAAGACAAATATCCACACAAGATATGAGCCGTGTCATGACAAAACCAACATAATGGGTTTGCGACCAGCATGGATCCAGACCAGCCTGCGCATGCGCGCAGTCTAATCAGGATCCATGCTGTTCGCTTACAGACCCTATAACAAGTAGAGAAACTGCTAGCGAACAGCATGGATCCTGATTAGACTGCGCGGAGCGCAGGCTGGTCTGGATCCATGCTGGTCGCAAACGCATTACGTTGGTTTTGTCATGACACGGCTCATATAAGAATTTAATATGATCCAGATGTTTATATTTTTCAGAGCAAACTTCTTTAAAACTATATGTAAATTATAACTAGTGTTTTCATTTGTATCCATTTACATTACTTCTTCAACTTAATGCAATAACTGATTAACTGCTATAAAATTCATAAGGAGTTATTCAGTTATTTGCACTTAGGCGATGACTTGCTTTTATTGACAACTAAGATGAGAATTGTTTGTATATTTCAGTTGCACAGATTTTGTTTGTACTTGAAAAATGATGACTCTATCAAGATTAATGCTATACAGACTATAATGAATGCTATAACAAGTTCTAAACTTGGTCTTAAGGTATGTTACTTGTCCATACATGTTTTATTACCAAACGTCACTTTTGTTGTGCTTAATCATGAAAATCATTTCTACTGTAATTCACACTGTACCATGCTCTAGCATGTATAGAAGTTATCAGTTACTTGCATAAGTGAATGCAACTAGTACTGGTAAACTGCTTGACAGTCTGCCAAGGACCGACTATGCTCTGGTGAATTCAAAGTGGCTTACTGCTGTGATCCAGATGGTCAGCTATCAACATCACCACAAATATATATGTAATTCTTAACCTACTGGAACCAAAAAACTATTTTTATTTGTTCTTTGTTGGCAGGCTAACTTAGATATTTATTTTGATAAACCCAAAACTGAAAATAGCATAGTCCGAAAAATGAAAGCATCGCACTTCTGTTAAAGGTTTATGTATGTTAATGTCAAGATAGCATTTCTTAAAGTTGTAAAGACACTGAGGCATTGTTATTTTTACTTTATGCATGATAAAACTAACATAAGTTAGACTGTAAACTTTAGACAATGTATTGTGTATGTTTTATTGTCAGGCGACTTACGAGTCAGAGGAGCTGGCTAAGGTAGCAGGGAAGGCGATGTATACAGGTGTTTTAAAACTTGATACAGTGTTTTTAGCACGTGCTATCAGACCGAACAAAAAAGAGCTGAAGCAGGAAGTGTTTCAGAAAGCCCTCAACGTGATGCTGAGTATGACGGTTGCCGAGATTTATAACCTGGTGGATCCAGGTGCAGATGCTATAAGGTAAATTAACCTGTATCCTGTTGAATTACCATAATAGACTTGGGAGAACTCATATTTTTGAAGCAGTCAATGATAGATTTAATGGATAGATGAAATTATGGATGAAAATAGAGATACTTTGGAACTCTGCAAAAATGGGATTTCCCAGCTAATTTCCAGGTACAAACAAACTTTTACAGTTACAATTTAGTAAATATACTGATAACTAGCACAATGTGTTAACCATTCAATTGAGAACGGTTGATAGTGGAGTTTTAACAGTAAAAGTTTGTTTGTACCCCAGGATGAGATGGGAAAAAACGACATTTACCAAGTTCCAGATAATATCTTTTGTAAAAAAACCTGGTTTCAGCTATGCTTCCACTTTGATCAGTCACCATTTATCCCTTAACACAGAAGAGGCGACTAAATAGGTTTGAATTACTGGAGTCTATGTTTCTCTTAGCTCCAGCAGGTGAGATGGTTTTTGCTCCTGGTATTGTTTTAAGTTTGTTACACCCAAGGTAAATGCTTTGAGCTTACATACAGACTTTGATATGTTCTAGAATCTTTGAGTCTTATCATATGGTTTAATAAGTTCCTACAAAAGTGTTCATGATATATATATATATTTATCACATAAACCGAGGCGCAGGAGTGTAATAAAGCCATTTAATAAAAACGATATTACACTAGTGTAATAACACTTTGACGTGACGTCATTTGCGCTATATATAAACATAGCGTTAAAACGCGCTAATGTTAGCGTTTCGCTATAGGCGCGTCAATGAAAAATGACTCTTTTTAACAGTTTACTGTTTCTTATTTTATATATGTGATAAAAGGAATATTATATTCGTGTAGATTCAATACTAAATTTATTGAACGAGTTGAATAAAACAATATTATGCTCGCCAGAGGCTCGCATAATATGATTTTATTCAACTCGTTCAATAAATTTAGTATTAATCTACACTCATTCAATATCCTCTATATATGTACAAATAATTAATGTAATGATTGTAGAGAGGAGCTGGACAGACAAATGAAGGCAGAAGAGACCTTGAAGTTAGATATTGATGACACAATTAAGGAGTGTGAAAGTGCCGAGGCCAAGTCTCTTGTGGGCGGTGACATTCAGACCATTCTTAGCCAACTAATTAGTACTATAAAGGTGTGTTTGTATGTTTCCTTTTCAATTTTAAACCTACTTTACCAAAATTCCGGGAAATTTTTTTTGGGGTAAAAAAGGGTTTAAAGGAAATTTTTCCCAAAAACTTTTCCTAAACCAAAAAAATTTTTTTTTTTTTTTAAAAAACCAAAGGGGCGATTTTAAAATATTTTTAAAAATTTTAGGGGAGGCCCAAAATTTCTTCAAAAAAGCCCGGGTAAAATTGGTTTTGCCCGGGGGGTATTGTTTTTAAGTTTTTCCCCCCCAAAAAATTTTGGGTTAAAACCTTTTAAACGGGACAAGATATTTTCTTAAAAACCTTTAAGGTTTTTAAAAAGGTTTTAAAAAAAGGCCCTTAAAAAATTTCCCCCCATGTTTTTCCCCCTATATGTACAAAAAAAAAATTTTTTTAAAGGTTTTAAAGGGGAGCTGGACAAAAAAGGGGCCGGAAAACCTTAAAGTTTAAATTGTTCAAATTTTAAAGGGGGGTAAAATTTCCCCCGGGCCCCGGGGGGTCATTAAAATTTTCCAACAATAAAAAAATTTAAAAAAAATTTTTTTTAAAAGCCCTTTTAAAAAATTTTTAAACAAAAACATTTTAACTTTTTAAATTTTTAAAAAAACCCTGGGTCTTAATTTATTTTTTTTCCAAATTAAATTAAAAAACTTAAAAAAATCTTTTTTAAAGAAAAAAGCCCCATTGGGAAATAAACCCCTAGGGCTTCTTAAAAATTTGTTTCAAATTAAAAGTTGGGGTAAAAAATTCCCGCAGGGGTTTTAAAAATTTTCCCTTTTTTCTAATTTAAAAACTTAAAAAATTTTTTTGCCCAAAAGAAACAAAATTTAATTTTCAAAAATTTTTTAATGGGTTCTCCAAGGGGCCAAAAAAAATTTTTTTGGGAAAAATTGGGCCCAAGGGGGGCATTTTTACCCCCAACCATTAAAAAAGGCTAAAAATCCCTTTTAAAAATTTAAGACAGGGTTGTGTTGACTAAAAATTTTTCAAAAAATTTTTACCAATTTTAAAATTAAAACCCCGGGTAAAATTTTGGGTTCCATCCCCTTTGCCAAAAGGAAAAAAAATTAAAAAGAAAAAAAAAATAACAAGGTTAAGAAATTAAACCTTTAAAAACTTTTTTTTTGGGGTTAAAAAAATTTTTTTTGTTAAATTTTAAATTTTTTTGGGTAATTCCCCGCCCCTATTTTTTCTTTATTGACCCAAAAATTTAAACCCTTTTTGAAAAAAGAAAATGTTAAAAGTAATATTAACAGAAAACCTAAAATTTTAAAAGGTTCATTTTCCCCCTGGGGTCAAAACGGGGAAGGGGCATTGAAAAAAATTTTTAAGAAAACTTAAAAAAAACCCCTCCCTTTAAAACCCCCAATTTGAAAAACTTTGGAATTTCCCCAGAAAAATCCCTTAAAGGGGTTTTTAAAGTTTTATAAATAAAATTTTTTTTCCCTTGCCAATTTGGGGGGGGGGGGTTTGGTTAATTTGGCCCCTGGGGTTAACCTTTTTTTTGCATTTTTTTAAAGTTTTTTTAAAATTCTTTTACTTAAGTTTGGAAAATTTTGTTTTAGTTTTGGGTTTTAAAGAACTTTGGGACTTTTGTGCCTCCGGGACCCTTCATTGAGGAAATTTTTTTCAAATGGGTAAAAAAAGGTAAAAAGCTCAAACCATTTTTGGGCTTTTGGGTACATGGTTTTTAATTGAATGGGCCCAAAAAACCCAATGAAAAAAAAAAAAAAAATTTAAAAATTCCCAAAACCAGCTGGAGTTGAAAATGATTAAAATTTGTCATTCTTTTGCAGTTAAAGGTTTCTTTACTATTGGTTGAAAAAGAATTGGAATTTTAAAGGGGGACTGCCCCAAATTAAAAAAATTGTTTACACGGGTTTCAGAAAGGGCAAGAAAGGAGGGGGGAAATTTTTTGCTTTAAATTGTAGTAATTTTTGTATTTTGCTCATAAGTAAATGTATGTTTTAAAATTTTTAAAAAGGAATAAATTTTTCTTTTAAAAAAATAAATAAGGAACAAAACTTTTTAAAATGTACATTTTACTTATTCTTCAGTTTGTATTTTTTCTTTTTTAAAAATATTTGGATGGCAAACAAATAAAATGAAATTTTGACATTAAAAGAACGTTTTTGGCTGAATTAATTCGAAGTCTTGGAAAATCAATTCTTTTAAAAGGGAAAACCCAAATTAACCAGATTGATGTGGTTTTCCATGCAAAAGGGGAATTTTTTCCTATTTTTATATTTAAACTTGAAAAGGAAAAAAAAAGACCCAAAAATTAATACCCATTAAAATTAAATTTTCCAGAAAGTTTTCATAATTTTTAAGTAAGTTTTTCTTTTTTCCTTTTGGGGAAATAATGACTGATTTGTTGTTATTTAAAGAAAAACCAAAATAGTATTCCCCTATTGATTCGTCTTTGCTATAATGTTTCTTATTTTTATTTATTTCCTTGTGTTTTCTTAATCTTTTTCTCTAAAATTTGTTTTTAACATATTTAATGTGAAATTCGAAAAATTGACTTGGAAGGGGGAAAGGGGGAGGACAAACCTTACAATTTTTCTGTTTTTGTATTTTTTCATTAAATAGACTGTCTTTCTGGGGAAAAAGTCGGGCTTTTATGATCACCTTGTTTTTTTTTGAAAACCTTTAGTTTTTTACATAAACTTGGGGAAATTTGGCTTTCATGGGCGGGTTTTTGGGAAAAGGGGTATAATTCTGATAAATTTATTTTTTTTGGAGTTTGCACCTTTTTAACCCTTTGTTTTCCCCCTTTTATTTTCTAATTGGGGAAATTTCCCAACCCCGAGGGGGGGTTAAACTTTGTTTTTATTATAAATGTTTTATCTTTTTAAAAACCCAATTTTTAATTTTTTACTGAGGGCACACTCACGACGTGATTGTATGGTAAAGGTATATAATATGGGATGGGAGATCCTGACATCTACAGATGTTGATACATTGATCACCCAGCATAGACAAATTACTGACGAAGAGATCAAAGACCCAACATTACTTGATGTCTTAATAAAAGGATCTGGTGAATATAATTACAGTATTAACTTGCCTTCCCCAAAGCCCCCAGGCTCCCAACTCAACATTTAATTAAGAACAGCTTGTTTATAAGTAAATCATGAAAATAAATCTTAAACAAATTTAAAAATTAGAAAAGTTTAAAAAATTTAATTACCAAAATTTGGAAAAAAAAATTTTAAAAAATTTGGGTTTTTTTAAAAAAAACCTTAAAAATTTAATTAATTTTCCTGTTATTGGGAATTTGGGGAAATTTTCAGTAATTTTCCCCCCAAATTTTTTTACCCAAATTTTCAACCCACCCTTTTTTGAATGGTTGGTTTTAAATCCCAATTTTTAAATTTCATTTATTTTTTTTAGCTTAAAAATTTTTTTTAAAGGGTTTGGGTTTCAAATTTTTCATTTAAAAGAAATTTTGGGGGTTTTGGGGGTTTTAAAACCCCAAATTTTCCCCTTTTGAAATTTAACAAAACCGGAATTTAAATTTGATTTAACCCCTTTTTTAACCCTTAGTTTATGGGTTTTCCCTTTTTTATGGGAAAAGCCGAAATAGAAAACAGACAAATTGCCCCCCCCAAAAACCCCGGTTCCCCAGGCCCCACCCTTTTTTAGGAGAATTTTTTAAACCCTCCCCAAGGTGGCACATTGGGTTTTTTTAACTTAATTTAGTTTTTTTCTTTAAATCTAAAAAAAATTTCTTGTTCCCCCTTTTTTTTTAAATTTTTGACAAAAAGCAAAGGGGGCATTCTTTAAATTTGGGGTTTTTAAAAACTTTTAAATTTTTTTTTTTTCTTGGTTTTTTCACATAATGAAAAACCAAAGGGCCAAATTAACTTTTTGGGGTTTCTTTTAATAAAAATTTTGCCCCCCTTTTTTTTAAACCCAAAATTTTAAAGGAATGGGGGAAAAATAAAAGAAATTTTGTCAACAAGGAAAACAGGTGTTGTTTCATTTTAAGAAAGTTTTCCCCAATTTGCCCCACAATAGGGAATTTTCCCCGAAATTTAAAGTAAACCCTTTTTATATCCTTTTGGGGGAAGGGGCAGGGAAAAATATAACAGGTTTTTAAAAAAAACTAAGATGTTTAATAATCTCTTTTTTTAGGACGGACAGTAGAGTCGAACACAGCTGGCCTGAGGAGGTTTGGGTATGACATCAATGATTTAGAGGATCGTGACATAAAAGACCTAATTATCATGGAGCACAGTGATTGGTCAAAAGATCGTATGAGGAGTGCCTTCTGTATTTTACAGTTCAGCTGCAATCAGAACGGTATGATTCTACAATGGGAAACAGATGCCCTTTAAAAAAAGTTTTCGGTAAAAAAAATATTTTGAAAAAAAATTAATTTTTTCCTGGGGGAATTTTCAGATTAATCCTTTTTCCCGAGAGAGATTAAAAAGAACTCTTTTTTTGGTACCTAAAAAAATTTTAGTAAAATGGTAGTTTGGGGGCCCAGTGGTTAAGGGGATGCCCTTCCCAAACCCAAAAATTTATAAATTTTTTGGCCCCAAATTGGGGCAAAAACAATGTATCATCATATGACATTAGTACTAGTGGGTTCACACTCTAGAGTGGTTTCAAATAAACTTTAAGCTTTGATCATAAAGAAGCTAGATTAGATATGTTTAAACATAATTAGATAAACAGTTTAGAAAATTATCAATTTGTTAGCTTGTTTTTAGCTCTGCTATTCGAAGAAAAGGGAGAGCGATTGTACTCACCCAGGCATCAGTGTCACACTTTAAGTCTTTTGCATGCAAGTTGGTATCTCTATAACTACTGAAGGGAATAAATTGAAACTTTACACATTCATTTGATTTTGAGAGTATAATAGATCGCTGTCCAAGGTCCATAACTGTAAAACATGGATTTTAATGAAATTATAGTCCCTTTTTGAATGTAGAAAATTTTACATTATCCTGGATGTTATTTTACTATCAAGAACTGAGAACAGTCAAGCATGCTGTCTTGTCTTATTGTTTCTTTTAATTGACAGGTAGGAATCTAAATCTGATATTGTACAAATAATACCCCCCAAAAACTGCTAGCATTGATGAAGTTCTTAACAACAACAAAGTTACTTACAATTATTATCACTCTTTGAAACTAACTGTAATATTTATGAACATGTATACCATGTATGTTTATATATACCACTAGATGTGTGTTATCAGTACAGAAACAGATTATGGGTGACAGTTATGGATCAAAGAAAGCTCATGCAAGAAACCTGGCAGCTACCGATGCCCTATTCAAGTTATATGAGACACAAGATGTCATCAGGGTATAACAGATTATTTTTATGCCCCCGCCATGTAATGGCAGGGGCATATAGTGTTACCCTGTTCCGTCATTCCGTCATCATCAGTTTCCGTTCATTTTCTTAATAACCCTTGCACATATTGAACTCAAATTTGACATATGGATATGTCATGAGAAAATACAGGTCAAGTTCGAAATTGGTCATGGTTCGATGACTTTTGGCAGAGTTATGCCCCTTTTACATTGAAAATAATATGAAATTTTCAGTTTCCGTTCATTATCTCCCAAACGGTTCAAAACATTCAATTCAAAATTGACATATGGATATGTCATGAGAAAATACAGGTCAAGTTCGAAATTGGTCATGGTTTGGTGATTTTTAGCAGAGTTATGCCCCTTTTACTTTGAAAATAATATGAAATTTTCAGTTTCCGTTCATTATCTCCCCAACGGTACAACACATTCAACTCAAACTTGACATATGGATATGTCATGAGAAAATACAGGTCAAGTTCAAATTTGGTCATGGTTCAATGATTTTTGGCAGAGTTATGCCCCTTTCACTTTGAAAATAATATGAAATTTTCAGTTTCCGTTCATTATCTCCCCAATCGTACAACACATTTAGCTCAAACTTGACATATCGATACGTCAAAGGAATGCGCAGGTCAATTTCAAATTTGGTCATGGTTCGATGATTTTTGGCAGAGTTATGCCCCTTTTACTTTGAAAATAATATGAAATTTTCAGTTTCTGTTTATTATCTCCCCAACAGTATTAAACATTCAACTCAAATTTGACATATTGATACGTCAAAGGAATGCGCAGGTCAATTTCAGATTTGGTCATGTTTCGATGATTTTTGGCAGAGTTATGCCCCTTTCACTTTAAAAATAATATGAAATTTTCAGTTTCCGTTTATTATCTCCCCAACAATATTACACATTCAACTCAAATTTGACATATGGATATGTTTTTTGAATGCGCAGACCAAGTTTGAATCTGGTCATGGTTCAATGATTTTTGGCAGAGTAATGCCCCTTTCACTTTGAAAATGATATGAAATTTACAGTTTCTGTTCATTATCAACCCAACAGTGTTACATATTCAACTCAAAATTGACATATGGATATGTCAAAGGAATGCGCAGGTCAAGTTGGAATTTGGTCATGGTTCGATGATTTTTTGGCAGAGTTATGTCCCTTTCACTTTGAAAATAATATAGATACATCTTAGGAATAAGCAGTTTAAGTTTGAATTTGGTCGTGGTTCAATGATTTTAGACAAACTTATCTTTCCTGAATGTTGGAAAAATTTTGAACTTTCAGTTTCAGCACTCATACTTTTGTGGAAATGTATATAGCCATTATGTTGGCTACAAATATGCAATATGCTATTTTTAAAAGGTTAAGACTGAATAATTTCAGTGCCTTGAACATTGTATAAAAATGGTTAAGAGTGAATAACTTCAGTGCCTTGAACATTGTATAAAAATGGTTAAGAGTGAATAATTTCAGTGCCTTGAACATTGTATAAAAATGGTTAAGACTGAATAATTTCAGTGCCTTGAACATTGTATAAAAATGGTTTGTGTTAACATTGAAAAGTTTTAAGGGCTTTGAACTTAGAATGAAAAAAATAATTTGTGCAAACAAATTTGGAACTAAATATTATAACATTTGAAATTTTGGCTGCATGCGGGGGCATCCGTGGCATGATGACACATTTCTAGTTCCTTTAAGTTTTATAAATTCACAAGGAATATCAAATGAGCCATGTCATGACAAAACCAACATAATGGGTCTGCGACCAGCATGGATCCAGACCATCCTGCGCATCCACGCAGTCTGATCAGGATCCATGCTGTTCGCTATCAGTTTCTCTACTTGTTATTGGGTTTGTAAGCGAACAGCATGGATCCTGATCAGACTGCTCGGATGGGCAGGCTGGTCTGGATCCATGCTGGTCGCAAACGCACTATGTTGGTTTTGTCATGATGTGGCTCATATTTATTTATAGCTTGTCTGTTTTAAAGAAAAAAATCTGAGCTATTTTAATCTTTGTTGTAGTCAGCATCATGCAAAAACTTTTATTCAGCCTATTGTTCAGTTATTTCAAAAGTTATCTACATAAAACTTTGAATACTTGCTTATCATGACAAATTGCAGTTGCGAGACATGGAGTATACTTTAGTTTTTAGTGTTTTTTTTGGTCGAAATATTCGGCGATATTCGGCCCCTTTCCCCACCTCTCGGAATATATATTTTTCCCCATGAAATTGCGAAAATTCCCCACCGTCAAAAAAATAAACCCAAACAAGAATCAAACTGAACTGAAGTCACTCAGTTAATAAAGTTGTTAACTAATTTCAATTAGTTGTTTTATTTATTTTATAGGATTGTTAAAAAATCATGTATTTTTAGTCTTTTTATTGAATATTAATAACACTGAAAATTCCCCTTTTTTGGCATTTACGCGCTATTTTTCCCCACCCAATGGGCACTGACCCCCTTCCCCCAAAACTGAAAAAAAACACTGGTTTTGGAGTTATGCCCCTTTTTACCTTAGAATTTTTGCGCTAAACGGAACCATGTGGTGTTCTTGTTATCACTTGATGTCCTTTGTTTCCAATGTAATATTACAAAACCATTACTTTCATATTTCACATGTCAAATATTAATGCCATGCCATCATTAGACCCGGTGTAAAGTCAATTGGTAATGATTATGTTTAAAATGATGAATTTGTCAGGAATATTATTAAGCTCACTATATGTGTCATAAAGTAACATGTAGTTTAAACTCATATTTTAAGAATTGAAAGAAGAGAACATTCACTTCAGTTTTAAATTCATGTCATGTACTTGAAAAGTTCGACTTGTTTATTTTGTTCAGTAGTATGAAAACTTGATATAAATAAATAATTGCTCGTGCCTGCAATACAGGGCACTCGAGGTCTTACTCTGCCAGGAAAGTTGGAAATTCTGACTAATCTTAACAGTATTGATGTAACTAAAATCCATTCCATAAAATTGCATTTGTCTATTATTTATTAAATGTCATTAATGAAGTGTTGAGTCTAATTTCTTTCTCAGTTTTTTTGTTATTTTGAAAGTGAAATTCTTCAAACTATTGTGAAACAGTTTCAAATGCAAAGCAAAACAAATATCTATTCACATAGAAGGTAAGTGTTCAAGACCTTTTTTGCTGTAAAGAATGAACATGTTCAGTTGACGTAATGATTACAAAACAACCTTTTTTCTCTTCATATTTCAGATATCTCCAAGAATTGACGATGAGAAGAATTGGATATCTTGGGATACTATAACAGCAATGGCTGAAAAACTTAGAAATGAAAATGTTGGTGAAGAGCCTATTGTTAAAAATGACGAGTTCGGAAATCCACTGCCTGATTCATTTTTAATGACTGTACTTAAGGGTAAAATAGATGAATTCCTAGCACAGAAAGTCCAGGATGAGCTCATATTTGGTCTAGGGATAAGTCTGACAGAAGGTAGAGAGGTGAGAAGTTACGCACTTAGTCACAAGTTGAAGTGTGACACAATGCAGTACCAAGGTCAACCCTACTTGCTGATTTATGAAAAACTTGGCTGGAAGAAACTTGTTGAGGTGTTAAAAGGAAGGGACAGACCATATGGAAAATTCATCCTTGTCAACCGAGAAGATTTACCAACGTACGAAGATGTGAGGAATAATATCTTGAAAGAATTGCCAAAAATTGAAGTAGAGTTCACTAGAAAAGTAACAGAGTCTCCTGATGGTGAAGTAAACAAGGACATAGAACCTAAAGAAGAGGAGGATGTTAAAATGGACAGTACATGAGGGACAGTTTTTAGCTCGAATGAAAACCAGAGTTGTTGTCATCACACACTCCTTTGTGTTGGTGTTGATTAACCTTTTTGGTTAATGTTTGTTTATGGTCATTAATTTTAATACTTATAAAGCTATTTTATATAAACTTTATATGTGAATGCACCTTGACAAGTTCTACTTGCAACACCCATTTTAGATTAAAAGGTCAAGGACACTGGTCACTTAGACCTGTAATGAAAGATACAAGTGGCCATTGACCTAGAAACTTCAAACTTTGTACGCAAATGCACCTGTATAAGTTCTAGCAACCACAATCGTTCACTGGTCAAAAGGTCAAAATGATCAGTAAACTTTTTAGATTAAGTTTTAATATTACTTAAATAATGACTTTAAAACTTAATATGTGGATGCATTTGAATGAGTTCTGTCTATCACAGTCATTTTTATCAGAAATCTTGGACTCTGTGACTTACTTTATTTCATGTCTTTATTTTATAGAGAATGATCAGTTTACTATCCAGCAGTGTGATGAAAGAATAGCAAATTCTTGGGTACTTTAGTAAAGAATATTTGTTGTATATTTGATAGATCTTTTAGGATTTTGACTAGCAATGAGTGATTTGAGGGGGTTTAAGAATTTACTGTTTTCCGGATTACATGTATTTTACATTTATATTTTGCTTGCCTTGCTGTCTAATTGTTTAAGAAATTTAACTAAAGGATTATGTTAAAAATTATGTTAAAGAGTAACATACACAAGTGTTTTATGCATGTTTTTTTTTATCTTAATGAAATTCTATTACAGAATTCATTGAGGATTTAATTAAGGATCAAATTGTAATTGTTTTAAAAGGTAATGTGAAGAAGAGTATAATAAAATATATAGATGACTTGGTGTTTTTATTGAACCTTGTTATATTAAGGGTCATTGGTTATTTGTGTTATAGAATATGTTATGCTATATCATCTTTATTATACAACAATACCACAATGGTTATACTGGAATCACTTTACTGTGTTAGTTGGTCTGAATGATTTGTTCAACTCCACCATATCTGCTTTATAAATCCTATACCCATTGAAAGATGTTCTTTTCAAATTTGGCTGAAATGTTTACCTAAACAAAGTGATTGGCAGAATCCATGCCTCTCTTGTGCTTGGTCAAGGACACACAGGGCAAATTGTCAGACAATATTGTATCCGCTCTATAAATTGTATACCTTTTGAAGAACTGGACTGAAATGTTGACATTGACAATGTGATGTGCCAAACCTTGCTACCTTTGTGCCGAGTCAAGGTCAAGGTAAAATGACCAAAATGTAAAGTATCAGAGAATGTCCATGTATAAACTGTACACTCTGTCAAGAACTTTCTTCATTCCTTACCTCCTAACTTTTGTGTTATTATTTCTTACAGCATATATGTGTTTATCTGGCTCTTGAACAATAATGATACCTTGTTTAAGTTAAGCATTAAAGCTTCATCACAAGTTTCTTGTATATTTATTTTCTGTTGTAAATCTTTAAACAAGTTCTAATGAATCACTTTAATTTAGTAAACAATTTAATTGAAATGTTCAAAAAGAACTCGAGGTACACATATCAAATTAGTGAAGTCATTCTCTTTGATGTTTAATTAAAGACACAATAGAAGTGAAAAGTAAAATGCAAGGAAGGAACTGGTGGCTATTTGGTACAACCAGCTATACTGGAAGAAGATATAACTATACGCAAGAGTGAACCCTGGAAGAATTGTCGTTCTGTTATCTAGCAGGATTGTTGTATCACAGTATGTTCTCTATCATGGAAGAGCTTAAAAGTACAAGGCAAAATAAGTGTATTAAGTTAATAAGCTCTTTTAAAGAATAGAAATATGGTTATAAAAGAAAACATCTTCAATTAAACATGCAAAGTATTGCTTGAAGTGTGATCATGTTTTCACATTACTCAAACTACTAAAATATAAATTTATTTCCCTTCACAATGCACAAGTATGGGCTAGACTGAGTCTTTGTATGGCGATCAGGTTTGGTTTTTTTCAGGGCATAACTGAAGAAAGTAATGGAAGTATCAACTTGAAGCTTGCAGGGAAGTGCGTAACTCTTTTGCATATTTTTTTTTTAAAGTACTGTCCTTTCTAAGTATTTATATTGATATATTTTTAGATCATATTAAAGTAAGATTTTATCAACTTGTATCAATTTTATAGATAGATAGATTGCTTAAAAGAAAAGGTACTGGTTAAGAACCATATGTGCATAATTGTATGAGTTATTTTCCTTTGTTGTAAACATCATTTTAGTCATCGACTTTCGTTTTCACACCAGGGCTTTGATTTAAATATACATTTTATAGTGGTTAATTACGGTTGTGTTTCTTTTTTTTATACAGGAAGACCATTTAGGTGTATTTTCCTTTATAAATTAAGTGATGAGAAAGGTCAGTGTGGAAAAGGTCAGTGGACTTTGTTCAAAATTAACCATGTGGTTTAAGAGGTGTTGTTTATAAGAGATAGTTAGCAACACAGGTGAGCTAAAAAAAATAATTTTTTTTTAATGGTATAATTTAGTTGTCCCATACCCATCAATTAGTTGTCACACTTAAACTATTTCTATGGTGCACCGTGTTATTGGCGGGGAAACGAAGATTCTTACGTATTAAAGCTTTTTCTGTTAAACGATAGCGATGTATTCATGAAAGATTAGCAGTTTTTATAAAGGGTGAATATTCTCCACGTATTTCATTGTATAAGAATACCAACTCAACCCGTTGAAGTAGGGATATGATTCTGTCTTGTATTTTCGCGAGCCTGTAATTTGCTGTCCATATAAATTCATACAGATTCTGAAACTAAATGTGCTCCCTATAATTTTTCTGCGGATTTCAGTGGAAGCAAGTTTAATATGTAGTATTTTATAGAATATTTTGCATCCACATGCCTATTGTGTCTACTTTCTGTCACAGACACTTTGGGTGGGTAGTTCTGGCCTCCAAAACTTTATAAGCCGCTTTTTAACATTTTTGTTTTTCATCTGATGCGGCATTAAAGTTTTGGATTAGACCCGTTACGAAACCTTACCAGAATAACATAAGTTGATTTATTCTTGTTTTTCACTTGCAAATACACTTGACCCAATCAATTCTTGTGCATTTTACGATAAAACAATCATTTTTATATCGTTCTATACCAATTAAAGTATCAAAATATTAATACCGTCATTAAAATTGCCTATTTAACTGTAAAATATCAATTTACGCCGACTACAGTTGGCCATGACATTCAGGTGCCACGCGAGATCTCGTATGACGTCATTCGCGGGAACAGATTTGAATAGAGTCGTGTACTATATTTAGAACATTTTGTTGACATGATTTCGATACTTTTATTCAAGATTATGTTTTTATTTATTTTCATTAATTTTTTAGCACTTATAAATACGATTGTATTGAATATAAAAGTCAGTAAATCACCTTTTTCAATATCTTTAAAAAAAGTAATTTATAAAAATATTTGAGGCACATGGGTTCGTAAAGGTCAATCTCGTAATCACGTGATCAAACATTTTGGCAATATGGCGGCCAAGTGCCGAAAATTTTACCTGTCGGAAACTATTAGGTAGTTTATGTTCGTAATAATATTTTCATTTGTCCATTCTTGACTTATCAACAGATTATATGTAGTTTTATCAAGGTATGCTTCAGTTTACTTCATGGCATGTTCGATGAATAAATACGAGCGTGTCAGATTCCTGGCACGATTATTGGTGGACTTTCCCTATGGGGTTATCTTCAGCGTTCACGTCATGTCATAGTATATAAACGGGTACGCTGAAGACCTTAAGCTAGGGGTGGGGAGCTTGAAACGCCTTTAAAATCCAAATAAAATGTATTTGTCAATCCCAGCACATGTACTGATCGTAAATATAAAAAACTTACTATAAGCCGTTTTGAAAAAAATCATATTTCTAATATGAAAAAGGAAAAAGGTCAACAAGGCAAAGGCAACGTTCACAGGACGCCGCCCCCGGACACACCCAAGCAGGAAACCCCCAAGCAGGACCCAGAAGGCACCAAACAAGTACCTGGAGTGGACACAAGGGCGAAAGGGGCGGGACATGTAATGTGAAATAATATAAACAAAAACAGGCCCATAAGGGAATTAAAGGGAAAAGGGCTGTACGGGTGAAAAGGTGGGTGGGGGGGGGGTAAAAAGCCTCAAAGTGAGCTCGATTTTCTCTTACCGTAAAATAGTTTAAAATAATCGTTCATTTTTATTTTACATTTTCCGTTTTAAAATTGTCTTTCAGTATTTTATACACTGCTTCCGTTTATTCTGGTTCCCCCTTTCTATTATGGTTCTTCTATAAGTGCGCAGGACACCAGTCTACGCTTTCGTTTTCAATCAGAGTACATCGGCTTTTATCGTTATCTTTTAATTAGAAAAGTTGCGATGTGTCCAATTGGGTACTTCAGACAAAAGTTTCAAAACCATCACTTAGCAGGTACACGCGGTACTGTAAAGTCGCTCATCGAGCTCGCTATAATAATACATAAGATAAAAATGTTCGCGGAAAAAATCCGCACACCTACCGTCATCATCACCATGTTTTTTATTCCATTTCCAATATTTTCACATAATCCTTTGGTCCATCGACACAGAAGACATAATTCCTCACAATGATGGTCAATTTTGAACTTCAACGGTAATATAAACAACGCAACAGCCGAAATAAACATCAAGATTATTGCCGTTTTACTTGATTTATAAAATCTTTCGATAAATTCAAACGTGGGCCCAGCTTTGCCGCGTGCAAAAATGTGCTGCGCTGTGAAGATGGGAACCAGTTGGCTATCGTAAAAATGTTGGTTCCCATACTTCAAAGCGGATTGTATTTGTTCACGGCAAAGCTGGAAATGGGTTTTGTTATAGATCTTATAATTAGGACTAGTCATGGGTCAAAATTTTGTCATGGAATTGAGAGCAATTCATGAGTCAAAGTCCCGATGTGTTGAAGTTTTTACGCAAGTCTCTTCATCTTCGATTTACCAAAGTTCTACTGTAATTCAAACAATATAAACAATAAACTTCTTTTCCAGATTTTCAATAAATAAAAGATGGCTGAGAGACCAGAGGATCTCAATCTTCCAAATGCTGTGATAACAAGGATTATAAAAGATGCTGTATGTTCCTTTATTTGAGCCGCGTCACAACAAAACCAACAATATGCATTTGCGACCAGCATGGATCCAGACCAGCCTGTACAGCCAGATCAGGATCCATGCTGTTCGCTTACCAACCCTATTACAAGTAGAGAAACTGATAGCGAACAGCATGGATCCTGATCAGACTGCGCAGATGCACAGGCTGGTCTGGATCCATGCTGGTCGCAAACGCACTATGTTGGTTTTGTCGTGAAGCGGCTCATTTATAACTGTAATAGGTAGAGTAATAGGTCTATGATTTTGCTTGATTAAGTACATATTAAAGTGTTTTACTTATCAGTGTTACTTATTAATAAGTATTTCACATTTTGGCATTTGCTAAAAATAAAGATAGCTGTCAGTAGTTTTTGATAGAGACCGCGCTCAATACATTCTGAAGCACTAATGATATACTGTTTACATTATCTGAAAATTAAAAATTTCCATATTTTATGTCTTATTATTCTGATGTTTAGAAAGATTATTAAGTGTAAAAGAAAAAAAATGTACACATCTACTTTAAAAAAGAATGTTATTATATTTATTATTATAAGGTGTTGTTCACCGAAACGCATCAATAACAAAATAATAATATTTTGAAAAACTGTATGTGTTGTTGTTGTTGTTGTTGTTTAAACGTCGTTTCACATTTACTTTTGTAATAGTAAATACATCTTTGATGATAAAAAAGGACCCTGAGTTGGTTCACTATAAAACCTGGTTTCAGGATAATTTAGCAATAAGAAAGAATTGATACTGTTGTCACCACGCAATATTTTATGGGCCTGCATATGATATTCTGTCTTCATTTAGAATTAAATAACTTATGTTGATAAAGTTATCCCTTGAACATTTTTTATAAATGTCCCATAATGGTAATTTCTTGTAATGTCTATAGATGTTATGAAAGAACACAATGTTTTGTGTATGACTGTATGTAATATGTATGTGTAATCAATTTCTTTTTCACAGATTCCAGATGGAGTTAATGTGTCAAAAGAAGCTCGACTTGCAATCTCAAAGGCAGCCAGTGTTTTTGTATTGTATGCTACCTCATGGTGAGTTTCTAGCCTTTTCTTTATCTTTGTATTTTGGGGCATCTGTGGTAGAGTGGTTAAGTCGATAACTTTAAACCATTTGCCTCTCACCGCTGTGGGTTTGAATCCCATCAAGAAGCTTTAGTTCTTCTGAATGGGGAAGCTATCTAGCTAACTTAAGGATTATTGGTGGTTCTACTCTGATGCTCGTTTGTGCCTGTAATAATGCACAGAGGGGCGTCTCATTGAGGTCTTTCTCCAGCACTAAAGCTGGAAATCCTCTATGACCTTTACAGTGAAAGTACAACGCTATCTAACAAACCTGATGATCGATGATTCTACTCCCTGTGACAACCTGTACTGGAAGTAAATAATTGAGGTTCACCTTGGTTCCCTACAACAGTAAAGCTGAAAGTCATCTAATGAAATAAACAATGATTGCACAACTTAAACTTGACCAAAAATACATGTATATAATATAGGTCATTGGTAACTTATAGTGAAATTTATCATACTGAAGACTTACTCAAATTTCATTTAATCTTTAGAAGATTATTAAAGTATGTGAAATGAAAAAGAACTTTGCTGACTGATTTGTTTTACCAACAATCCTGCGTTGTTTCAAGTATAAAAGTTAAAAATTGTATAATTAATAGCTGGTCCTCTTCTAATCTAAGGCTTCACTTTTTTGTTCATGTCTATAAGACAAGGTTTGGCCAAAAATTACATCTGACTTGTTAACCTAATGACATATTATAAGCACTTGTTAACAATAAACAAGTGTTTACACCCAGGCCTTGACATCTATAAATATGCTTTTAGTAAACTCTGCCAGGTAATGTAAAGATGTAAATCACATGATGTGCTGCATTTCTCCATGTTGTCAATTTATCTTTTCAGTTCCAATAATTTTGCATTAAAGTCCAAGAGAAAAACAATCACAGCTAAAGATGTTTTGGATGCACTTGAAGACATGGAGTTTGATCAGTTTGTTGACCCACTGAAAGAGTGTCTTGAAGGTTAGAGATAATAGATATTTAGTCCAAGGCTCAGGATGAGCTATTGAGATAAATTAATGTTTGTCCTCAGTCTTCCGTCATCACTTAGTTTGTTAACACTATAATGGCCACATTTTTGTCTTAGTTGTCACAAAAACTTGGTGGGGATGTTTGCCCCAATAATTGAAGATCACTTTCCAATTACTCACACATGGATTTTATGACTGAATTATTGTCATTTTGAATTTAAAAGATTTCTGGGTTACTCATAGTTAAGCCTGCTGTTCTACTGACAGCTCCTGTTTTTTAGGCATTAATCTATTTTTGAGCCGCGTCACGACAAATCCAACATAATGGGTTTGCGACCAGCATGGATCCAGACCAGCCTGCGCATCTGCGCAGTCTGATCAGGATCCATGCTGTTCGCATTCAAGCCCTATGGCAGGTAAAGAAACTGATAGAGAACAGCATGGAATCTGATCAGACTGCGCGGATGCGCAGGCTGGTCTGGATTCATGCTGGTCGCAATCCCATTATGTTGGTTTAGGCATTAATCTATATTTTACTATTACATAGGTGAGGACTGAACCAATGGCTCATTTACATTATGTAGCTGACTTAAATAACATATCTCTTACCTCTGACATTAGGGATATTACTGGTAAATTTGTGGAAGCTCTCACTACTGTGTCCCAACTTCCCTGGGGTGTACTCTAATCTAAACAAGCTTCTAGAACTGTGATATATTGTACAACACAATAAATTACACAGATGAGTAAATAAACACAAATTGCTGATTGTTTATGCTTCAAATTTTCCACAGAACTCTTGCATGAATGTCAATTCTTTTTAAAGTCTTTATCAATTGACAAACTGATTTACTGTAAAGATAAATTTTGTTCCTCTGAATTACAGATCGTCATTACATGTTGTTCTTTTTAGCTTTTAAGAAAAATCAGCAAGGCAAAAAAGACCAGAAGAAAAAAGAGAAGGAATCTGTGAATGTGTCAGGCAGTGGTGATGCTGAAGATGAGGGTGTGGTTGTTTTAGAGGAGGAGTCAGGGGAAGATAATGGGGAGGAAGGTGGGCAGGAAGGAGGAGGAGCTATAAATGGAGGGGAGGGAGATGTTGTGGAGATTTCAGATACTAGTGAAGATTAGTGGTGTTGTAAATTGTAAAAATAATGAAACAAGTGTCCCTTGATATTATGAAGTGCTGAAACAGTAACTTTATAATTGTGAAGAACTGAAACTATGAATTTATATTGTGAAGACTGAAATAATAATTCCATATTGTGAAGATTTGAAACAATAACTCCATATTGTAAAAAACTGAAATATTAACTTAATATTGTGAAGAACTGAAATAATAAATTTATATTGTGAAGAACTGGAAAGATAACTCCATATTGCATGTATTGTGAAGGACTGAAACTGTAACTCCATATTGTGAAGAACTAAAACAATAACTTTATATTGTGAAGAACTGAAATAATGAATTTAAATTGTGAAGAACTGAAATAATGACTACATATAGTGAAGAACTTGAGCAGGAACTCCATATTGTGAAGAACTGGAAAGATAACTCCAATTATGAAGGACTGAAACTGTAACTCCATATTGTGAAGAACTACAACAATAACTTGATATTGTGAATAACTGAAATAATAACTGCATATTTTGAAGAACTGAAATAATAACTCGTAGCATAGCACAACAATTCATTTAGTGTTAATTTTGAAAAAGACTGACATGTAAAAATGTTGACGGCCTTGTATTTATTGTATTACTTGAGGTGTGCTTAACTATGGTGTGAAATTTTGTGTTGTTCATCATTTTCAATATTTTGGAAAATTGTCAGCTCACCATAAATTTTGTTTAATTTGTTGTTTATTTAAATGCATGTGCGTCATGTTGATTGTATTAAACCCATGATAGCTTGATAATTTTGATATTTTATTTTAAAAAAACAACAACAAAAAACATTGAACATGGGTCATTAGGTTCAGAAAAGTTCACTGTAGAGTCTGACAGATAAACTTTTATTTCAATATACGGCATGTTTTTACTTGCTTAAAGTCTGTAGAGTCAGACAGATATTCTTTTATTCAATATACAGCATGTCTTGTTTAAAGTTTGTTAGGCAGAATTTCAATTACTGTGTTGAACTTGACCCTTGTCAATACCCTGATTTTAATTAGTAATGATTTATCTCCAATTATACTTAAATACAATGTTTTTAAGATTCTGTGTGAATTAACAGGAGGGTCAAGTTATATGTTTCAGTTTTTTAAGGACATGCTTTTATGTTAATTTGTAAATGTATTTAATAACATTCAAACACTTGTAATTATCAGTTACACATTAAAGTCAAACTTTCATATTCAAAACTTTGTAAGATTGATTTTTAGCTTGACTTTTTTTTTTTTTGAAAAAAAAAGTAGAGGTATTGTTAAAGTCATGGCGGCGTTGCCGTTGCAAACTTGTACCTGGATCATAACTTTTTTATTTCTTGGTGTATTGTCTTCATACTTGGCCACAACAACCCTTTGGACAAGACCTTTCAGTAGACCACACTAACCTTGACCTTCATCCAAAAATGACCTTGACCTTCAAGGTTAAAAGTCCAAATTTTGCTTGTTCATGCTGTTATTGGCTGTAACTTTGTTATTTTTGAATGGATTGTCTTCAAACTTGAACATAATAATCTTCAAGGATATCCCTTAAAAATAACCCGACAGTCTTTGACCTTAACTCATAAATGACCTTGACTTTGAAGGTCAAATTATTGAAATATTCATTTTTTTGGCTATTATTGGCTGTAACTTTGTTATTTTTGAATGGATTGTCTTGAAACTTGAACATAATAATCTTCAAGGATAACTCTTAAAAATAACCCGACAGACCTTGACCTTAACTCATTAATGACATTGTCTTTGAAGGTCAAATTATTGAAATTTTCATTGTTTTGGCTGTAACTGACAGTAACTTTGCTATTATTGAAGGGATCAACTTCATATTATAACAGAACATTCTTAAGGACCAGACCTTGTTGTTTATCAAACCCAAATTTGCTTGGGCTCTTTAATGACCTTGACCTTGAAGGTTAAATTACTGAATCTTTTCAGATTTGTGCATTAAATGACCATAATTATATATTTATTGGTGTGTGTGTGTGTGTATATATATACCATCATCATCATCAACAACAACAACAACGTATATTGCGTGTTTCTATTTTAAGAATTGCGTGTTTTTATTTTTAGAATTGCGTGTTTCTATTTTTAGAATTGCGTGTAACTATTTTTAGAATTGCATTTTTTATTTTTAGAATTACGTGTTTCTATTTTTAGAATTGCGTGTTTCTATTTTTAGAATTGCGAGTTACTATTTATAGAATTAGGTGTTTCTATTTTTAGAAATTGCGTGTTACTATTTTTAGAATTGCGTGTTACTATTTATAGAATTGCGTGTTTCTATTTATAGAATTATGTGTTACTATTTATAGAATTGTGTGTGTTTCTATTTATAGAATTGCGTGTTACTTTTTATAGAATTGCGCGTTACTATTTATAGAATTCCTTATTACTATTTATAGAATTGCGTGTTTGTATTTATAGAATTGCGTGTTTGTATTTATAGAATTACGTCTTTCTATTTATTGAAATGCGTGTTTCTATTTATAGAATTGCGTGTTTCTATTTATAGAATTGCGTGTTTCTATTCATATATATATACAAAATAGATAAACAAAACTAATGTGACAAGACAGACCAACTAAATTTATAAAAAGGAAACGTTAAGATTTGTTCAAACCTTTTAGAAAAAGTAAAAAGTCGAGCGTTGCCCCCGCCTGGCGGTGGCTCTTGTCTTATTGTGTCATAGTAAAATAATAGTCAAGATATTTTTCTCTGTAATTTAGTTACATGCTAAATAGAAACCTATTTTTATTTGTGTCAAAGTTTTAATTGTAGTTCATAATATGGGTATACTTTAACATTTTAAGTGGATGCCCATTGTTGTTGTTAATCTTCACCGCCAATATAGGCGAACCTCTGTGTAGTCAACAGAGTGTAACAATAATCCTCCACCGAATATCACTACATATGTACAGTTGCACTTAAATTCACAGTTCCTCCCGCAAAGTAGATATATATCATATACAATCTATATACACCGATTCTGTAAAAATATACTTATGTTTGTTGCACCACCGTGTTGATTACTCTGCCACTATTCCTTATCCTCTTTGGCTTGAGCAACAGTAACAACTTGTATCTTGCTGAATGAAGAAGGTAGGTGAGACGTCGGCATTGATATTAAAGTTTGTGTAGATTTTCTGGCTTAATTCTCGGGATATTTGTGCAGTCTAGAATTATTCCAATTTGTTGTTTTGAAGAAAGGTCATTAAAGTTTTCTCCAGTTAATATTGTGTACTCTTCTTTAATTTCACACAGTACTAATTTACGCTGGGGTTCAAGGATTTCGCAGTCAAATAGGAAATGTTTCGCTATTTCCTAGCTGACACACTGGGTATTAAATGCTGCTCTATTACTTTGCAATATATATGTTGATGTAAGTAGCTTTAACTTGATAGGAAATCTATTTATTTCCCGCATAGAGTTACCTTTTGTTGTAATATTTGGATGGACTTTTCCAGGAGTATATTCTATATTCATGAATTGCAACGATTTGTATAATTTTGCTATACTAATTACTTTCTCTTTAAACTTCAAGACAGTTTTGAATACTGTTTTTTTTTTCCATACACTTTTTGGAGGATGATCTAGGTTTTGGTTGATGTCACCAAGTTCGTATTTCCAAAATAGCTTCTTTACTTCAATGAACCAACTGGAGCTATTCATACTTTTAACTATTAATTGTCTTCTAGCAAGTTTATTCTCAACACTACTGATGACAGATATTATTGAAGAAGTTCAAGATTTTTATGTGTAATTGTCTTGACTGGTAGAAAGCCAGAGAGTAAATATGGAGCAGGATCTGCAACAGTTTGCGGGAGCGATAATATTTGTTTTTTTATTTGTTTTCTTTTGAAAAAGTTCCAATTGTAATATATACTTTTGTGGTGGGATTATAACCTCTAATCCATATAATAAGACTGCATATACATAAGTTTTTATCAGGTGTAACGATTTTTCCGGATCAAGACCATTTTCTCCATGAAATCCGGCAGAAAGTAGACTAAATGTAGTACGTCTTGCCTTTTTGAGATTCTCATTACCAGTATGTGTGATTGTTTCTTTAGTCGATGTGGCTCGTTAAGTACCAAGATGTGTTGCTTTATTTTCAATTGGCATTACGAACATAATTAGTGTTTTGTGTTTGCCTATTTCTAAGATAGCGCTTTTTGCAGGTTGTAGCATATATCTTTGTTTTAAACTATAATCATAAGCTATTTTTATCAGTATTTGGGCATCTTTAGGAGTTGTACTATCCAATGTAACTTTGTTTGTTTGTTTGTTTCATTTTACGCCTTTTTCCAACAGTATTTCAGTCATATAAGCGGGCAATCTCCACACAGTGATCTCCCCTTAATTCTTCGGCGTAGATCTCTGCCACCAAGGTCCCAATATATCAGAATTTCTGATATACTATATTTTTTCAAAAATTGTTTTATCTACTGCTTTTATCTATCAGATAAGTTTTCTCGCTCATTTATTTAACAATGTTTATGAATAAATAAATAAATAATATGAATATATTTAGAATAATTTAAAAATTATGAATATATTTTTACCGAAACGATATTTGATATTATTTTTTAGCTTTTGAATTTATTTTTCGAATATTTTGTATACTTTCGATAATTTTTTAATAAACTTATGGAACGTAGGCACTAAAAGTAAAAAAATAAAACAGAAAGAGAAAAATAATTTAGATTTTCTTTGTTCGATATTATACATTTGAATTTACGTTACGCATGTGCTTTCATCATCATTGAATAAATTCTAGGTAATCACTGTGAGGAATAAGCGCAGGTAGTTCCTAACCATCGTGTCCTGGAGAAACAGTACTAGACTACCTTCCTCCGCGCTAAACTACACAAAGTAACAGTTCATCAGCACAAAAGTAGCGGGACATGCTACGTCTACCAATAATTGAATACCCAAGATGAATGAATGTTGTAAAACGATTGCAAATAGAGGATCAATATATATGATTACATAAGATCAGCACTTGCGAATACCCGAATAAGTGCTGTGCATATAGTAATATGTCAAGATTATATAGATAATGAATCGAATTGAAGGATGCAATGTATCAATTTCTAGGGGTGTCATCGAAAGGATTTCTGTTGTATCTGATATATCGGTAATGAAATAATCGGCAATACAGCGAATATTCATAGATTGCCAGGACAAAATTTAGCTTTCAAGTCTTTTTTTAATTTGTTTTAATATGCACGTATAATATTTAAACATATGCATAAAAGATAAAAATAAACTATGAAAAGTGAAACTTAATTTCTTTATTTATATTATAAGCTTTTAATGAACATACTAGATAGGATGTTTTAAAACCTTTTCCATTTTACTTCCGTATGTCCTGATGCTATGCACGTACAGTAGTTACGAATATTATGCTAAATCCCGTTCCTTGCCGTTCCGAAATGTAAAGTACTGTGATTACATGGCAAAAATTTACTAAGTTAAACCGGAATAAATTATTATACAATAATATGATAGTGAGCTTGAATATGAAAGTGATATTCACGGAAGATAGAATATTGACCGAGGCGATAGCACAGAGGTCAATATTGATTTCTGCCGGTGAATATCACATCATGTTCAATGGTTCACTAAGTCATTATTGTTATATATCTATATGACATAGGCGAAGAATTTTTTAAAAAAATCACAAAAGACACCTACTATAATGTATTACGAGGTTCACAGTTTTGCCTCGGTTGAAAGCGCGAGGAAAAAAACGCACGTTTAGGGTGCAACGACTACGCGAAACGCTAGCGCATAGCAAAAATAATTCAAATTAACTCATCATGCAGCTGAACCTTAAGATAGTAATATGATAACGAGATAATTGATATTTAATCGAAAAATATGCAATCAAAGAACATCAACAATTATTTTTAAATTAACAAAGCGTAATAAACAGTCTACGGTATAATGAATCATGTAGAATATGAGTCTCAATCTATTTGTAGACTTGGGAATAGGATACTCGTAGCACAACGAGTAATTATGATTGTATCACAAAGAGTTAATGAATTGATACTGTTTAGGACAATGAGATCTGCAGCTAATTAGATTCATATAGAATAATTAAGACATGTAACATAAAGTATCATAATTTACAAGAAATCATCTTACAAAAATTTTCTTGCGATTTTCCGTTTTTAAAAAATCTGAGATGGGGTGTCTTGACCCCACTTAGCAAGACTTTGCGATATTACAACGAATAATCAGTAGCATTCGTTAAGACACGTGGGAAGTAACTCTGGTGTAATTTCCGTTTCGTTTTAGATAATAAAATGTAACAGTCATTTGTTCATGTTTAATATGTGGTATTCTGATGCCTGCTCAGAGCGCCTAAGAATTTGAAAATAAAAGTTCAAAGATTCAAAAGTTGATGAGTCTTGTTATAAATAAAAACTTATGTGTATCCTCTTATTTGACGTTCGATCTATCAGGGTACTGTAGTGTATACCTATTTGCTAGGAGTCTACGTAGCTAGAAATATGTGTGCATTCGATATACGCGAATACTTTAAAAAAAAATGGAATCATATCGAATCGTATAAGAAAGATCAGTTACCCAGGATAATCGATATGTGAATTCATTACACCCCATAGATAATCCCAATCAATAAATACTGTGACTACAACGCGAACAGTCTTTTCGTAAAAATGTGGGTCTCGTACTCCAGAGCATTCTATTTGAAAGAACCTGCTCTCATAAAGAATATGCAAGTGTAAATGTACTTGTGTTAATGCCCACAATATGAACAGGTCCTATGATTAGAGTAGGCGCTTAGCCTTTAGAAAATGCTAACAGTGAAGACTCGTTTTTGCATTACAGTAGCATTAATTAAGGATATATTGATGATGATAAATTACGTTTTGAGATATGTAATTTACAATGATATAAAAGTATTAGTAATAATTATTTGAAATTAATATATATATGAATTCAATGTATATGTACATATCGCTATGTATTATATACGGAATTGAAATACACGTCGGTCAGTCAGCCAGTCATTCCCACTGCGAGACAAATAATCAATGAAGATTAGTTGAATTGTTTTTCCGTCGGAATGATAAAGTGGTTAAGGAATATTCAAACAATAGTTATATTACAATGAGATATAGTATTTTACAAAGATGCCAAGAACGTATTAAAAAAACGAACAACCATTAACTTACCAAAATGTTGAAATATTAGAGAGAAATAAAGAAAAAAAACCGGCATACTCTGTACTATACAACACGTCACCTGGACATTTTGATAATAATATACCCTGAGCACATACCGTATTCATTCCTATTGTGTTGATATACGGTCAGTGTAAGACAAAATTAATATTAAATCACAATCTATACTGTGTACATGCTCACGGAAGTTACCGAACATTTTTATCGAATAATCAATAATAGTCATGGATGCAGTGACGCTATAATCAATCACGATATGAGAAAAGAGAGTAGTTAATAAAAACAAACAATACAAAGGGTGGTCAATAAATTTTATATAGGCGACAAGGAAGGGCACGTCTTTTGTTTGCAACAGTAAACATAAAGAGTTACTAATACCATGTTTGCCTAATAAAGGTTAATTAAGTACCTTGACCTCTAAACGTATCTTAGTTTATCAATTGAGGTCCGGGTAAAGGAAATATCGGGAACATGATAATCATCGTCAATAGCATTTCATTTCATTTAATGGCAGATCGGCATTTCAAATGTCTTTGACCATTCAAAAATACTAAATATGGTCAAGACATACAGTTTACATAGATATTACACAAATTACTGAACATTTAATCTTTGAATAATAAGTAATCACAAAATATCAAACATTATTTAAATTTTAACTCACAAAGAAAATAAAATCTAAGAAGCAGCAATATTTTCAAGTGTTAAATTTCTCAGTTTATAAGCTTCCGTAATAAACTTTGATTTTTTACAGTACTAGTTGTATTTATGTCATAAATCATAATATTTATTACAGCATAGATTCTACTGAAAAAGAAAAGAAAACAACAACAACAACAATAATATCAACTGTATCATCTGTATGAAATGATTCTTTTCCCGGTAACCTCGACTGTTCAAATATCATAACAATATACCCATATACTGAGCAGTAAGGTAATATCGTTCTGTACAATGGAAAAAATCAAATTGAATTTTTTATCAATATTATATTTCTCTGATGGTGATATACTAAGTAAATGTTGTTCGCCTGAAAATAATGTTTACTCAGTCATGGATGGAGAGGGAATTTTTATTCCTTGTAAACTATGGTGGCATATTTCTGCCACCAGATAACCTAATAACTAACTAGTTAATTAAAAGGTTAACTAGTTACGTAACAAGTTAACCTCTGAATTAACTAGTTAGTTATCAGGTTAACTAGTTACGTAACTAGTTAATTTTTTCAATAAATAAAAGATCATAACAGGAAATAAATGCATGTTAGTGCCTACAACTGCCATCCTCTTATTATATTACCAGCTTAATATTAAGAGGTAACGTAACTAGTTAAGAGGTTAACTAGTTAGGTATTTACAGAATTAGTTAACCTATTAACTAACTAGTTAATTAATAGGTTAACTAGTTAGGTATTTTCGTAACTAGTTAACTTATTAATTAACTAGTTAATTAATAGGTTTACTAGTTAGGTATTTTCGTTACTAGTTAACCTATTAATTAACTAGTTGTTTAAGAGGTTAACTATTTACGTAACTAATTAACCTCTTAATATTAAGCTGGTAATATAATAAAAGGATGGCAGTTGTAGGCACTAACATGCATTTATTTCCTGTTATGATCTTTTATTTATTGAAAAAATAACCAGAAACAAATTATCCTCGAGCCGGGCCTTAAAGTGAATAATCAGTTAAGTAAATAATGGGCATATACATGTGGGTATTTGCGTGTACTCTATTTTCTGAAAATTGGATGGATTTTATTAGGATCGTACATGGATAGTTATTTTATCTTATAAATAAGGTTTGTAGTTTAGTTTTATGATCTGGAATAAATAGTGTAATTATAATATTTTTTGATAAGCGGTAAACAAAACAAAATTCAGATAAACCATGGTTTTTAGCACTTCTGATGATTTGTTCAAGAAAACGGAAACAGTTTACGTGACTTCGTGAAGTTGAAATCGTGAATTCATTAAGTTGAATCGTGAATTCCGTATGTTGAAAAGGTGAAATCATGAAGTTAAAATTGTGAATTCATGAAGATGAAATCGGGAATTCATAAAGTTGAAATGTCCCCACCGGTCTTTCGTGAAGTCGCGTGACAAAGGACTTTAAACTTTGGTGGTTTTAGCTAGTATTCCTACTTGAAAATAACATAATCACCATAGGATATGTTGCCTACTTTTTAAATTTGTCTTTTGACGTCATGTCTGTGCTATGCTATGCAGGCATCATAACCTCAGATCCCGTTTCAAAATTCCATTTTATTTAGTTTGCCCATTTTTTTCTCGTTTAAGGGCCCCCGATTCTTTTTTTTTAAAATTTAAATTTAAAAAAATTTTTTAAAGTTCCAACCGTTTTTATGACAGTGATAATTAAAAGGAATTTTTGTTGCCCACATAGATATACATGTACATTTTCGTCATTACCGAGAATCAGAATCGTATGCGTACACTTATGCTAGTACTTTTAATCTGTAGCATGTAGTTTTATTAATGAACTTACATTTCCATGGCTTATGATTTGTTGTCATTAATGAAAAAAAAAATTAACAAGGCAGAGCGGCGTTCACAGAACAAATGAACACACATTGAAGCGACAACAAATCATAAGCCATGGAAATGTAATCTGTTGGCCAGTCAATCAATGGAATAAAGGCGGCACGGAATAAAAATTCCATAAAATATCGTTTCAATTATATTTTGTCCAAGCCTTTAGCAGGATTTCACAAGAACAAGGTGGAGCTTTTCCAAAATTTTGAAACAAAGTCACACATTTTGTCAAAGTACTATTAAAATTTGCACCGCTCGTTGTGAACAGGTTCAATCAAACCATGGCTGCCATTTTATTTTAAATGCTGAAATATCCGTTTGTGAAAATTTGAATTATTCTTGCAATATGCAACCAGTCATATTTAATTTTTGCATGGAGCTTAATTGAGCTGTGGGAATGATACAACAACGCGATAAACGATAGTACGATGGTGAAAACGCGAAATCACGAAACTACGATGGTGAAAATGCGAAAGCACGATGATGAAAACGCGAAAGTACGATGATGAAAACGCGACAGTACGAAACTACGATGATGAAAGCGCGATAAACTATCGTGTTTTCACCATCGTACTGTCGCGTTTTCACTATCGTAGTTTCGTGATTTCGCGTTTTCATCATACGGTCATAAAACTTACCTCAATTTAATTGTAAAGAATGATACAGAATGTAGTCAAGCACCCCCCGCCCTATCAACGAAAAGCAGGCAAAACAAATAAAATGATCTTGCTGAACCAACCTATTAATAATTAGTTGCAAAAAGAAAGTGTGCACTTGGTAACAGAGAAATTGTGTATACGTACTGAAGCAAAATATTGGCGTATTTGGTATCAAAGTTTGCAGAAATGCATTGACTACTTGATGGCTTACATTTAATTGAAATTTGATTATCATCAGAACTTTGGTTAATTGTAATATGCTGAGGGATAAAACATGAAAGCTGCAGAATTGTGTCTTTTATAATTACTTTTATGCCGTAGAATACTTGAATTTTTAAATGGAACATCATTTAAACTAAAGTCCATATATATAGAATTACGTCAGGTCCATGTAGTCTCGAACATGATGTTCCACAGATGGGATAAATGCAACATACACTTGATTAATGGTCACATACCGAGACATAAAAGCGTTAAAATAAACAAATATGCAGCTTTTTATATTCAACCTACGCTATTTATACGAAACAAAATTCTGATAATAATCACATTTCATTAAAAATTAAAACATTGTATGGTTAATAAATTTCTATAAACCTTGATAACAAATTTGTAGAATGTATATTAGATGTAGTATTATTATACAAAATTGAAAACGAAACCTCATTTTTAGCTGAAATTTCATTCAAAATAAGTCTTCTGTAAAATGGAAATAATGCTCTTGCATGTCGACAATGCATACGGAAAACATGTGTCAGGTACCAGTCCAAGTTGTATAAGCTTATCAGTCAGTCAAGCTCGGCAGAAAGATATGATCACTCATTTTGTCATTTTCTCTAGGATGCATATAATGGTTCCATTGTCCTCCCGTGCATCAAAATAGTCACAAAAATCGATTTGCATACATATTTAGTATCATTCAGTAAATTTACTGAATTCAAAAAACACCTTTTGGTAGGTAATAACCTTTACATGAATGGTGACATGCCGGGGGGCGGGGGGAGGGGGCATACTCGCAGTGTCTGAAAGGGCGGATGTACCCTCATTAAGCCTAGAATACATACATACTACTGTATAATTTTTAAACATGATTATGAGAAGATCAGGCCCTGGCGCAAACCTCGACTCAATTAAATAGTGACGTTATCATACAAATTATTGAATCTTTAGCAATAAAGTTCTCAAATGGTTATGCAAATTATGTTATATCTCGCAACTCACTTGATACTTGATACTTGATAGAGAAGATATGTGTCAAATTTAGTTATACTTTGGAAAGATTAATGACCATCCTACTTTAAGTCCCTTTACTTGTTACCGGTCCACAAAAGAGTTGAACAGATAATGTTGTGTCATGTTTTTAAGATAAAAAATGGCCTATCTCCAGATTACATGTCTGAACACTTTATTTCACAAGATTCCGTACATAATTATAGTACAAGATTTAGTCTAAAGGGTGGGTATTGTCTACCTAAGGTCAAATGTCAGGGTTCTAAATCCTTTGCTTTCTCTGGTATTAGATTATGGAATGATTTACCTGTAGAGTTAACGGAGATCAACAGGTTACAAAGTTTAAAGGTTGCCATCAAAAGTCATCTTATGAACAGTATTTAATTTTTTTACTATGTCTTTACATATTTCGGCTCAGAATTTTAAATTGCCTGCTATTTATCTTTTTACAATTTTAATAATGTGTTTTAAATCCTAGCTGTAAACAGGAGTATCATTAACTCAAGATTTGACTGTGATATACATTTTTATGATTTAATATTAGTCATTTTTTCAACCTTTCTTCTGTGTTACTTTAAATGGTATCTACTTTGAACTTATATATAATTGTTCTTTTTCATCACTCATAGCATTTTTGACAATGTTCGTAATTCTAGCATCTTTATTACAAAAGTTATCTCCTCTTTAGTTTGAAAATTTTGCTTTTATAAATGTTATATTCTGGATTCAATTTAAATGTTTAAATATTTGCCCTCTGTCTGTCCGCCCCTAGAACTGTTTTAAAGAACTTTTCTAACAAAGTTACTTAAAATAGACAAATGTTGAAACATAAATTACTTGTATACATATTCTTCCTGAAAAAACTGGATCTTTTGATTATCGGTTTTATACACATAATTTCCTTATTAGACACTTGCGGCTAATAGTGAGGAACGGGGATTGAGGATCGAGGACAAGTTATATAAAGGGATAATCTCAAAATAATCTAACATTTTATAATAAACGCGGTTTCTAAGTACCGGATAACACAAGCATTGGCAACGATAATTTGTGTTTGTATTAGGTAATATTGCCTTTGTCCTGAATAGTATAATTCCTGTGGCTTTATTTCAGGTCGGTATATTCTATGAGATGTGCCATCAATAGCCCTAACTGCCATATGTACACGCATTTGTTCCATAAGAACATACATCGTTTCAGTAAAACATTTTATGTATCTTTTTGGTTTCCAAATAAAAACATGGAATTAAAGTCCGGATCCCGACTTTCACTGACGATACATTTATATCGTTTTCAAATGATGTTGATAATATCATAAAAGTCGGATAAGATCGTTACAAAAAATGTTCTGAACGATAGTGCTCTGTGCCTTTTGGGATGTCTTATCTAAAGAATAATGTAAGTGTTTCGGGTGTCTTCCAACGCAACTCAAAGAATTTGGAACTATGTGTGCAATGAAATACATTTCTGCCAATTCAGTAAGAATCGTGGTGGGATTACAAGCAAAAATCGTACCGAAATAAATAATCCAGATGACCATGACCATGATTCAGAAAAACGGTAAAACTATATTAGTATTCACATCATAAATCAGTTACCCTAAATCTTCATCAAATTCCCAATATATTTAGACATCGTTCACTTTCAAACCCTAGGTTAAATGCAATAAAATTCATCAATGTGTATCTTACTGACGCATTATGCTGTAGCATTATGCGGATGTATTTTTAATATTCCATATAAAATTTATATCCCTCGGAAGCATTAAAAACAGCAAAAATCATGAAATTGCAAACTCGGTGAACTGATTCTGTACATGAGGAATAATAGAAGTGCAACATCCCTCATGCCCCCTAGCACCGGCTTAAGCGGTACTCAACTCTCAACACTCAAAAGTCCTGGACTCAATTATCCCTAAGACCAGAAAAAATATAGCAACACTGAAGTGAAGTACGGGGCACCTCTTTCCAACTGCCACACACGGCACTTGACACCTGCTGTTGTGGTGTATAAATATCGCGAAAAAGTCCGATTCAGTAACTCATTCCATTTCAATTTCACTTTTCTATATTTTTAATTATTGCCAGCGCTTTAGGCTTTGAGCTTATTAGAAAAGATCCGAATTGACTTAGGGAACTTGGCATCTGTTTGTCTTGTAGTAACAAAAAATGGAAATTACTATTTAAGGAAAGGAACACTGTAAATTATCCTGGCCTTTTTCAAAGTACAAAAAATGTATTCATGATATGTGTTGAGATGACCCCTCAATATTAGCGTAACTGTTCCTCGATAATCGTTCACGACATTATGTCGCAAATGTCTAGCAGCTAGGCAGGTAAACATAACACATTACTATGATACAGATAAACAAAGAACTCAAAGAATTCAAGCTCATTAATGTCTTCTATAATAGCATAATTAAGTTTCCATGGCCCTTCAGAATGTTGCTTGGGTTCTAACCGGCCGGGGGACTTTTGTATTGCTTGCAGTACTTTGAAAATTGCTTGTTATTGTTGTACCATATCGCACTAGAATTGAATATACTTGTTTAAATAATGGAACTATTTTATCTATTGTTTTGAAAATATCAATGCAATACTGTGTTGTTGTTTATTAACAAATACTAAAACATATCGTTTCTCTGTGGCTTTTATACCTACAACACATTAATGGTTTAGTGAATAAGACATGTGCCATTTTGACATTTCGTGTTTACTGATGGATTTGGTTCAGACTTGGACAAAAAAACACATCTTGTACAGTAATTCCAATATGACTTTGGCTTTTTTTACATTTACTTGAAAAGTATTTTGCTAACTAATTAAAGCTGATAAAATGTTACCCTGCTTGCAGTGGCATTTGCTGAAAAAGTTCTTTCTTGGCGCTGAAATGTTTCTTGTTATCTTTTTAAAACGAGTATAGTTTCATAAAGCATTTATTAAACAAATAACTAACTTTAATAACGGACCTCTATCACCTGTGTCTCAAACTTGTCATCAATAAATTCGATACAGTTGCCACAGGGTCTGGCCATTTAAATCGTCCTTGTGTTACTGCAAATGTTCATGCACAAAAACAAAAGGCGCATTAGCGCTATTCTTCCATAAACGTTTGTATACGTCTAATTCGTTGTTTCCGCGTATTGTATCTGCTTTTCGTTCAAAGAAACCATTTTTTCATGCTTTCAACGTGCTTGTCTTCAGTTCAGTAAACTATATATATACACATGACGCTGTTTGCCACTCATATTTAAAAACGTGTTCTCACGAAATTGTGTCCTGTAATACCTGTTGTCTTCTCCGTTTATCAATTTGAGCGTTAATGCAATAATACACATTTTAAAATATAGAGAAAAGGAATCCCTAAAGAAAGTCCAAAATTGAAAATGTTGCAGGCTCGGTTTGATTGAGCTTGTCTATGGAAGTACTGGAAAGTGCAAGCTACTTTCTACGCCCTCTAGCGACGAGTTTTCAACATTTAAATGCTTACATTAAACATGTAATGGTAAAAATTTTGTCTTGCGAGTAAAAGTGCATGTTTATCTTCCGATCTCTGTATCCTACTTGGGAGCCTATATACTAGTATTTTAACTTGCACCTTACTTGCGATAACAGGAAGTGGACTTGTTTGAATACTGTGACTAAGCAAGTGAAAATTACAGAACACTAAAAATTCCTTTGCCATCCGTATCATCCTAATTCAATGCGTCAGTTTTGAAGAGTATTCAAATAGGCTAGAACTACTGTTATCTGCATTGAAGCCCCTGAATAGTAAACTGTTTTTATACGCCCGAAAGAATTTCGGGAATTTCGGCGTATATTGTTATGCACCTGGTTGTCCGTCCGTCCGTCTGTATCTTTTTAACCGGTGGAAGGAAATTAAAACTACGTTGCAGAAAAATGTTAACCATGATGAGACGATGTGCAGAGCGCAGGTTTGCCCTTTCTCAGGTCAAGGTTACACTTTTGTATCAATATCCAATGTATGTCTCCGCTTTGTATCTTTTGAACCAATAGAAAGAAATTTAGACATTTTGAGGAAATATTTGTATGTCCAGAAAACAAGTTTTTGCTTCATAAGATCAAAATTGGCCCGCTCCGATTAATTTATTTATATAGACTTACATAGGAGTTTTCGTGTCCGGTCTGTTAGTCATTTTGTATCAATATCACTATTTTATGTCTGCTCTTTTTCTTTTAAACCGATACTAGGAAATTAACTGATTAAATCTATTTGGCAGAAATATTTATATTACTGAGATGATGTGCAGAGCGCAGTTTTGGGCTACCTCGGGTCAAGGTCAAGGTCACACTGACTCATTCAAAATCCTTATACAAGTTTATATATTACAAAGGGATATATTATTACAATGTATAACTTTATTGATCTGTTTCCTCCCAATATCCCTTTTGGAAAGAAACAAACAATTTTAAAACAATACTCGAAGCCGGAGTAAATCTTTTTAAAATGCAAAATTATGTTATTTCTATTTCTAAGTTTTCTGCTTGAATAACAATGACATGATAATTATTTCTGGTAGCTATTAAGAAAATACCTATGTTTATGCTCCCGGAAGGGTGAGCATATAGTCGCCGCTTTGTCGCCCGTCCGTCCGTCCGTCTGTCCTTCCGCTATTCTTGTCCATGGCATAGTTTTGAAATAACAAGAGGTATCAACATGACACTTTGTAGGTAGATAAATCTCATTTAGTTGATGTGCAGTGCACAAGAACCGTAACTCTGCCTTGCCTAATTTTTTTTATTATTGCCCTTTGTTTATTTTAACACTTTGAACTTTGTCCGGGACTTAACTTTTAAACTATAAAAGGTATCAACATGAAACTTTGTAGGTGGATAGATCTCATTGAGTAGATGTGTAGTGCTTAATAACCGTAACTCAGCCTTACCTTATTTTTGAATTGTTGCCCTATGTTCATTTTAAGCTCGACTTTAAAAAAAAAAAAAAAGAAGTAGAGGTATTCTTATAGTCAGGTTGGCGTTGCCGTTGCCGTCCGCAAACTTGTACCTGGATCATAACTTTTTTATTTCTTGGTGTATTGTCTTCATACTTGGCCACAACAACCCTTGGGACAAGACCTTTCAGTAGACCACACTAACCTTGACCTTCATCCATAAATGACCTTGACCTTCAAGGCTAAAAGTCCAATTTTTGCATGTTCATGCTGTTATTGGCTGTAACTTTGTTTTTTTTGAATGGATTGTCTTCAAACTTGAACATAATAATCTTCAAGGATATCCCTTAAAAATAACCAACGAGACCTTGACCTTCACTCATAAATGACCTTGACTTTGAAGGTCAAATTATTGAAATTTTCATTTTTTTGGCTTTTATTGGCTGTAACTTTGTTATTTTTGAATGGATTGTCTTGAAACTTGAACATAATATATCATATATATATATAATATATATTATCAAAGATAACTGTTAAAAATATACCGAAAGACCTTGACATTCACTCATTAATGACATTGTTTTTGAAGGTCAAATTATTGAAATTTTCATTGTTTTGGCGGTAACTGACTGTACTTTGCTATTATTGAAGGGATCAACTTCATATTACATGTATAAGAGAACATTCTTAAGGACCAGACCTTGTTGTTTATATCAAACCCAAATTTGCTTGGGCTCTTTAATGACCTTGACCTTGAAGGTTAAATTACTGAATTTTCTCAGATTTGTGCATTAAATGACCATAATTATATATTTATTGGTGTGTGTGTGTGTATATATATATATATATATATATATATATATATATATATATATATATATATATATATATATATATATATATATATATATATATATATATATATATATAAAAATAAAAACAAAAAACACAGTCCATGAGTTAACTTATTTAATTATTTAATTATTTAAGTTAACTCATGGACTGTGTTTTTTGTTTTAATTATATGTGACTTTTTTCCGGCACTTGTTTTCATTTTTTGTATATATATATGAGGCACGACGCGAGAAAACCGGCCTTAATGACATTTTTTTCGAAATTTGGTTTTTCACATATTATTGTAGAGAATTTCTTTCTGAATATGACGGTGAAAACCGTTTTCAAATCAAAGGGTAAGTTATTTAGATATACCAATTTAACGAACGTCATATATTTGATCACTTTGTTAGCAAATGACGTCGAAAAATTAAATTTTGACGTTTAACGTTGTTAATTGGAAAATTAAAACGGCAATAATATTTAAATCTTAAGTTCACTGCATCAGTATGTTTAAGCTGTAAAGAAGTTAGTAATTAAGGTATTTAAACTATAGACTTCAGGCTTATTTCGATTTTAGCGTTGCTTAGCAACGTTGTAACAACACCCATAAGCGAGTCATACATGGCGCAAATAATTGTTTTTTCAACCATTACAACACTATATACCTTTAATGTGGACAAAATTATTCATCATCTTTAAGGGAATTTTTCATACTATATACTGCTTGAAAAACAAATATATATTGAACGGGAAGGTACAGGTGTGTTGGTGGGTTTAAGTATGCCCGGGTCACATAGATTGAAATGAGACAAATTTTTAGGTAAATACCAAAAGAAATAAATCAACAAAAGTATATAAGTCTACGTTTAACGTTTAATACCTATGAAAAAAATACATAGTTAAATAAAAAAGTTCTCTTTTTCTTTATAACAGTTTCTTTATAACAGAAACAATGGCCGTATATTTTAACAACAAACAAGAACAGTTCTGGATATTTAAATCTGCACTTAGCTGTTATAACAGTGCACCTTAATCACTGATAATATGATTAACTGTCTTGACAGACGAACACACGCACACTTCGCGACACTGCTGACATTCCCTATGCGTAATAACGCTTGACGGACACATGAACTGAACCGGAATCCGTGTTCTTTCAAGACTTGAATCAAATATTCCTCGCCTTCAGGTGTTATTTTGCCCATAACCACACACGGTTTGTTCGACTGGAACCGGAAATTTTCTATCAATAGAAAAATGATAAATATCAATATCCGTAATGAAAAATAACGCAAACTTATTTCCTTATATGCTTTAATAAAAATAAAAAAACTACATAATTCGGAGCACATTCACAACTCGGTAAGTTAAAAGAACGGAAGAGCTTGGACAGTTTTTAGAGCATGACAGTAAACTTGGTCACATGACTGATTTTCATTAACTGTAAATGTGTGTCAAATATTTTTTTTTTGTAAAATAAGACTATCCGTACATATAAATCTAATTAAACCAGAAAAAAAATGTTACAGAATTTCACATTAAAGTGTATTAGCTGGATATATGTTGCGAATTCCCTCTGCATAATATTTTGCTCCGAAACATTTTATGCTGATCACGAACAATATACATGTGGAGACATACTATGTAACAACAATTTCTATTAATATGTGATTACAGAACCATTTCCTTATGTTTTTTTCTGTTGTTTTTTTTTTTTAATGTTATTATTTGTTTGTTTGGGTTTTACGTCACATCGACACAGTATAGGTTATATCGCGACGTTCCAGCTTTACTGGTGGAGGAAGACCTCAGGTGCCCTTTCGTGCATTATTTCAGGCACGAACGGGCACCTGAGTAGAACCACCGACGTTCCGGAAGCTAGCTGGATAGCTTCCTCACATGAAAGAATCCAAAGTCCCTGTTGGGATTCGAACCCACAGCGGTGAGGGGCAAGTGGTTTGAAGTCAACGACCTTAACCACTCGGCCACGGACGTTTAATTTTATTAAGTATTTTAACAGATAGAGCTTATTACTCTTTAAGGATCATTTATACAGTATCTACATTGTCTTCATAATATAAAGTTAAAACTAAATCGAAGAAGAAAATAAAACTTCTTTGTAAACAATTAAAGAAACAATTAACCCTTAATTTTTTCATGTTTAAGATATTTTCTGAGTCTGGAGTTCTGAGTTTCAACATTTGCATTTAAATAAGATAAACATATGTTACCTTAAACCAATAATTGGTTTGAAAAATCCGTCTAGAACGGGTTTCCATTGTCGCCATGACAACTTGGGGTAACTTGTAGATGACATCTCTTTAACATGGGCCAGCTGTTGAAGTGTTTCTAAATTATGCCACCGGAATCTAATCTTTAGATGTGCGAACCCCGTATCAACTAAACACCGCGCATGTCCTTAAAAGAAAATTATTATTTTTTGTAATATTTGAAAGCCTTAATTACCTGCTGCGATTTGAAGTGCTTTTTAACAATACTACAGTGTTCATGATACATATATTTTGTATTTTGTCTTAACCAACGCAACCAGCCCTAAAATATAACGAATACTTGTTAAAATATAGTCAAATAAGTAATTAATTACACAATCTATACACAAATTAAGTCTTTTAACTTTAGAGAAAATAGTAGGACCAAGTTAAAAGACTGACATTTTAACTGTGTACAGACTTGGTAAAATGATAGTAAAATCCCTAAAATGTTAAAGCAATGGTATTTATTTGCTTTCAAACTAAATATACTGGTGCAGCAGTACTGGTATTTGTACTAATACTATATGAGTTGACAAGTAGTGGTTGTGGTATGTTAGTAGTATATCCCTAGTACTGATATATATCTGATTGTATAAGATGGTAGTTTAGAGTATATATTATATCTTGTCCCTTATATCATTGTAAATATTTTGCTACAAAATAAAAAAAAATATCAAGATAAATGTAAGATGGACAAACTTTTCCTCTGAGTCACGTGTGGCAACACTACGCCTTATGCACTCATTATATAGATCACGTTCCAATAAAATTACAAAAAGAATATCCTATGTAAAACATAAATTTGAAGATTTTAAAACCACGATTTTTGTAATCACGGTCATAGGAATCATGATATAGTCCGAATAAAAATCACATGCATTCTTTTAAATTCTTTAGTGTATTGAATCTTATAAAAATACGCTTGGAAAAAATTCAAGCATGGCAGATATTTGTTTAATTTATTTATTAGTGTATTGCTACATTATTGTTCTTTTCCTATTATTACAATTTTTCCTATTATTACCTTTTTGTGCGAGAAGAACGTGGTCCCACAGTGCTGTCGTTGCACTAGTGTCACATTTTTTCACGTCTGAATAATCAAAGTCAGTATCTCTCGAAAAATCTGTTTTGTGAGTTGATAGGTGTTCTCCCAAAATAATCCGAGTAGAGGGATTTCAGATCCTATGAATGACAAAAAATAATGAATAAAAAACGGATATAAAAATTTGGCATCAGCCAGGATACGAACTCGATTTGCTTGTATGTGAGGCCACTGCATTATCCACTGAGCTATTCTCTCAACAATTCTTACGTGTGCTAATTAATCAATAAAAGACAATATTAAATCTAAAAAACTTTTTTTTTCATTCCATGATGATGGACATATATTATTTTATTGCTTGCATATTCTAAATGAATTATAGAAACATATTCTAAATGAATTATGAAAAAGAGTATTAATGTAACTTGCGGCTGATTAGCAATCTAAATTTAGATTAGCCTATAAAATATGAAAGCAATTGGTAAACCCATACAATACAGTAGACATAGATCTAATTAAGATCAAAACAACGTAAATATATTCTATATAAAGGCACCGATGTACGTTGCCGATTAATTTATTCTTGTGTATTTCAAAGCATACTAGTCTTGGTGTACTGTGGATATACAGTACAGTACAGTAGTGAGTACAAAACTGTTAACGTCAGTGTTAAATTACCAACAGTAAATATTTATCAATTCGATGCTCTGATTAATAAACATGATATGTTTTTGTTGCTGTTTTTCATAAATTATACATTATAGACACTTACTTCTAACTCCTCCTCCATCATATAAACTTTTCTGTGAATCCTTACGATAATACACCTTAAAAACAATAACACACGATAAAAATCATTTCCGTGTTTACATGTGTATACACAATAAGAGTGACGTCATTTAAATCGCTGTAGTGCACATTTATTGTAGTGTCATTAAGACCGGTTTTCTCGCGTCGTGCGTCATATATATATTTACAACAACAACAACAACTAGAATTGCGTCATTGTTTCTATTTATAGAATTGCGTCATTGTTTCTATTTATAGAAATTGCGTCATTGTTGCTATTTTTAGAAATTGCGTCATTGTTGCTATTTTTTTAGAAATTGCGTCATTGTTGCTATTTTTAGAAATTGCGTCATTGTTTCTATTTCTTTTTTTAGAAATTGCGTCATTGATTCTATTTTTAGAAATTGCGTCATTGTTTCTATTTTTAGAAATTGCGTCATTGTTGCTATTTTTAGAAATTGCGTCATTTTCCCCCCCGATTTTTAGAAATTTCGTCATTTTCCCCCCCTATTTTTATAAATTGCTATTTCTAAAAATTGCGTCATTGTTGCTATTTTTATAAATTGCGTCATTGTTTCTATTTTTAGAAATTGTGTCATTGTTGCTATTTTTAGGAATTGCGTCATTTTTTCCCCCTATTTTTAGAAATTGCGTCATTTTTTCTATTTTTAGAAATTGCGTCATTGTAGCTATTTTTAGAAATTGTGCCATTTTTTGCTACTTTTAGAAATTGCGTCATTGTTGCTATTTCTAGAAATTGCGTCATTGTTGCTACTTTTAGAAATTGCGTCATTGTTGCTATTTTTAGAAATTGCGTCATTTTTTCTTTTTCTAGAAATTGCGTCATTGTTGCTATTTTTAGAAATTGTGCCATTTTTTGCTATTTTTAGAAATTGCGTCATTGTTGCTATTTCTAGAAATCGCGTCATTGTTGCTATTTTTAGAAATTGCGTCATTGTTGCTATTTCTAGAAATTGCGTCATTTTTTTCTATTTTTAGAAATTGCGTCATTGTTGCTATTTGTAGAAATTGCGTCATTGTTTCTATTTTTAGTAATTGCGTCATTGTTGCTATTTTTAGAAATTGCGTCATTGTTGCTATTTTTAGAAATTGCGTCATTGTTACTATTATAAGAAATTGCGTCATTGTTGCTATTTTTAGAAATTGCGTCATTGTTTCTATTTTTAGAAATTGCGTCATGTTGCTATTTTTTGAAATTGTGTCATCTTGCTATTTTTAGAAATTGCGTAATGTTGCTATTTTTAAAAATTTGCTTAATGTTTTATTCATATATATATATATACAAAATATATAAACAAAACTTATGTGACAAGACAGACCAACTAAATTTATAAAAAGGAAACGTTAAGATATGTTCAAACCTTTCTATGTTTGCGTTTAGAAAAAGTAAAAAGTCGAGCGTTGCCCCGCCCGGCGGTGGCTCTTGTTACACTTTGAAGTTTGTCCGGGAAAGAATTCTATAACTATAAGAGGTATCAACGTGAAACTTTGTAGGTAGGTAGATCTCATTGAGTAGAAGTGCAGTGCTAAAGAACCATAATTTTGTCTTGCCTAATTCTGGAGTTATTGTCTTTTGTCATTTTTATACTTGAACTTTTTTAGGGACATAACCCTTAAACTATAACAGATATCAACATGGATCTTTGTATGTAGATAGATCTCATTGGATTAAAGACCCTTAACAAAGCCTGGCCTAATCTTTGAGTTATTGCCCTTTGTTCATTTTTACACTTTGAACTTTGTTCGGGACATAACTCTGAAACAAAAGAGATATCAACACAAAACTTTATAGGTAGATCTCATTGAATAGGAAGTGCAGTGTAAAGAACCATAACTGCCTAAGTTTTAGAGTTTTTGCCCTTTGTTCATTTTCTCATACTTTTCTGTGTCCAAACCCTACTCGGGGAGCATCACCCGGTTCAACCGGTTCTTGTTTAAACATTGAAATTAAATTATAGCATATTGATATTGATGATATTTCAAAGAAGCCCAACTTCATTTTAAGGTGTCCTTTTTACTTCTTTTACGTTTGACTTTATAAATTTTGTTATCATTTACATATTATCTTAAAAGTTAAAGAACTATCGTCATTTCTGTACATTTTATTTCAGAACTCTCCTTTACATTTTATTTTGATCGTGGCAAAACTATCCATCACATTTTATCATAGAGATATCCTTAAAATGTTATTTTAGAATGATAAGAACTATCCTTTACACTTTTTAGAATGTTTAGAACTGTCATTAACTTCAATCTTGGAGTGACCAATGAGATTCACCAATTTCAATTTATAATTTTAAATGACCAATGAAATTCTTCTTATATTAAGTCTTTCCCTGTAAATACTACAGGAAGTCAAACTGATGACAGACGGACTTCGTCCGAAAAAGTGTTTAATTTTAATTTCATCATTAATATATGTACATGTATTTATTGGCTTAAAAATGCTAACAAATATGGTACCTGATGTTTTTCAAAGGCTAATAAAATCAAAACTACACGGTAAAAAGTATTTGATACTTTACAAGATCAAGCAATAGATACTTTTGAGAAGATTTATGGACAATTTGAAAACACCCCCTCACTTTGGTATTTTATAGGGATGTTTTAAGATAAAACTGTCTAAGTAGTAAAATGGTGAAACACGTGTAAAAATGGGTGGGGTAGGGAAACAGTTTTAGCTCGACTTTTTTGTTGAAAAGTAAAGGTATTGTTCTAGTCATGTCGGTGTTGCCGTTGCCGTCCGTAAACTGGTATGTTGGTCATAACTTTTTTAAGTCCTTGGTGTATTGTCTTCATACTTGGCCACAACAACCCTTGGGACAATACCACCTTTATGTAGATAAGACTAACATTAGCCATCCATAAATGACATTGACTTTCAAGGTTAAATGTCTAAATATTGCTTGTTTTTTTGCTAATTTTTGCTATTAGTGGCTATATTTTTTTTATTTTTGAATGAATTGTCTTCAAACTTAGATATCTTTTAGGAAAGACCTTTAAGTTGACTAGAGAGAACTTGAAATTCAGTCATAAATGACCTTGACTTCAAGGTCAAATGTCCAAATTTCGCTTGTTTCTTGCTTTTTGTGGCTATAACTTTGTTATTCTTGAATGGATTGTCTTCAAACTTGAATATAGTATTATTTAAGGATAGCCCTTTAAGTAATCTAGACAGACCTTGACTTTCACTCGTACATGACCCTGACCTTAAAGGTCAAATTGCTTAAATTTTCCTTTTTTTTGCTGTAACTGACTGAATATTTATTATTATTGAATAGATTGATTTTCTTATTAATACAGAACATCATTTAAGATAAGACCTTAATGTATATTTAACTCAAATTGACCTTGACCTTAATATGACCTTGACCTTGAAGGTTATACTATTGAATTTTCACTGAGTTTTGCTTTAATTGACTGTAACTTGGTAATTAAGAGATGGGTTATCTTCATACTTTGACAAAACAACATTTTGGACAAGACCTTCTTAAAGGCTGAATAAACCTTGACCTTGAGCATAAGGTGACATTGATCGTCAAAGTAAAATTATAAGGTTTTATGTTAAATTGCCATAATTCAGTAACTGCTAAAACTAGTGTGACAAGACAGAATTATAAAAAAAATAAAAAAGTAAAACTTAACTTTTTTCTTTACGATTTGATTAAATCGTTCTTTTTTTGGTTAGCTTTTAGAGAAAGTAAAAGGTCGAGCGTTGCCCCCGCCCGGCGGTGGCTCTTGCTATACATATTTCATCAATTTTGATTAATCATTTTGCTAGTGTCGATTGTTTGCTGAAAGTTATTTATTGTTTCTTAACAATAATTAATGGGAAAACATTTCCATTTTCAAAGGCCCATAATGCCCCAGAAACGATTGTATTTTTCCTTCTTTAGAAAAGGCTAACATGAGTTTTATAACATTTATGTAGATTTTAGAGCATGTTAAATGCGAATGCGTTTAGATTTTTGCTATTACAGTTTGAGTTTGATACATACGGAATTTTGCATGGCCAGAGTTTCAAACTTGCAATATGAAATCATTTATGTGTATATTTTTTATGACAGCCACACTTTATCCTTGCCTATCGTGGCTTATTCCTTATGAAAGCATGTTAAAAACGCTCAAAAGACACTTAAATTAAAAAAAAAATAGTTACATAGACTTGGAATTGAACCCCAGACCTCTCAATTGCTAAACGAGCGTGTTACCCGACCAAGTTATAATAAAGGCTTAAGCAAATCAAAGATTCTGAATTTAGCATACGTGATATTTTGTTCACGGTAAACCTGTTGTAAATAATTTAGCGCAACAGTCCGACATGTATATAATATTTCACTACTCGACAATCAGATTTATTTGTGTTATACGCGCTGAAGTGTTCGTTAATCGGCATTGCTAAAAATAGCGCTTTGTTTACGTGGATTAACTTTTCAGGTGCGTAACTTATGGTAGAAACTGATTATCGATTGTCGATTGTCCTAGAGTCAACATCCTTCCTTTATTTTTCAGAAAGTCTAAATTAGGCGGCATTTAATTCCGATCACAATAATCCGAAGCTTTACGGAAATAGCCGATGAAATTTTCAATGATTAAAATGATATTAATCCGCGTAATTTGTGATTGTACATTTATTGACATTTCTATAAGCCAAAGCTACTTTTAAACTTTGAATGCGTTATAATACGATCAAAAAATTCAATAAGGTTTCGAGAAATAAAAGATTTTGGTGCATAATGGGCCTTTAAAGCAAAACTATTTTTCACATGCAATAGTAAGCTGTCCAATTTTTCAGTGTATAATGACTAAAGAAATTTAAATTTGTTTTAATGACATATACCTTTTTATATTTTAGATTTAAATAAGTATGGATTATTCAAAGGAGACCTACAATTACTTTAAGCTGGCTCATATCGTTATTAGCCTTGTTGCGGAAGTAATGAGAGACGTCTTTAAACATGAATGGGACAAGCGATATCCAACGGCTCCTTGGGAAGATGACCCCAAAAGTTTAAATGAGTTCGCGAACATACAATCATCTCATGGTCTAACTGATAAAATTGGAAGGCGGAATTTTCGAGACCTGATGAAGACATCTGGTGACAGGAAAGAATGGGATGTCACCATTCTTTGTTATACGTTGCTATATTCAAAACCTATTTCATTAGAAATATCTTCTACTATTGGGGGTGCAATAGATAAGTTACGCAACATTAGAAATAATTGCATGCACATTAAAAGGACAAAATTGAGTGATGCCGACTTTCAGGACAATTACTCTAAAATCAAAAACGAAATATTAAAACTTTCACCTTTGTGTAAGAAGCATTTGTCCAAACTGAAGAAAATAAAACATGACACGCTTCCATCAGATACTATTGCAGAATTGCGAGTATCGATAGCAAAAGAAAAGAAGAAACTAGAATATGAAAAGTTTCAAAGACGTGTTATAACTGTTTGTAGTTTAGTGATAATCATAATTATGACATGCATCATATACCTTCTTTGCACTAATTTAATACCATCTGCTTTTCCCTCTTACTTTCCCGAACACCATATTCCTGGATACTTTCAAGGCCGTACACACGAAATAGAGGAATCAACAGCGGCGTTAATCTCAGGAACACGTGTAATTGTTTTGTATGGTCTTCCGGGAATCGGAAAAAAAACTACAAGCCTGGTCATTGGAAGAAACATAAAATCATTGTGGAGGCCATTTCCGTGGTTTTGCGTTTGTTATGTACCTCTGTACAGTATTCGTAAAGTAAGAGAAATGGAATTACAAGTCTTGAAGTCATTTTATGCTGAACGAGACATTACTTATGACAATATTGAAAACAGTTTCATGGAGCTGATGACAAAGAAAATAAAACGAAAGACACTCATCATTTTAGATGGAGGTACAAATGACAAAGGGAATGATTTGAAATATGTGATTGATAATATGTTGGATAAAAATGAAAATATTTACATTATCTTAACCGCTTCACAACCAATTCATTTCATTAAATATAGTGTTAAATTAATTCATCTAAAACCGCTTTCATCAGATGAATCAATACATCTTATAGATCGGATCAAAACAGGTATTCCAAACGAAATAAAAGAAACACTTACTAGATATTCAGCAGGCTCGCCCATTTTTCTGGAAATGTTCACCCATGTGATAAAAACAAAGCATAATGCTGATGATGTATCAGGATTACTACTGAAAGCTTCGCCAGTAAATGCATGCGAATCTCGTTTAGTTTTTCTAGAACTACTGAATCCTGTCGAAGAAATATTTGTACGCTTTATTTCTTTTTTTCCATCAAAGGTTTCTTTAACAGCTCTGAAATTGTGCAGTTTCGATCTTGAACAAGTCCTGACTTCGCTTACAATGAAATCAGTCATCAAACAATCAGTAGGGTCTAATGAAAGATATTTTACACTTCACGAATCCTTTAAATTAATGTTTGTGTGTGAACGGGATTTACAGCATACTTCTCTTATCACTGATATAAAGCTAAATTTTTGTTTTAATAAACACTTTATTAACGAGGCCAACGCAATTGCCCAAGACTTTTTATCACCAGCGTCAATGAAAATTGATATGTTAAGACTATTCGAATTGGAAGAAAATTTAAAGATAATGCTTGAAAATGGACGTAGCATTAAAGATTTCTGGCAACAAGAAAATATTCCAGTTCGAACCGAACTCCTTGGGACAGATTTCTACAATTTCTTTGTAACCGGTGAGTTACCTAATAAATATGATGGAATCCACGTTTACTCTTTGAAGGGAATTTACTACAAAATGCTTTACTATGTATCACCACTGTTAACATATGACGTGTTTAGCACAGTTTTTTCCATGCATGTATATTATAAGTCAGCAATGGTACTCAAAATTGACAGGGACTTTGATTTAATGATAAAAATGATTTATTCTCTATGTGAAAAGGGTGATATTTATTTCTTCCAGCATATGAATAAAAATGACGCCTCGATAACCATTATTGAAAAGAATATAAGGATGATAAACGACGAAGAGCGATGCGAAATATTGATTGATGCAAAAGATAAAGCATTGTGTTTATTTGTTTCTGGCAGATCTCTAGCTTTGTATCCACAAATGAAAATAATTTCGGAAACTGTTAGGAGTTTGAAAGATGTTAAAAAGGGCATTGAGTTGATTGATCGGTCAATTAAGTATTTCACTGCCCTCAAAATGGACTTGAAAGTTGCTGAAGCATTCTCTACAAAAGGTCTTGTACAATACGCAACAGGACATACATATGTGACCGACAAAATGCACTATATAAATGCGCTTAACATTCTACAAAATCTTTACAAGAAAAACCCAATTTTAGCTGCAAGTTACTTTAATGTTGGATTTTTGTATTATAATATGGGTGAATGCAATATACTCCTAGCTATCAAATACTTCAACATGTCCTTCAATATGTATCATTCAACATTGGGTATACATCGTCGGACAGCTTATTCAGCCTTCTTCTTAGGCAAAGCTTTGCAAAAAATTGGAAAGTATATTGAATCGATGTCGATTTTGTCGAAAGCTTATACTATACAGGAAGAAGTTATGCAAAAAGATAATGTTGTTGGGGAAACTACACGATATTCTGAGGAACTAAATCAAATGAAAACTCTTCATGACAATGCCTTAAAAAGCGCAAAGTCTGAATGCTTAAAGTCCTATCCGGTTGAATATTTAATGCATTCAATGTCTTTATTCGAAATTATGAAATATGGAAATTGTCACAGAGGTTGGGGTAATATTAACCTTGCAAAACAATATCTAAACTTGTCAAGACAGAAAATGATCACCTTGAGTAAGGACTCTTCAAATTATATTGAAATTTTAGACCTTCTTAATGACGATATTGAGGATTTTTTAGGTATACGCGAACGTTCAATAGGAGAACCATGGAAAGGACATTACATATTAGTATTTATATCAATAGTTTTATTTGTTCAGCTTTTTTATTTCTGCCGCCGCTAGTTTTATATAGGTCTTAATTCATACATATATATATTTCCATAGCAGTACTGTTGAGTTGTAAATTCATTATGTAAGTTTCATTATATTAAAAACAATAATTGATATATTTGACCATTCAAAATCTTATTGTGTGAAATATTCTGTTAACAATGTGTGTGAGCTCACCCGATCACAACGTGCTCGTGGTGGGCTATTGTGATCCAACTCCGTCCGTCATCCATCGTCGTGCGTCTTCACAATATCTTTCAACATCAGTTCCCTTGAAACTAATGACTGCACATTGACCAGTTTTTACAGGAATGATCCTTCTATGGTTCTTTTTTAGCTCGCTTTCTTAAAGAAAAAAGGTAAAGGTATTGTTACAGTCATGTCGGCCATTGCCGTCCGCGAACTTCAACCTTGATCACAACTTATCAAGTTATTTGTGTATTATCTTCTTACTTGGCCACAACAGTCCTTGGGACAAGACCTTAAAGTAAACCAGACTAACATTACCCTGCAGTCATAAATGACCGTGACCTTTAAGGTAAAATGACTAAATTTTGCTTTTTTTGCTGATTGTTTATTAAAGTGGCTATAACTTTTTTATTTTTGAATATATTGTTTTCAAATTTAAACATAATAATCTTTCAGGAAAGACTTTTAAGAAAAGAAAACTAGACATTGCCTTTGACTAATAAATGACCTTGATATCAAAGGTCAATTTTGTTAAATTTTCATTTTGTTTTTGCTATAGCTGGCTAAAACTTGATTATTATTTATTAATGAATGGATTGACTTCATATTATATCAGAACATTTTTAGGAAAAGATTTATTCTGTATATCAAACTCAAATTTACCTTGGCTCTTTTTCAATGAAATAACTTAGTTCCTCATGAAAGCTTATTTAGTGTCAGATGTTTTTCATATTTAGTAAGAATATAACATGCATGATCTTCCTTTGAATTGACTACGTACAGGTATGACACCAGTCTGACCATGTGCACAAGTCAGGTGTAGAATTTAGATCTGATATCAGATGACCTAGATATTGACCTAGTGACCTACACATATAGCTTTAGCTGTTTTTTCACAAATAAAAGTCTGTCCTCAAGTGAGCGCTATGGGATCATTGGCCCCCTTGATAATAGGAACTGAATAAAAAAAATACCAACACAATTTTCTACAATGTCGCTGTTTTTAAACCGTTGACGGATATTTATTATTAAAGGAGGCCTAAGTTTGAAAATCCTTTAAGTCTATTTTGCATTAACTGTCCTCAAAAGGATTTAATTTACGACTTATTATGGCAATATTGACCTGCTATATTTAGATATTCACTGACCATATTAGGTCAGTACTCGTGAAAGAAATCGTGCGGATTTTAAAGTATGGTATAACTTAAAATTGTTTATATAACGCTTCACTCAGTGACAAGGTGTTAGATGCCGTTTAAAGTAGGTTGAAGGTTCGATATATACGATGAATCATATAATTTCTTTCGTTTGAAGAACGAACGAATTAGCAGAAAATTATTTTCCCTTAAGGATAACCTATACACCGTCAGGATATTTAGTAAACCTTGACGTTTTGTTTTACATCGTTGAATTTTTTTAAAATATGGATAGTAAATTATAATGAATGAAGTTTGTTTCATTCTTAGGTAGAGTGTGAACAGATACGCATTTGTAAATTTGAAATTTCTAATTATATTTATGCATCATTGGCGGTAATGTTTCTTGTTTGTGTTTTATTAACATTTTACAACTCAAATTTGTTGAATGGCGTCAAAATGTTTTCGTTAAATAACTTGTACATATCGCCAGCACGTTCCGCTTCGCTGCACAAAATGGCCGCTAGAGCTATAAATAGAAAAATATTGTACGGCTTCCAGAGGTCAAATTGCTTGTTTTCAGGCTATGCTACGGACAATATTTTTCTAAAAGCGGAGATAATTTAAAAACACGGCTAAAAGAGTTATGGTTCTTTGTCACTGCACTCCGTCTCAATGTCCTCTACCACTGTGTGCATTATTTAAACAAATTATACCAATGGCTTTTATATTATTCTCCGGACAAGATAATTCACAAACGGGGTAAAACAGAGTTATGGTTCTTTAGTGAACTCGATGCCCACAACCACTGTGTGCAGTTTAAACAAATCATGTCAAAGGATTTTCAAGTTATGCTCAGGACAAGCTGAACGGACGGACAGACGGACGAGGTGGCGACTTTATGCCCTCCCTTCAGGAAGCATAAAAAAGCTTCCAAAAATAATGAGTCAAACTTACTTAATGTTAAACAATACGTGTACGTATATCTAAAAAGTCAACGCTTCATGGCTATAAACATTATTGTTAGGTTTTGCCAATATAATTATGATAGAGGCATTTGTTATTCGAAATTCATTGATAAATACATGACCTGATGCGAAAGTACATATAACTTTACTGTCTTTGTTAAACATGTATGTATTATATGTAAATATATGTCAAAGTGCATTTGATTAAACTTTTGTTATATAATCTAGATGACATAGTTATCATTGATGTTTACGTATTATGATGATATACATGTATAAGTCTAATAAAATGTCTATTCTGTTCTCTTCCTATAAAACGTAGGACAGCGACTTATTAAGAAGCTTATAAGATAGAAATGAATGTCTTAAAAAGATTCAGTCGTTCCTACGTCACTTCTTTTGAGCTGCTTTCTCTTAAAGGAACTCCACTGAAGTTCAAAAGCCCAAAGGAATATAAAATTTGAATTTCTTCCGTAGATCAGCTAGGTGCTGATGAATTAGGAAATATACCCAGATCGTATTTGTGTGCTGTTCTTAGCCCGATGGGAATGAAAAGCTTTGCAACGTTTTCAAGTTTGGGTCATTTTTTCCACAATTAAGATAACTTTTCGGCCAAACAGAGTGAACGAATGATCTGAAATATTGGTCTAGACCTATATCATTTCGAAAAGTTATTTCCAGTCTGGTCATGTCAAAAGACCTCAGTTGAGAAACTGCAATATTTATACTTCAGACCTAGTATAAATATTAAATAAACAAGGAAAAAAGGTTACATTTAATTTATTATATACTACTCAAAGTTTGAATAGGGTCATTTTTATGTCAACACTACAGAGTACATACGACATAAAGGGATCATTTCTCTTTCGTCTTTCTGTCTGTCCGTCCGTCACAAAACTTGTCCGGACTAGTCCTCAAAAAGTACCTGAGCGATTTCATCCAAACTTTACAGGAATGACAATTATCAAGTCTAGTTGTGCAGATCGGTTCAGCAGTTTAGTCCAGAGTTATGACCTTTAATAATTTTAGCTCACATAAGCTTTAAGGATCGTTGAATGTTCGTCGCCTGTCGTCCGTCGTCCATCTACATTCGTTCGTTTACACTCTAGTGATCACATTTTTACATCAATCACCAGGATGCCTGTCTAGAAATTTGCTCGTACGAGTTCGAACATGGGTCATCTCGGATGAAAAACTAGGTCATAGAAGCTGAAAAAAGAAGAGTAAGCCTTGTTAATACTCTAGTGGTTACTTTTTAGATCAACTGAGCATGCTCAGGGTGAGCTTTTAGGATCGATGATTGTCCGTCGTCCGTCGTCTGTCGTCCGTCGTCCGTTCACATTTAGGTGTTAACACTCTAGCGGTCGCATTTTTGCCTCAATCATAATCAAACTTGGTCAGGATAGCTCGGATGAGTTCGAACATGGGTCATCTCCGATGAAAAAGTAGGTCACCGGAGCTAAAAATAGAAAAACCTAGTTAACATTCTAGCGGTCAAATTTTTGCATCAATCATCATCAAACTTGGTCAGGATGCTAATCTAGGTGATAGCTCGGATGAGTTCGAACATGGGTCATCTCGGATGAAAAAGTAGGTAACCGGAGCTAAAAATAGAAAAACCTTGTTAACTCTCTAGAGGTCACATTTTTGCCTCAATCATCATCAAACTTAGTCAGGATCCTTGTCTAGGTGATAGCTCGGATGAGTTCGAACATGGGTCATCTCCGATGAAAAAGTAGGTCACCGGGGCTAAAAATAGAAAAACCTTGTTAACATTCTAGCGGTCAAATTTTTGCATCAATCATCATCAAACTTGGTCAGGATGCTTGTCTAGGTGATAGCTCGGATGAGTTCGAACATGGGTCATCTCGGATGAAAAACTAGGTAACCGGAGCTAAAAATAGAAAAACCTTGTTAACACTCCAGCGGTCACATTTTTTCATTCACATTTAGTTGTTAAGACTCTAGCGGTCGTATTTTTGCCTCAATCATCATCAAACTTGGTCAGGATGCTTATATAGTTGATAGCTCGGATAAGTTCGAACAAGGGTCATCTCGGATGAAGAACTAGGTCACAAGAGCTAAAAATAGAAAAACCTTGTTAACACTCTAGAGGTCACATTTTTGCCTCAATCATCATCAAACTTGGTCAGGATGCTTGTCTAGGTGATAGCTTGAATGAGTTCGAACATTGGTTATCTCGGATGAAAAAGTAGGTCACCGGAGCTAAAAATAGAAAAACCTTGTTAACACTCTAGCGGTCACATTTTTGCACCAATCATCATCAAACATGGTCAAGATGCTTGTCTAGGTGAAAGCTTGGATGAGTTCGAATATGGGTCATCCTGGATGAAAAAGTAGGTCACCGGAGCTAAAAATAGAAAAACCTTATTAACACTATAGCGTCACATTTTTTGCCTCAATATTCATCAAACTTGGTCAGGATGCTTGTCTAGGTGAAAGCTCGGATGAGTTCGAACATGGGTCATCTCGGTTGAAAAAGTAGGTCACCGGAGCTAAAAATAGAAAAACCTTGTTAACACTCTAGCGGTCACATTTTTGACACAAGTGTCATCAAACTTGATCAGGATGCTTGTCTAGGTACTTGCTCGTATGAGTTCGAACATTGGTCATCTCGGATGAAAAACTAGGTCACAGGAGCTAAAAATAGAAAAACCTTGTTAACACTCTAGTGGTCACAATTTTGACTCAATTGTCATCAAACTTGGTCAGGAAACTTGTCTAGGTCATTGCTGGGATTAAATCGAACATGGGTCATCTCAGATAAAAAACTAGGTCACAGGAGCTAAAAATAGAAAAATCTTGTTAACACTCTAGTGGCTACTGTTGTGATCCAAATATTCTGTAAATTGGTCTGAAAGTTTGTTTTGATAATTTCTAAGTCAAGTTCGAACATGGGTCATCTTGGAGAAAAACTAGGTCACACCGCCCAAATATGGAAAAACCTTGTTAACATTCTAGTGGTCACATTTTCGACTCAATTATCATCAAACTTGGTCAGGATGCTTGTGTAGGTAATTGCTCGGATGAGTTTGAAATGGCATGTGAAACTAGGTCACCGGAGCTAAAAATAGAAAAATCTTGTTAACACTCTAGTTGCTACTGTTTTGATCCAAGTATCCTGGAAATTGGTCTGAAAGTTTGTTTTGATGATTTCTAGGTCAAGTTTGAATATGTGTCACCTGGGTAAAAAACTAGGTCACACTGCTCAAATATGGATAATCCTTGTTAACACTGTAGTGGTCACATTTTTCACTCACCTGTCATGAGACTTGGTCAGAATGCTTGTCTAGGTAATTGTTGAGTTTGATGTGTCAGGTGAGCGATCTAGGGCCATCATGGCCCTCTTGTTTGACTCAATTGTCATTAAACTAGGTCATGATGCTTGTGTAGGTAATTGCTCAGATGAGTTAGAGCATGGGTCATTTCGAATGAGTAACTAGGTCAAAGGAACTAAAAATAGAAAAACCTTGTTATCACTTTTTACTCACTTGTCATTAAAACTTGGTCAAGATGCTTGTCTAGGTATTTACCGATTGTCCGTACGTCCGTTCGTCCGCTTTTATTGTCCGGGACATAACTGTAACAACAAAAAGTATCAACATGAATCTTTGAAGGTAGACAGATTCTATAAGGAAGATGTGCAGTGTACACGAACAGTAACTTTGCCTAGCCTAATTATTAAGTTATTGCCCTTTGTTCAATTTTATACTTTGAACTTTGTCCCGGACATAACTCTAAAACTATAAGAGATATCAACATGAAGCTTTATAGGTAGATAGATCTCATTTTGTAGATGTTCAGTGTAAAAGAACAATAAGTCTCCCTTATATTATTTTGGAGTTATTGTCTTTTGTTCATTTTAACACTTTGAATTTTGTCTGGGACATAACTCTCTGAAACAAG